ATAAACGAGATGTGTATAAAACCATTAGCATGACGCGCCCGCCTCCCGGTTCATCATGTTACTGACTTATATCGTTTCCGAGGCGACTATTCGGAATAATATTCCCCGGGTCGGGCGAGACGCGGCGTTAATTATTTGTGAACGTGGAAGTTTATTGGAGTTAAATTGGTTCTGTAGCGCCACGAAAATCGAGAGCGAGCGGCGTTTCTGGGAAAAACAGGCGGTGAAATTGCCAGCGCCGCGCCGGCTGGTCGGGTTTTAATTGACCGAGGAGTTTCAATGGACTCGGAATAAAAAAAATCGTATAACGGCACTTTGATCTGGAAATCTTCAGATGGTGTGCTTAATGAATTTGATAAATATCTGGATTGAGTCGACAGGGTGTTTGTATAATTGGTTTGTATAATTGTGAAATTGGCTGCAAATTGGGCTGCTTCAGATGAATTTGATGGATATATTTATAAAAAAAACATAACATTTTGCTTCAAAAAATGAAGGAATTGCTTCAAGGTATATGCATAAAAAGAAGTGAAGGAAGAGAGGTTTGGCTTCGAAGACCCTGCTGTTGATTTAAAGCAAAAAGTTTTATAATTTTAAAACCTTTTTCTCTTATCTTTTCCTTCAACCTTTTACTTCAAAGTAAAGCTTCATTTTTATAAATATGGACTAATATCTGGATTAATTATACAGGGTATCTCAACAATTGATAGTGGTATCTAAAGTTCAAAATTTTCCATTGAAATGGAAAAATTTACAAAACTTACTCAAATTAAATGGTCATACGAATAACACAAGTGGAAGAAAGAGAGTTTATTTGACCATTGTTGTATCGCTAGATGGAGAGAGATGGCATTATAAACGAGTTTGTACTTGTTCGTCGTCTTTGGATTGTTCGGGACAGCTCTGAGCCATTTAGAACATTGTTCAAGTAATTAGAATTGTCCTGAATCATTTAGAACCATTTTAGAACTGATTAGGATCGTTTGAAGTTGATCATAGGATTATATTTAGAACCGTTCAAAATTATATTGAAACTAGAAAACTTATTTAGAAACCTTTCAGGTGTTTTTGAAATGTTTCGTATAAAAAAATGACTAATTTGGTCAAATATTCTGAAAAAATTTGCTCTCGAAAAAACTGATTATCTATTTACTAGTAAAATGAAGCAATATTTGTTGACAAAATAAAAAATGATGGAAACCAAAAAACGGAATATTGCGTGTAAATTGATTAATACGTCAGTAACTCGACGACTACCGGAAAATTGCATCTTACCTTGTGAAAAATTACAAACAAATATAATAAAATACATCTTCGGCGGGTTAATAATGATAATTATCTCAATTTATTATTATGTATTCTTCGGTAACGTATAATTTTATAGGTCGGTACATATCAGATTGAGAAAACCAGCGCCCACTTCATGTTTAGACTCTTTTTAAAGGTAACTCCTCGGTCCTCATCGAGAATGTATACAGAATATACCTCGCCTTTGCCGACTTGGGCTTGCAATTAAAAATTCCTCAAAGTCGTCGTTTATTTTTTTATTTTTTTTTTATTTTTCGTTTGTTGCGTTTCGCTTTTTGCCAATCACTAGGACGAAAATGAAACTTGTTATGAGATTATTTTTTTTAAATCACGATTACGCTACACGTAGCCGCAAAGGAGGTTATTCCGCGATAATTATAAAATTTATTAAAGGAAAAAATCGACTCTCTTCTCGACCAAACGCCCTGCTTCATAAACGGATTTTCGTGATCGAATCAAACAGGCATTCCGACAGCAATAAATTGCATCCTTTTTTGCTATATAGTTTGTACAAAACTAGCCTTTGACTAGTTTCTATACTAGTAGTCCAAAATTTATTGAATAAGCCTGGTATTTTTGCGTTATCTATACACCTAGAGAGTGAAGGGGAAATAATTTAGTTCAAGATTAAAATGATTTTATAAGGCGCATGCAAAAGTCTTGCAACAATAAAAATGATCGAACTATTCAATTAAGCCCGATAATATTCGTGGGATAGCGCAGTTCGTGGGATAAAATGTGGGATATGTATGTGTGGATATTTTACTCGGTTTTCGCTTCGTTTCAAAACTTCATTAATATTAACTGTTAGAGGTGGATGCGTTCGGAAAAAATCGGATTTTAGCCGCATCAGGATTTTGTAATTAGTAATTTGGTAAACATTTATTAGCTTTTTTTTTTCTTAATTCTTTCGGATTCGATTCGACTCCGTTAGGCCGAGTGGATAGATGGATTAGCAGTAAAGTTTATGTGAGGTATATTCCAGCATTCGACAAATGATGTAACTCACGGTAATTTAATTTAAAAAATTTTTACGAGCAATAAATTATTCAGACACTCCGAGGTCCGTGAGAAACGCGACGTTCACAATTCCTGTACGGAGAAAATCAAAAATTGATTTCTGATACTCAATTTCGTCGTAAATAACTTTCCAAAATAGAGAACAAAAAAGCACCGTAAACGACTTAACGAGCTTTAAAAAATCCACACGAGGATAAATTAGTGTAGATTAACGTTATGCGGGGTTCGAGCTCGACTTGATAACGCATAAACGCAAACGCACCCCGCTAATTACAGGGAACTGTAAACCTTTGACATATGACCTGATCCGCTAACGAGCCATCGACGAGTGTTTTGTTACCCAAATTGGGTACATGAGTCTCCTTCGAAGGCGAAGTGCGTGCGTTGCGTATACAAGAAAACATTAACGAATAGTCCATTCGCTGAATAACTCGATCGGGTTACAGGATTAAATAATTATTTATTGTTAATCATCGTAAATGGTCTGTTTCTCCAAGAAATAGAGTCGATTGCATTCATTATGGCTTTGTAGATGAATTGTATTTTGATTTTATATTAGAAGAATTAACTGAAAGAATAATTTGCAAAAATTTGGTATTGATTTTTTGCCACACAAGAAACTTAATAGGCGATTTTTATGTTGAAAATAACATATTTTCTACGATATCTATACGCAATCACTAACGTCCAAAAGCGATGGGACTGCGGGAAAAAGTGTGTATTTTTTTTCGAATTGATAATTACAGGTAGGCTCGGGGAACTGGGAACCGAATGTTTGTGTGACATGAAACGTGAAATTTGTCATATTTTCCCGTTAAATAATTCAAGCGCGCCGTTCGTATCGACCCGAGTCGGACCATAATTCATGAATTCGCCGGTGTAGCTACGTCGGAGAGGCCGCTCGGACAAATACGAAATCGAAACGAAAAAAAATGCGTAAAATGGGCGTCGACGAATATACATCACGCGTCTCTCTGGGGTACTAATTATTTATTAATTGCGCGCCGTCGATGTGCAATTGGAAGCTGATATGGCCTGGAAAAGGGGTCGGGAAATTTTAATTAGGAATATATAGATAAGAGGGAATTGTGATCGTCTATCGATTCGTCTAGGGGGGGTTGAAAGGCGCGCAGTCACGAATTTCGGTGCGGTAAATTGAATATCTATTTCGTTTGATTGTATCGAAATTAAAATTGAATTTCCCCGTTTGTATTTTTATTTTTATGGTAGAATAAATATCCAGCAAGTAAAGTAATATCCTCGTTTAAAAACATCTACATTTAATAAGTTACACTAATTCGATCGTTAAAATTAAACGCTTTATTATATTTAATTAACAATTGCAGAGAACACCTCGGAACACTATAGATAAATCGCGAGTTAAATCAGTTAACTGATCGTTAAAATGTAACGATTCGTCTAAATTTTATTGCCAAGCAATAAAATGACTTTGTAAAAAAATGATAATAAACATTAATTTACTATACGATACACAGATATCTGCGAATTAGTTAATGCAATATGGTTATTTAAATATTAATTAATTCAAGTAAATATTTATATTTGCTATATAGGTATGTTTATGTAGTAAAATTATACAAACGAAATAAAAATATAAGTAAACAAACGATTAATTGAAATTTCAATGCAGCAATTAAAGCTTATTTTAAAATTTAATTCATCAATGTTGCAACATCGGGTGTATAATATAGGTAATTTATTTGTATTAACTCTGCTTCAAGATAGGCGCTTATAAATAATTAACAACTCGAAGAAACATAGAAAACAAGGATTCTTGCCTTATGGATTGCAAAGGGAAAAAACGAAACCGGGCGACAATTACACGGGCAATTAGACTTCCCAAAGTGATAGCTCCTTCTACTCACTCATCGATGCGTCCGTTATACGACGTTTCGTTTGAATAAAACATGACCGACAAGGGCGTTTTTCACGTCGCACGGAAGAATTAAGACATTGGTTCGGGAATAATTTATATTGACAAATGAGGTGTCACGAGTGCCGCCGCGCACGCCGAATACAAATGTTAACTAAAGGCTTATTTGCAATTCGGCATCGTTTCGGCGCGGTTCCATCGACTGGTTTTTTTCGCGCCCGTGCGATTTCGCCGGTCGAATTTTTCGCATCGGCGGCGCACCGCAGGGACGCCGAGGAATTCCGGGGAATTCCGGGGAATTCGCCGAGCCCAAGGGCCCGCCGGATCGGCCAACGAGCCGTTTTTTTACCGGGATGTAAAGGACATCTTGTTGCTAAATGATATGACGATCTGCACGCTGTGTTTTCTTCTTTTTTAACCCCCGAAATTTCGCCTGATCCACCCACTTTTTCTTCCCTTACACAAAACAAAACCAAACGCGGAATACCGAGAGAAATATTTGCCGGTTCGATCCCTCCGCTGGTACTTAATACGGAATTGCAGAAACTCGTACGGGGCCCGGTCGAATTAGGAAGAACTGCGGGCGAACTGCTTTCTTTGCCGCGAATATTTCGGCCGAAAAAAGCGCACCGTAAATTCGGTGAAAGACGCGCCGTAACGGGGCCCCATAGAAGAATTTCCATCGCCGGAAAAAGCCCGTCTGGTGCTCCGTTAATTGTCCGGATCCTTCGAATCGGTCGCGTAAAATCGCGCGGATATTTCGTTTCGTTATTTACGACGGATATTAACGCGGAGGAATCGCAATGAAGAACCGGTAATTGCCGTGCGGAAAAAACCCCATCGCGTTGATTGCAGAAATCTCGAAGGAAATTCGACGTCATTTTCGATGACGTTTCCAATCATGACAATCATGAAACATGGCTAAATTAATCAGTTTAATCACATTCATCAGATCTTTCAGCAAATGCGGCGGCGGCGGCAGCGGCAAGAAAATACCCATAACCCACAAACCGGGGGGCCACAAGAAATACAAGTACGCCTTCTTCTTGATTGCCCTTCCAGGGCTCGTTTACCTCACGAATAAGGTCATGGGGAAGAAGCTGTCGGAGGAGCCCTGCAGACCTCCTTTCAGAAAGTACCCTTATTTGAGGATAAGGACGAAGCGGTATCCTTGGGGAGACGGACAAAGGACCCTGTTCCATAACCCTAAAGTTAACCCACTACCAGATGGATATGAGGACGAGTTGGAAGAAGGAAAATGCGAAGACTAAATGAATATATGACACCTATGTTCAGTTTTTTATACATCAGAAAGATGTACAAAATTAATAAGATATAGATTAATATGTAGATCATTTCATAAAGGACATTTTAACTTTACCCAACAAACTTGTGATCAAAGGGAATCTCAGACAAGCTCAAACGCCATATAAAGTGTTTTAAATGTACCGAATTAGTTCAATTATACCGCATTTGACATTAGGAATACAAGGTTAAGGGATACTTCATCTTAAAGTTTCCTTCTTAATGAAGGTTTTAATAGAGTTTTATGATGGAACGGGCCCTATAAGAGAAGCAAGCATTGCGAAATTGACCTGAATCCCAGCCTGTCGGCCGGTGAACAATTTAACAAAAACCATCCAAGATTTACATATTTGGCTAGCGAGTACAGATAGAATGTCTCTTTCAGCGGAGTTTGTTAGCGAAATAAAAATAGTTTTGTGCGAGAGAATACAAACGACGGCTCGGCATTCTTCTGCGAATCGCGCGCGACTCGGTGCTCGCATGGCCATACTGGGTGTTCAGAATTGCGAGTTTCACTTTCGCGAAGCCAAATCGGAAAGTTCGCCGGAAAAACGAGGCTGATCTACATTCAACGCTGGCCGTTCCCGGGAAAAATTCCCCCCGGGCAAAAAGCGGGCTGAATATCTCGCGCCGATGGAATTGTTTACTTGCGCTTTTTTGGCCGATTCGATGGATTGAAAATTCGCGCAAAAAACGCCGTTCGCCCTGTACAATCGGTGTCAATTCAAATATTAATAGAATGAACCATTAAGGAGAATATTTCTGCCGTTTTAGTCGAAAAATCTTCCTTTATCAGCTATTTCTATCTCGGATATTTGTCCTTTTTTTGCGCTGGTTCGCAGATGGTAGAGGTACTTGTTTTACGACGATATCTCCTCTTTATAAGAAATTTATGTCTTTATGCTGCTGGAATCATATTCCCAATAAATATAAGATAATACCATTTAAAAGCCGTTTAATCTTCAATCGCGCTATAATTACACATCCCAAGCGTACTTTACAACTTACGGTTTGTAGTAAGTGAAGAGATGAATGTTACTTTAGATTTTGTTCAAAAACGATTCGGAATTTGTTTTTATTTTTGTATGTTCGCTCGGTAATTATTGTAACTGTATATTTATATCGATTACACGCATCCCGTGTTATACATTTTATTTACTCGCATTTTGTACGGCCGCCTCATTACAATCGAATTAAAATCTAATTAAATTCGACGCTTTAAAGTTTTGAATTTTTTATTGGACGTTATAAATTAGTTGTATATTACCCGAAAATGGACGTTTCAATAGCTGATACATTCCAGATTTTTCAAATTGTGCAATTACATTGATCATCAGATTGGTGCACAAAATAAAAATTAGAAATTTACGAGGCTATAAAAAAATCGAGTGTGAGAACCCGAAGAACATTTTTATTTGTAATAATTTAATATTGCACGGCAATCATTTCTAACGGCGCCTTCTTCCGATGTGCAGTTAAAAGCTCCACAAAAGCCTCCTAATAAAACTAATAGCCCGAGGTTTTACATAATCTAATTAATTTCGCCGAGTAATTACATCGGTTAATTAGGGAGTAATCGGCCTATTGGACGTTTTTTCTATTTCGACCGGTAATTATTCGTAATGATGTCTGTCGCTTTGCTAGTTTAATGTGTAATTTATATCAGTGCGTAAATTACTGGTGTTATGCACTTTCCCTTCGAGCAATACAAGTTAATTCAAAATATAATTCGAGAAGTTGAAGAAACTGTCATTCTCTTGTAAAATGTTTAGTAGAGAAGGAAAATAAATATCCCATATTTTAATTAATACAAGCTAAATTTGCAACGCCCTCTTATTAAACATGCAAAACATTTTGTTGTATGAATAAGTTTTTAATTTCTTTTGAAACGCCCCGATGTTTGTTCGAAAAAGGCTGATGGGAAAATCGCGAATTTGGTTCGAAATGCGCAGCAAATTAACCCTTAGGGTTAGTACCATTCGAATATATCGAACCCATTATAAGGGTACTGGTTGCAAAATATTTATAAACTAATAATAACAGGCCGCGAGCAACAATGAACCTGTGATTATAGCAACATTACGTAATTTTTTTAGCGAATAATTATTATTCTAATGCACTGTTATTATTTAGAATAAATTGCCGCGGCGAATGTGTGCAAAAATCACGCGAATATGTTACTCACGTCGTTGTCATTTCAATAAATAGTGTTATTATTATTTCTCAGTTGACCAGTGCATCAAAACACCTCCATAAGGGTATCATTAGATGTTAGAAAATACTCGCATTTCGAACGGAAATTGAACTGGTACGTTTATAATTCGCAAGAAAAGTCGAATAATTTATTCTCTAATTTTTTCCATTATACTAATTCGCACGTGCATGTTGTAAATATTAAGTATATACCCTCAATAAGGGTTTAATTATGACAATTTATCTATACCATCATCAATTAATAATTGAAGCATGTTCATGTAAAGTCGCTTGACTTATTAGGTAATTTGAGGAATCGAAAATGAAATGAAGACCGCGCAAATAAAAGCGTTATCACAAAATGCAGCTACTGTTTCATACCATATACCGTCATTAATCCCATCATCTGACAAGATGAAAAAACCGCGCTGCTGGTTTATTATTAATGAAAACAATTAGTGATGGCTGTCTTAAGAAGGCATAACAGCTCCGCAATTTCGAATTTCATGCTCGCCATTACTGATTCGATACATATTATTACGAAAATCGTTCTTTTCGCGTTTAATAACTATATGTGCGCCGCAATTGTTACCGGCGGAGCATCGTCCTGTGAATTTTTCAGATGGAATCTCCGCATCCTGTTCGAAGTTCCGCAGATATGATAATAAATGTTTACCTACTGATTTATTATTATATAATAATACGTGAGTGATGATTAGCAAACGGTTAACTGCAAGATGGAAAATGAATTCAGCAAAGTAGCTATACCTGAATGAATATCTCTTTGAAATGATGTTTTAATGAATCAAAAGGATCGTCCAATCTGTATAGTATGTAGTGCATGTAATATCAATATATTTATTAACAACAAATTATACTCTGTATATTTTTTTTAGTGATTTATAGTGCCTATAAGAACACAATTTTTTTTCTGAACTAACAACGGATTTTAATATTTTTGCATTAAAACGGTGAATCGCAATTATTCAATAGCGCAATTCTTTTATGTGCGGGTAACAAACAGACATTCAAATTAAAATTTCCCACATTAATAAATCAAAATTTAGGCATGTACAGGATAATAAAAAAAGCTTAAAAATGCGAAAAAGCATTGGACTAATTGATTGAGCGAAGTCGCGATGGGAGATAGGGCGTACGGAAAATAAATTCGCGTTCAATACAATAATGTGAACGAACTTGCAGCAAAACACCTGTTCATTGAAATAAATTAAGTAAATTGGGTTTAAATTGACTGTATAAGTACGGAGAAAATACCGGCATTATGTTTGAAATGGAATTGCAAATCTGGGAGGAAAATATATGGGTAAATATTCAGTTATAGTTTTATCAACTTATCAAGACTTTTGCTTTATTGCAAGTTTGATGGTTCGATATCTGATGCTTAAACCATTAATATTTATCCCTTATTTCAATTTTTTAACAGTTCTCAAAAGGCTTATAGTAACTTCAACTTCATACCAAGTAATAAATATTAAATATCCAAAAGCGGGTATAGAACTTATCAAACGAGCAATAATTTATATCTAGGATTCAAATTATTACAATTATATCACGGTAACGTTTAAAAACGCGTTAGAGAATTCGTTTAGGAAATAATTTGAATATTTTTTTAGAACTGTTAGAATGATTTACTATACTACAGTCAGAAATAAAATGCTAAACGGACGTAAATAAGTCGTATTGTCGGTGCATTGTTAAGTATTCTTATCTAATAAATGATAATATACTTTTATGCTAATTGATTGCGCGACCATTAATTTTGATAAAAAATTATTTACAATTTTACCTGTACGCGTATACGCGCGGCATATTATAGTTAATATTGAAATATATGTAAAATAACATTGCTCTCTCGGTCGATTATACGATTTAAAGTAACTTTATTACAGCGGGGAATATTCCGTCGTGGCGCCTTGAAAAATTTAATTACCGAAATCAATTTTATTTATCAGAAAGTAGGCATATCGAGCGTTGATTTATTCCCCCGAAATCTCGTTAGAAATCGACGGAGAGGCCGCCGGAACGCGTTCCCAGAACCCGAATTCGATTTGGGACATCTCGCCGCAAAATCGCTTTAATGAAAAATCCAATTAAAAGCTTACCTGGGTCTGCGTCAGGCCCAAACTGGCCGCCAGCTCTGCCCTTTCGGGCAGCGCCAGGTACTGGGTCCTTTGGAATCGCCGGTTCAACTGCTGGAGCTGCAGGCTGGAGTATATCGTCCGAGGTTTGCGCATTTTTTTACCTTTGCCGCCCCCCGACGGCCGCTCCAGCGACAGACACTTATCTGCAATGCAAACACCGTCAGAATTTTAACTATTAATCCAAAAAATAATAATCGAAAAAGTCTTATATTTAAAGAATTATAAGAAATTGAAGGTACAATAAAGTTTGTTGGTCGTACCATATTGTATTAAATATCTTGATAAAATCAGCTAATAATTTAAAATAAACCATCAAGAAATATTTTTAAATCTTCATCAACTTATAGTAGGTACCCTTTTTAAACAAATTTAACATTACTCCTGTTAATTCCTTCAAAAATTATATCATTTTTTAATATAGGTATAGGTACCCTACGCATTAGATCATTCTATACTTATACCATTGCAAAAATTAAATAATAATGGAAAATAGTAAAAAGTCTTCATATAGCCGATCGTTTTTTATCACCTCGCGTATGTATATCAACTGGAATTGCAGGTAATGAGTTTTGTATGTTTCATTGTACCTTGTAATGAGATATAGAGGGTATGTGTGCGCTCCAACCTTGTTGCATTTTATCATAAAGCGACTTGTACCTAAATAAATAACACGGGTCGGCACTTAATTTCTGGATTAGGAAAAAACGAAAAAAGCGCTTTAAAAACTTTACATCATATCGATAAAATGCGACAAGGCTCATCGTGCATTCGGTGTTCCTACGAAAATGCAAGTATTACTAGTACAAAATTTTTTAATTAACTTACAAAGGGTAATTATATTTTTTAAATCGAATGCAGCTATATAAATATTGTTTTTATATTTAAATTTACCTGTCTAAAATCGTCTAAATAAATAAAAATTTCGTCAGTTAATTTACTGAATAAATCAATAATTATTTAATTACCGTCTACTAGTGCCGTAATCTAACTAATTATTCATATTCCCTTTGCTATAGATTTCCGTAAAGCACAAGATTCCACAGGCATTTAATTACGAAACCGTTATTAACAGCCAATTTTCCAATTAAGTAATTAGAGTCGATTAATTAATCCTCGTTTATTTAATTTGAGGTTATTTTATTTGTGTCAAATTTCCCACCTTTAATAGAAAATCGGCGGACGAGCGAGCGCAAGGCGACAATATAAATAAAAGTTGAGCGCTTAACGGGCACTTTTACGCGTTAATTTTGCTATTTAAAAGCCACCGAACAGCACCTTATTTGTGGTGGTGTTTATTGATTAGTTTTACGCGACAGTTTGATTTATAAGAATAATATAATAGAGTTCTTATCGAGCAAACTTTTAACGTAGAAATAGCGTTACGCTATTTTAACGTACGTCAAATGCAAACCGAAAAATAATACGTCAAAAGTTGACAATATTATGACATTTTACAGTTTATATAGAGAAAGTTATTTTTTAATTGATTAAACACACTTTATATCAATTAATTACATAATTTTAGCACATTAACGGCTTACTTATTCATATATAAGGTATAGTAGATATAAATGTGATATTTTTTTACATTAATTCTTGAAAACTCATTTGGCGTTATCAGCGAGTGCTTTCATTAAAATTTAAAAAGTATTGTAATTAGCGCGGCCGATGTCGCAACAAATATTTTACTTCTTTTATTATTATTTAAAATCCAATCGGTAAAATTCGTAGCCATAAATTTACACGTAAATTTCACAATCAATTCAATGTCAGAGGATTATTTAATTTTTCATCAACAATAAAATTTATCGGATTTCCAAATAACCTTTTGCGTTGAATTTATAGGCGGGTAATTACCGAATTTTCTACAAATTAAATGTTGTAAAATTTGTGAAATTCTATCGATTGCGATTCGATATGAAATTACTTTTGATAATGAACAGTATAGGTAAAAGTGGATTTTTTTTTAGTTAATTCTCGGAATTTCAAAGTTGTTTTGAAATTTGTATTATCTTGTCACAATTAAGTGAATAGTAATTAAGCAAATAATAAATTATATTGCAAATGTTCGGATATACCTACAAATATAAATACAATTAATTGTAAATTAATTGTCCTAAATAAATGAAGGAAGCTAAATAGAAAATATTCAATGTAACTACAATAAACGAAAATAAATAGGAAACGTCTACTTAATTAGACATACCTACTTTTGTGCCCTTATATCAATTAATTACATATCATTTCCTCAATTATTTCAATTACAAATATAAAATGCATTTCCAAAACAAAATCATTGAAAATTAAATAAAAATTTACTCTAACGTGAATTAAAATAATAATTCTAAATTTACTCTTCAACACACAAATAATTTTAACATCATCCATCAAATCGAAAAACCAAATAATACAATAAGAGTTTAAAATGTCAACTTAAATATACCAATTTAACTATAACGAATAAATCACAATTTTTCACACAAGGATTATAATCTCGATAAAACATTAACTATATCCAAACATATTGAAATCTGCGATTTACTATTAAAATTTATTGCAATCGTGATTAATCTAAATGTTAATAGGCGCATAAAAAATTCGAGTCGAATGATAAGACCCGCAATTATTGGATAATAATGATAATTACGGTGATAATTACGATGATTTATGCGACTCTCCCGAATGTGGACCACGTGGTCGATTCTAATTAAAATCCGATCGCATAATTCGCGAATATTTGTTTACGAAATGGAATCAGTAATTGTCCAACAACGCGTTAAAGTTTCTATTAAGTCCGAAATATTTATGAGCAAACATGTTTGAAATGTCAGTAATCAGTGTATTAATTAAGAAGGAAAATATATCCGTAATTTAAGCAATATGTAGATATACCCGAGATACATTTTAAATTTTAATGCCTAATTTTTTTTTATATAAATCTGTGAAGTTGTGTAGTATTTTTTATCGGTTTAAGTAATAATTATAAGAACATGTGTAAATGTTTTATTGAATGTTGTAAGTGAAGAATATAAAGTTTATTGGATTAGCAGAGAATATAAGTAGGTAGTTAGATAAATTTTAATTAAGTAAAATATAAGAAGATAATCATTTTTAAAAGATACTTTGATGATTAAGTATATTTAGAAGATATACAAACTGATAATATGTAGATACATATTTCTTACTATTAAAATAACAGTTTTCTGACTCTTTTTGATAACATTTACCTATATTGGCGATTAAAAAATAATGATTGGTTAAATTTTCAGAAATAAAAATCATCAAAGAAATAAACTATAAATTTAACCACATTATCGATATAATTTGATGTTCTAAATTGAAGAAATAATTTGTAATTTTAATTCATTAAAAAGCGAATAAAAAAAGAATTTTGAGTAAATTTCTATAATACTTTAGCCTATGTATTGTATAATGAGGAAAGTAATAAATATTTGCGAATAATACATAATTTGATACCAAATTTACTCAAAAATATTAATATAACTGGATGATGTTGAAAATTTTTAATGCACCTATCAAGCAGATAAATCGGGCAAAAATTACCTCATCTCAATTCTGAAATTGTTATTGTTTTCTTGAAGAAATTTTATTAAATTAAAATATGCTTATAATTTTTAGTTCACTGTAAAAAATTTTATTTCAGTGTAGCACTAATATTTTTCTAACTATAAGAGAATAATTTCTATACTGCTAAGGGAGAATTGATCTAATTTTTTATTTCAATTAAAAATTGATAAAAGGGGGGCACCTGTATATACTACAGGGTAAAATGTTTGGTATAAAGAACTTGTATATAGACTTACCATCATCTTTGGGCGATGGGGGACAATTCGAAGCGTAAGATCCCAAATGATAACCCGTATAGGAATGCTGTTGCATGGGAGGAAAGGGATAAGCGCCGAGGGCGCCCCGGGGACTTGGGAAGCCGCCGTCGTGGCCCCCCGTCGGACCTGAATGCGCGTTTCCCGCCGGCGAATTGAAATGGTGCGGATAGGACGTCCTCAAGGGCCCGTAGCCGTGCTGCTGCAGCTCGATGAAGGCGCTCTTCGACACCGGCGTCGAGTTGTTGCTCTCGTGCGGCGTCGGCGGTCCGATGTGCCCCTCGCCGGCCATCGACGGCGTGCCCGGCGGGTCCTCGTTGGGCCCCCCGAACGGGGAACCCAGGTCCGTAAAATTCAACGTCGTGAAGGGTTTGTTATCCACCTTGCCGAACTTCGGTGACGTCTTGAAATTGTTCACTGAAAAATAAATCACTGGCGAACAACAAATCTCCGGTGTATCACTGTATCACTGACCCGAAAACGGCGAGGTGAGAAAAACGATAAGCGCGGCTAATCGTAACAGTTTAAGCAGTTAATGACGTTAATCTGAGGCCGAACGAAAGCAATTTAGCGCACCGAACGACGATAATAGGTGTAATCCACACTATAATTGAGTAAAAACTATTTGAAGATCGAGCCCGAAACCAAATTACACGAAATTGAGTGCATATGTCGTTTTTTTTACGTAGGAAAATTGACCGTTCGTTAACGAACCATCTACTACCTACGGACGTAGGCACTATAATGAAGAATAATCATATAATAGTACACTTTGGACTGTGGTTTGGCCTCTCAACCGGTAGGTTTCGCTACCGTTCAGCGAATCTTTACGTTTGATACGCCCGTTTTACTCGTTCACTATTTCCATTGGTCGCCTTCGGTTCTCTAACCTGTTTTTAGCTGTCGAAGGCTGGGTTTAATGGCGTGTCTACATACAGATAACGCCCCCGTAGACTTTCAGACGCTTCATTTTTAGGTTAGATCCAGATAGTCTTTTCTTGCACTTTTGTTTATGGCTTTTCCATACCTACTTATATCGATAGATTTTGTGCTTTCGAGTGAATAGAGATTTTTTTTTTCGTTGTATTTTTTTTGATAAATTTAAGTGTCGCACTGGCGGGGGTGAACGGGGGTGAATTTGTGGGGAGACGGTGAAAAAAATTGTAATATAAAAATAAATGTACTATACCTATACCTACTACTACTTATAGTTTTATAATAGATATGTATATTTTTTTCATATTAAGAGTAGTATACGATGTGTTTGGCTTATAGGCTGTTCATTTTTGTGCATGATGGACCTACATAGATATTGATTGCAAGTTTTTATTAAGAATTTTTTGATATTTTTTTAAATTTATTAGATACTATCTAAAGTTTTCATACATAGCTATACATAACATGCTTTTATACCTATAAATACTTAGAACAATGACATTCTTTCATAAAAATTACACGCAATAATATACAAATTTTTCAATGTTTTAGGTAACTGAAAAAAGTACACATATTTTTATGTATTAGTCACCTATACTTACATATCTCAATTAGGTAGGTACTACATGGACAATTTTTATCTTTCCTGTGGTATTTAATTAGAGTAGGTACTTAGTTAAAAGTAAATTCCTGTATAAATGCCCTACTTACTCCAAAAAACTAATTGAAGAAAGATAATAAAAATTTCAATAACCTTTAATTACTATAGGTCTTTATTTTTATTCATTCATATCTTATAGATATTTGTTAAAAAATTACCTAATATACCTAATATTTTATCTAAAGGTTAGTCATACCTATTTCACATTTTTTTACTGGAATAAAGTAGGTATCAAGGACCTAGTATTTACCTAGTAGTTTAATATGTATTACCTACGTATATACCTACCTAATTGCAACCTTAACCTTTTTTTTAATTTTCTTGCTCTTATACAGGCACATAATTAGGCACATACCTATACTATATTTTAAAACAAAAAGAAATAATTAAACTAAACCACAACATATTTCGTGTATAAATGCTTGAGATATAATTCTATACAAATTTGTAACACGAATATTCTTTTATAAAAAATTTTCGACTTTAACCGGTATGAAATCGGTAAGTATTGATGGCACGTTCGAGTTCGAAAACGCACAACAAAAGGGCCACACGCATTTTGCGAGTATTCCAACCTGTCGGTCTCGATAATGAGAGGTTAAGTCACTCGCTTTTCAAATCTTTTGTAAGGTCCACAAAAATAATTTTGGCACCTGTCTATCTGCCGATTGCTCTGTGGCTCTCTGTTTTATTTTCTATAGACGTGGGTACAAGAGCAATGAAAAGCGATGCAAAACTGTACATTTTATGTATATGTATTTTGTATTCCAATTGTCTGTTTAATTCATCTGGAATGTTTGATAAAGTGGCTTAAAAAGTTTTGTAATTGTTTCTTAATTTGCTTTTAAAAGAAGCAAATATTTTGATTGACATTTTTTGGAAACAAATCAATTAGAAACTATATACATACTCTACCTAATCCCTACCTTCTAATCCATATTGTGGAGAAACAAAATATTCCATTATGTCATTTTATATTCAATTTTTGGTTAAAAAAATAATGTTCTATTTATTCAGATAATGTTCAAATTTTTTCTAGTAAAAAAACCTACAATTTATGTACCTAACCTACACGTGTATACATTGTTAGATCGATTAAGTGAAAAAAAATTATTTGGTCCTCTTTGGAACGAAAGAAAAGCTAAATAAATCAGACACAAACAAGTCCCTCCAACCACCCACTTTAGCTTCATTTTTCTAAAAAAAAATCTACGCCAGGAACGCGTGGGACAGCCGTAACAAACCCAACATATACGCCGGTAATAAGTGGGCAGTTCGCGCAAAAAACCCGTAAAAAAATCCATCGGTGGCCGGCGAGTTGGCGCTAAAGACAAAGTGCCCGCTAACGCCGGTAGGAGGTCAGACGAAAATCGGAACGGAAAATTAAAGGCGATTCTTTGTTTATGCACAGTCTGCGAGTGCATGTAAAAATTGCGCGGCTATCTTTACGAGTGAATGCAAGCGTACAGAGGCATTAAAACTGGCTGAGAAAGGGAATGATATATTACCGATGCTATTATCGTGCCTGCTTAAATGCTTTAACGCCCTTCGAAAACTGCTTCACTAGCTGCGTATTTACCATTCATAAAAAATATCGTAATTCGAGAAGAGACATACTTTAATGCTCCATTTTTAGATTTTTAACTGAATTATTTGTGTAAATTTCTCTTCATAAACATCTTCTGTCCTATAAAGATTTTTTTTCCAATTCATTAGAGAGACAATTTTGAAATTTTTTTGTGATGTCCATCCCGTTATATACAAAGAGCGCGCTTTAATTAAACCTCTTTGCAATATACATAACGCGCATATTATTATATTCAACATAATTTTAGTGTTAAAAAAATCGCAAGTCACCGAGTAAATTGTCTTGGCGCATCCGCCACGACTTCCTCTCTTGCATTCTTCGTATCTTCGCGCTTCTTTCTTCATTTCGGGCGAGCAAAAAACGCACGAAGAAGCTTTCTTGGGCCGCGAAACGGAATATTAATTCGCGTGGCTCGCAGATGAAGCGGATTCGAGATGATAATGTCGAATAATTATGCAGGATTGCAGACATAGAGGCGTTAGAATAGTATCATCGGGAGGAATCTCTCGTAATTTCGGTTTCGCAAAAGCGGTCGCCTCTAATGCCTATCGAAATTCATTATCTATGCGGTGGGCATCGGTTATTAAAATTTCAGAAGCGCAATTTTTCTGTATGTAATTTTAAAATGAGTCGACTACCCACCCGAGTGCAGGTATTCGCAGGTATGCAGATACTGATTCTCGGTAACTATTATATTTACATATATTTCAATATTATTATGTTATACTGATGTTTTTTTACTATAATTTTTTATTGTGATGCTTTTATTATAACGTAGAATTTTTGGTTTCCGACGGTATATTCGTGATTATAAGAAAATAAACGAATAAACTATTTTGAAATCAGGTTACCTTTTTGAAGACACTTGTTGAATTTTCTCAATCATTTAATTGAATATAAACTTGTCTTGAATGTAAACTAATGTTCGACAACTATGTTACCAACTTAATTTTTTACATTCATACCAACTAATTATGAATTTTACTAAATGTGTCAAACTAAAAAGTGAATTTTTTTCGCATTTTAGCTTGCAATTTTTACTGTGAGATGTGTGAGATTTAATCAATTTATTCAACAGATAAAAAAAGAGTTACAAAGTATAGACCTCAGTTGGTAACACGTAAAAGGGTTAATATATTATTGCTAATTCATCAGCGATAGAACATAAGGACAACATATTATTTATAAGACGATGTACCTACCGATAAAATTATTGGAAAAATCCATACTAAATTAATCAGATAGTGTATAGTAACTGTTATTTAAAATTAAACGGTAAATCAATAATCTCGATAAAAGTATATGTTTACATAAATAAGTTATTAAAATCAAATACTAGTTCTTATATAAATGTGAAGAAATCACTGAAAAAAATATTTACTAAAATGAAGTATATTTTATGCATTTATATACGATGCAGCATACAAAAGTTCCTCTAAAATCTTCTAAAATTTAATACCAAAAAATAAAAGGAAATAGGATTCAATTTTCTTTAATTATTAGAAAAGTTAAATATCCAACTTTATATAATTTCTTTAGATAATTATTTCATTAAGTACTCTCAAAGTATTCTGTATATAACATTCTTTAAAATAGGTACATCTTCTTCATAAAACTTTAATAGATATACTCTGTATAGTAGAAACAAATTAATATATTTTCAATTTGCAACGGTCAGTGACGGGCGAATTTCTAATCTTAAATTTAATGAATTAGCAAACAAACGTCTCGAAACTTAAACACAAAACATAAAAGTCAACCTTCACAAAGGAATGATCACTGTTTCGAATTTTATTGTGCTCTTACAAGCGACTTTTATGCCCTTAACCGTACAAAAATCTGATTTCACTAATCGGCCAATATGTCTACCAGCAGGTAACAATATAGTACGGTCATCGGAGAAGGTAAATTTTATTAACAAGAATGTTTTAAAAAAATATGGAATACTGGATTAAATATAAGTGTCTAAACGCTGATGGTGGAAATGAGAGGATTTTGTGTAAAATAGATGCAATAAAATTGTTTGCAATACTGCCAGGCAATGGATGCTACAAAGATAGCTTCCATTAGTTCATATAAAGAAAAAGGAAAGAGTGATATTGTGGGGTTGCAACTTTCTGTTAGTTTTATAATAATTTTCTCTGTTCAACTCATATAAAGAATTGAGCACATTGCAAACATATTTGCCTTTACTCATATAAATTTCTAAGGTAAGTTATTCCCTAATTTTGTTAAATATTTATTTGGCAAACCGGCCTATAAGGATAGACCATCCATCGGAAGCAGGTAAAGGCACAGGCGTTAACGAGAACGAGACATGTTCTACATAAATTATTCGAGCGGCGCTTTTGTCGAGCGCAACTCTAAAAAGTTTTATTATGAATTTGTGAATCATTTCCAGCTACTGGATTTAATATTGAATAAATTACAACGATTCTTACACCTCGCGTTCGTTTATCCTCTCATCTCGCCACATCGCTGGTCGCCCGACCGCGACGAATCCCATTCTTCTGCGCCTTTTCCCCGCGATAGTGCCGCAGGAATTCTCAGGAAAAATACGTTTCGGAAATGGAAATGATGCGTACCATATTCAAACTTAAACTGTACTTTATGAGTAAGTTCCATACCTTATTATAAATTTCACACCAAATTAATTAAGTACCTACAGTTCGATAGCAATAGCTCGAACTGATAAGGTCATGTGCGCAATCAAATTGATTATAAACATTAGAAATGTGTTAAGAGAACTTTCATTTAACTTTGCTTGTCAACTAAAATTATTGTAACATTAAAAAAACGAATTTTTATGCACTTGAGCTGTAGATGTATGTTTTTGGTTTGAATTATGATTCGAATAGCCGGAATCGGGTAAATTCCGCGTAAATATTAGCCCAGCGCCGAATCAAGCAGTCAAAACGGGCCCGAGCATCATCCGGAGAAACAAAGAGAATCGTAGCTCTCAATTAATAAATGAGCGGCGGTTATGAGGCGCCGAGCGGCGCGGTCAAAAGAAAAAAATAATATATTTTTAACAGGATCTTTAAAGGCATCAACGCCTTTATGGCCGTAACGCCGATTTCGAAAGATAAACGGGCCGGAATCGTTCGCGAAATAGATGGATGGTTTGTTGACCTGGTTTTACGGGCATTATGGGCCTTCTCTTGTTGCGGTCCGTATACTTTGTTTGCGGTCGAATGCAATTAGTATGTTACACAAAACGGCCGATAAGATGTTTCTTTTAATATACGAATAAAAGAAGATTTTTTAATCGTTCAAAAGATTTCGTGATCAATAAAATATTATTTAGCACCTGGACATTTGTAATATGGATATTAAATTAATTTCGAGTAGAATAGGAAACAGTAGGATTTTTGAAAAATAACGGTTATTTTGTAACAGTCGTTATGGCACCTCTACACTAAAAAATCGATTCCCACCTCTATTAAACTTCTGTCATATTAAATGTCATTAATGTCAATTTTGTCAATTTTGTAAGTAGTCTGTGGTGAAAATTGCGGAGAGTACAACATATCTTTCAGAAAATCGTATAATTTAGTAGGAATATAATAATAAATTTATTCAAGAACCGCTTCAACATATCGTTCTACAAACACTCCCCTTAATTTAACATGTAAAACTAATAGAACTAGAGGATTTTCTGTAGAATCCCATTAGATAGAAGAGTCGTGGACTCTCGGAGCACATACACCTGTTAATGTAAATTCGAAGATCGGCTCGAAAAAAGCGTAGATAAGCAGATAGCGATAAAGGAAAGCGTCGGCTTCGAGTAACGGCCGAGCACCGGTCAAGCGGCATCGCCGAGAAATGCCCTTATGGCGCCAAAGGGCGCAACCCTAGCGAGTCACGCGACCGCCGCGATGCACGCTATTCGGACAAAAAAAAACCGGGGCTCTTTGTGGAGTTTGACCCGGTGAAAACGCCGGAGTTTTTTCCCTAATTTCGTATTCCACGTGAAAGAGACGGTGTATATAGCGCAGTGGAAAGCAAATATTTGGAGAGAGCTCATGAAATGTCTAATGATCTCTTTTAGCTTGTATTTTTCATGAATGAATTATTGAAATTTGTTATTTTCCTGCTTATATGTATAAAAAAGTTTATTAAAATAGGGATGTTATTCAATAAGAATTTAAAATGCGTTCGATGATACAAAAACTGTCAAAATTGACACTAATGACATTTCGTATATGAAAGAAGTTTGTGTAGAGTAGAAGTAACAACTGTTACGAAATAAGCGTTATTTTTCAAATATAACGTTTTCGTTGATATTTTCATCAATTATAATCACAAAAATTCATAATGGGCGAAATCGTAGATAAAAAATCTGGCGTCTCTATAGCAATTTCTATTTTTTTACCTGTACGAAATATCTAGAGTCGGGATTTTCGCCAATTTGATAAACGGTTCCAAACAATTTTCGACCAATTACGGCTATTATACCGGTGTATGCGAGAAATAATAAGGATCGTTGTTCGTGTTTACTCGGATCGTTTCATTCGACAATTTGTAAATATAAACAAGGCTATAATTTCGAATTATCAATTAGTCAGGGTGTGGATATACAACAAAAAGTTTTTTTTGTGAAAATTATACCGTTATTAAGAGGCTATGCATTGGCCAAACTTTGACATAAACTGACAGTTGAAAATTGACATATATTGACAATTGGCATATATGACCTTACAAAAATTATGGAAAACTACAGAGGCTCCTATGATCCATGTGTTAATACGGAGCTTCAATTAACTTTAGGTATTATCTAACAGATAAATTTATATGGCAATTATGCATTCAGGCAATCACCTTGGAGAGTTTTAACCAAATAAATTTACACAACATTCATTGCATTTTATTAATGCAATAATGGATTTTTAGATAATAATTGAATACGTTATAGAGATTTTTTTACATTTCCGCTACGTTCTAGATGAGAAATAATGGAATTATTTTTAATATTTCGCTTGGTCACGATCCTGAATAAAAGTCATTTGAATAGCCTCGAGTCTTTTAGGTACTCATCGAGCCTTTGGCTTTTTTTGGCTAAACTTGGCTTTTTTACATACCTATATAAGTAAATTAGATTATACCCCGCATATTCAACGCATGCACGTGGAATAATCAAAACTCTTTATTATCCAGGACACGTGAAAATGGTATATCTGGCAATTTAAATTGTAAACTAGATTATATCTTTGTTGACTAACGCCTAATTGGTTAATAGATTTACTGATTAAACCTAATGGAGTTTGAAATTTATGTGCTGCACACGGGAAGTCGCTGCTCAGGCCTCAAAATTCCGTCTAAAAATATACCTCACATCAATATTATATCAGGATCACTTAAATGGAAACTCCGCACACCGGAACTCACTTTAAGATGCGTTCGAACTGTCAAAATTCACATTAATGACATTTCGTATGACAGAGGTTTAATAGAGGTGGGAATTATTTATTGTGTAGAGGCGCAGTAACGACTGTTACAAAATAAGCGTTATTTTTCAAATACAACGTCCTCCTGATTTCTTTATTCTATTCTACTATATTAAGAGACCACCAACCAGAAAGTCGGCGATTCCCATCGGTTCCGAAAAATCGGGTCAAGCCGAAAGAACAAAAAAAAAACGATACGCCGTGTCACCGGCATCATCGTCATCGCGGACGTTTCTCCGGCCGGAGCGGAGGCCGCGGGCGGCGGCGCGGAGGGGCCCGCTGGAACATCAGACGCAGAGGTGTGTTCCCGTGGCGCCGGTCTCTCAGACAGGTAGCGCGGTGCACGGAAACCGACGGCGCGAACATAAAGAAGAGAGGAACGAGAACCGCTCGACCGGGGCCCGGGTTCTCTCGTCGCAACGCGGGAGGGTTGGAGCGGCGCGACCGCAATCAGTGCTGTAGGTCAACGCTGTTTAATTACAGGGAACTCTTCGGAACGGAAAGGAGTACGATGTGAGATGTACGGTTTTTAGCCGAATATGTGAAAAGATATGACTCATTAGAACCCGAATCAGTTTTCAGTTGTTCGAACTACTTATTCAATATTTTAGGAAATCTAGCCGTTTTAAATTTAAAATTTTGACCCGTGAAGTATGAAGTACTTCACCAGTCACAAGAGAGTTTTGTTGTATTGAATCATTAGTGGAATAAGAATTCGAACAAACTTCGGAAGAATAGAAGAAACGAACAAAAGTGAAATGTAACATCAAATGACAGACGACATATCTAGGGTTAGATTATTGTAATTTCTTTGTTTTAAATTTATTGGGCCAAAAACATAGACCTATTAACTTAATAGCTAGGTCTATGGCCAAAAATAAACACTTTTTTAGGAAACAATGAAGAATTTTCACAAAACGGCATAGAACAAGGTATAACCTTCGAATGCGACATTTTAAAATTGTATAAGTTGATTTAGTTGGAGGTTAAGTTTTTGTTTTTATTAATTTGACAAGTTTATATTTTATATTATAAATATTATATTATTTAAGAAATATAAGTTCGCTCTATATTTTTCGATTAAATCATAACTGTATCAAGAAATCGTTTGTATATCATTGCATAGATATACAAACAAACGCCTTTTTTCAGAGTAAGAAGATAGTTGAAGTTGACAACGTCGCTAAAAATGTGATTGGTTAATGACTTTTGACGTATTTCAAACTTTAAAAATTATCTGAAACAATTCCTCCTGTATAAAGCACCCTGTAGAGGAAAAAAATATACTGCCCTAATTTCGCGTAGCCCTGACATTGAACTACTAACGAAATCCGTAGGTTGTAAGTACTTTTGTAATACATAACGTGCGGAGTGTCGTATTACACCGAGTGACGTAGGCACCTTAATAGCCTTCAACTGACTCTTCCTTATTAACTTCCTCGATAAAAGTCGAATCGTTTGGGCAAATAAACCGAGAGAACGCCAAGATGAGCATATCCTTGTTAGGCCAGGAAAACCTTGGTTGTAATTAATCAGTGAAAATTTAATAAAACGAATCGAGCCCGTTCGCGCTCGGTGTGATAAAACTATAATGCAGAATTTTTGGATGGCGACCTGCTAAGCGATGTTTAAGTACCGCCGAACCCACATCTTCATGAAATGCATGATAAATTATTATTTAAAAAGGACTAATTGGCGTTTAATGGTTCGTGTTTACAATACTCGATAGCCGTGAAAACGATCCGCTGGCTGATAGAGAGGCGCTAAAAAAGAAGAGTCATTGTTGGACAATTTATCAAAATCCAATCTTGCGACATTGGACCTACCTGAACTGCCTGCTTAGGGTTATCGGATATGCCACGCGTATTAAATGATGGTTTTTTTTTCCTATACACCTCTATCTCACTAAATTCCCTTGTCGGTGTGTTTAGTTGTTTCACTGATAAAACGTGTTTAATTGCTCGCTAACGATTAGGTTCGTTAAATTAAATTGGCTTAGCGTAATTTTAGCGCAAATAAGTGTCTAATTTTGATAACTTTTCATTTTTTAGAAGCTTACTGACGTGAAATGTTTGGCAAAATAACCTCACGCCTTGTCTTGGTATCCACCAAGTAGTATTCAAATCAAAGATGTTGGAACCACCCATTGGAATGAAACCTTGTTGAAAAATGCAATTCTTAAGGGAAAATTCGATGTACTAAGAAATTATTTTTTTCTGGAGAGCTTCACCTGGCGTTAGGGAAGGACATTTGGGACCCTGGAGTTGCTAAAACTAACACCTCTTTGCTTCTCTTAATAAGATTGTGATGGAGAGTTCTGGTGTAGAGAGGACTCTTTGGTTTAGGATATCTCATATAAAATTCTACAATAAGATGAAACCATACTCCAAGTGGATCTTAGTACCCGTTCGAACCATCTCTTTATATTTCCAAGCCTCCTACCTTCAAAGTAGGTACCTCAGAAGAACCATTATATCATATTATAGAACTGAGCATAATCTAGACAAATCTTCTAACATTTTCATACAAATAACGCATAATTTGAACATCACATCACAACTTGTACATACACCAACTCATACATTCATCAATATACCAGGAGATATACCTGAATTGTTAAATAAACGAACCGCCCTGTAAAAATCTACTGTTTCTAATACTCATGCAGACCATCCCGGCTGGCGTCAATTCTATCATTATTATACGCAGTTAAGTAGCTACCGGGCTTGCACTGCCGCGTCATCATCGTCTCGAATTCATTAAAGACGATGACTGTGTGATCTGCGGGCGCTTCCACGGCGGCTCCCCGACCGGCGGTACCTCCTGGTGCTCGTCGCCTCGTCTTCTCGCCCTGTCGTCGTGTCGACACGTCTTTTCTCTCGCGCTCTTTGTGCACGGAATTGTCGACCGGTGATTGATAGGTAAAAAAAGAGCTTCGACGCCGATTTCGATTCGATCGGTCGCCGGTACTACTTCTAGTACTTACTGGCTTCTTGCTTTTTGTATACATTTGAAGACTTGATGTAAGGTGCTTGTATGATATGATAAACATCGTTGGTTCTGGTATATGCGTGATAGTACTGGCCGGTACTTAAATTCGTTACGTAATAAAGTCGCACAATTTTCGAGGACGCGATGCGTGTTTGACACAGTGAGGGCGCATGGAAACAATCGCCGGCGATTTTACACGCTCAGGGAGCGAAATAATGACGGTACCGTCGGTACCGAAGGCCCGGTTGTGACACACAATCGTTTACGACAATGACGGTCGTCTAATTTTTCTATCTATCTTGTATCAATTTCGTGGAGCGGAGGACGTCATGCAAAACTTATTGGCATGTTCTCCGGTTATAGAAAAATATTATTTTAATGATGCGAGTACTTTTTGTTCGCTGGGAAGATCTGGAAGGTCGATATAGGAGTAGAGTACCTACAGAGTGTTCGTAAATGATTGATTCCCACGTGACCTAAAAATTTATGCAACCCAAAGAGCACAGTTGTTATTTTTGAAGAAATGTCCCTATTTTCAATAAAAATCAACACAGTGGCGTAAGAACTTTAATCCACTAGGTTCTTCATTATTTTTACCTATCATTAATTAAAGGTTCCGTTGATACAGTTTTCTTTGGGAGAAGCACAGGAAAAACGAGGAAAACAACAAAACACGTTATTTCTACAGAGATTTCATCGAGTTGACGTTGCCTTTACATTAATGGCAGTATTCTAGTAACTTATTTTTTGGGTACCAACATAAACATAACAAATTTACTACATTCATTTCGAATTCGGTCACGTGGGAATCAATCATTTATGAAGACTCTGTAGAGGGAGATTCGTTTTCTTCTGATTCCTAAAAAGATCCACAAGAAGTTTGGGTAGATCAAAAATTTGGCTGAATGACTTATCTAAATAAGACCAGAATATTTACATTTTTTATTCTTCCTTTCATTGGGAAATATGCAAGAAATTTACGCATAAAATCTTGTATTCCTAATCCATTAGTACCATTTAATTAGCGATAAGAACAATAATTAAGTATGCGTGTCTTTGTCAGACATATCGGTGATCAAGTAAGTGAAACAAAGAGAGCGATAAACATGCCAATTTATGAGTCGATAAAATGGTCCAATTTGTATCTAAATGCAGTAACAATAATTTTTCATCGTTTTCTTCGCTCTACTTTATCAATTTATTACCATTAATTTTTAAGGATAAACTGAGGTAATCGTTTCATACAAGTAGCGACATCTGTCTTACAATATCGCGAACATGGAACACGAAAGCGAATTACAGAAAACTGTAAATGTTACAGGAATCTTCTTTGTTGTTGAAATAAAGACTAAATTCCAGTGCATGCAGTTTCCCCGAAACCTCCGCAGTTATAGTGCCTATGCGACCGCCCTTTTTTACCCATTCCTCCGATGGTCGCCATTAATGCGAGCTCTAATAATATGTTTACCATTGGTGGAACATTTATATTATGGGTTTTTAGCATGGCAACTTTACATAAACTTTACTTTCAGTCTGAAAGACCCGAGCCTAGGTGATACATACAGCACGAAACATATTTGTCATTCTACGTGTTTAGAATTTTGTTTTGAGCTTAAGAAATTTTAACCCATATCCTATTTAGCCCATTATCAAGTAGGCCTCAAGATTGACAAGTTGTCATTAGAATTTTTCCATCAATTGAATTTCCTATCAATCTTATAAAGTTCATCAAGCAATTCATGAAATTGTAAATGATCTCTTCTGATGTAAATTCACAGATCCATCTTTTTCCCGAAAATTCATAGATATATTCATTGTAGAGAACGAATAGGAGCGATAAGAGAATGATTCGAGTCCTCATTGGTAATAATTCAAAAATTTATTCAAATTTCCTCTCCATTGTTATTAGTTTCGGTTATCGCATTAAATTAAATCGCTAATTAAAACAAATTAATTAAACCACTCCCTGAAATTTTATTCTAATCTATAAGTATATTATAAATACAAACATATCTTAATATAATCAAATTGATTAATTTAAGGTGTATTGTTGGTGTTTATTCAATGAATTAAGGAACGTCCTTTCTACTGTAGTTGGCCCATCTAAAAATAATAGATAATAATAATAAAAATTAATCTAAAACGGTATAAATTTTTTACCGAAGGGTACCCAGGTAATTTTGGTTCCATCCGCCTCCAGCCTGGCCGAATTAATAGCATTTCTTACTGCTAACGGGACAGCAACGGATAAGCATAAAGGAGGTTCAGCAACAGCTAAAAGAACCGATTTTATATTTTCTTAGCTGCTGTAAATTTTATTTAAAATTCACCTTTACTCCTGAGAACACCCACAGGATTTTGACTGTTTTCAGCGAACTTTATTCTGAAATTTATTGGAATATCCTTAGCACCTGGCGGTTTGTAGGTCCAAGTCCTGTTCGTTAACAGTTGACCTGCATTATCGAAGATAATTTCTTCGGTCATGAAGTATCCAATGCCTAATGCAAAAAGTGAAGTTGATTATTTATGAAAGTACACAAGAGCATATCATTTACCCATTACAAAGGCTCCTTCAATTTGCCCAATGTCCACTAAAGGACTCATACTTTCGCCCAAATCTTCGATTAAATCTACTTGCAAAATTTGGTATTTTCCTGTTAGAATATCAACTTCAACGGTTGTTGAACAGATGCCGTAAATTGGATATTGTTGTATACCAGGAGCATCTTTCCAGTAACTAAAAATGTACATATATAGTTGAGTATATACAAAGAATTCTCTATTAATAAATTCGCTTACAATCCAGACGCAGTGAGTTGTACACTCGAATCGTAACATTTCCTAACCAGCTCGACCCAAGTTGGATTTTCCATTTTTTCTTTAACAGGTTGCATTCTGCTCAAAAGTGTATCACAAGCCCTGATGACAGCCTGCAATAATTAACAATAAATAATAGAGTAGTAGGAACCTTACAATTTTACTTAGAATTTAATAGATATATGGAAACTTACATAGGAAACAGCCTCGCTGGTCAAACTACCGCCCGTAAACGAGGAATTCGCGTTTACAAAGGAATAATTAGGTTTTATGGAAACTTGGTCTAATCCGATGCCAAACTTGTACGCGCAAACTTGAGCAACCTGTATACGTAGATATAATAATTAACTGCCAGATAATTTTGTTAACGTTATTAAAAGGAAATTTGTACCTTCGTATTTATCCCTTGGCCCATTTCGATGCCAGCATGCGATACTGCAACGCTACCATCTCCGTGGAAAATCGAAACAAGTACCGAATAATTGGCTGCTACTCCCAAAGTCCATCTCATAGGAACTACTGATAAACCTTGCTTCATCCATCGATTTTCCTTATATCAAAAAAATATTTATTTATTACTCGCATTCTACTATGTTAAGCAATTAATAATACCTGATTGAACTTGGCGACTTGATCTTTCCTTTTTTCAATGTCCGCCCAGGTTTTCAAATCTTGCCAATATTTCGGTACCTGAGGAACTGCTGAGCTGTTGTTGGCCAGTTTGACATCAAATGCATCTAAATTTAATTCACAAGCTATGTGCTCCATAATGTTTTCTATAGCAGCCATGCCTTCGAGGCTACCTATAAAGTTTCAAATCAATCAGATGATCTTTTAGTAATTTACGGCGAACCTGGGCTTCTGGTGTAGCAATTAGCGTGAGAATCGGTTTTCACTACAAAAGTACTGAACTCCCAACGGCTAGGATCGTAGTTGTTTTTAAACGAATCCACTACTAAATCGTTGAACGGTTCGTTGCCACCAATACCGAAATCGGAATACAAATTCGCGTTCAAATACTGGATAATTCCTTGCTTATTCACATCCACTTGGTACTTCATGTATAGAGGAAACCGTTTTCCGATTATGTTCATGTTATCTTCTATCGACAGCGACATCGTCACCGGTATTTGGAGCTTGTGCGCTGCCAGAGCAGCTGCAGAAGATACCAAACCGCTGCGGAACATTTTGCCGCCGAATCCGCCACCCAAGCGCTTCACTTTTACGTTTATCCTAAAAAATTACAAAACATCAGCCGGTGAAAGGATGAGAAAAAGCGTATTGTAACTTATTGGCGGGAATGCCTAGTACTGAAGCGGCAGCTAGTTGATTAATATCCATCCATTGCGAAGCTGGATATATATCGATGCTATCTTCTCTTGGGACGACTTTGCAACATTGCGTTTCCATGTGATAATGGTACTGCCAACCAACGTAAAATTCACCGGATATAGTTTTGTAAACATCCTTTCCTGCAATTTGTTAAATCATTTTACATCATCAACGTTCTTAATTGGAATAATTACCTTTGCTTTTCGGCGATATTGTCGATTGGTGGATGATTCTCGCTTTTACGTCGTCTTTAACTACATCTTTAACGTTGAAATAAGCTTTTTTGGTAGGAGGATTGTAAGTAATTTTAACCATTCTAGCTGCTCGCATAGCTAGAAATTCCTCGCTAGCCACAACGATCCCAACGGGTTGGTCGTAATACAACACAGTTCCGTCGCAAAATAGTTCTTCTTGTACTGGAAACAATCCAACGTCTTTTGGAGTAAACGTATTGGTGCCCGGAATGTCGCGCTTATCGAAGTACGCGAGAACTCCTTTCAGTTTCTGGAAGTTTCATAGGAATTATAAGTGTGCGAAATTTGTGAATATATCCTTACCAAAGCTGCAGTCGCGTCTATGGCTGTAATTGTTGATCCAGCTTGAGCTTTAGCGGTTACGAATGCAACGAAAGCTTCGTTGGGCAATAGAGGTGTATCCATGATGTATTTGGCTTGACCTAAGATCGGGTAAATGGGATAAGTATTGGTGTATAATTGATTTTTGAATTAACAATTACCGGAAGTTTGCGCTAAAGATTCCAATTTCGGTATGGGTTCTGTGAGTGGCCATTCGTTTTTGATAGTTCCGTATTCTTGGGATCCTTTGGACAGGGGTCGTTCTAACCACAACCCGCCACTTTTGTATCGGCTGCCAATTTTATCGGATGGGCAAGTTTTTAGAATAAACTAACAAAGAAGAAAAATATTACTTTGCTTCTCAAATTAGCGATTTTTTATACCTTATAAAAAAGCGATACGGCCAGGTTTCTTCTAAAATCAGGAGATGGTTCCGGTGGAGTAGCGACGGGAACGATTTCGGTGTATAAAGAATTGTATGCTGTTTGCAAATTTGCATTGTTGTACAACTCTTTTCCTTTTAATAGTTTTTCGGTGGAAGAGGCGTGTACAAAACTCGGATTTATGCCGCCGTAAACGATTCTAGCTTTTTGAACGATCCCGTTTTGAATCTGGACCAGAAATCCCGCATTTACCATTGCATGGGCGTTTTGAGTCCTTGGCATAATCTGCAATTAATTGTGTTTACTAATATTTATCGAAAAGCTTCCATCCTTAATGATTCACCACTAGTTTTTGCCACATACCTTATAAGAAGCGAATTTGTACGAGTCATCAAATGCCTTGAGGACGATGTTTTTGATTACTTTTTTGGTCATGTCTAACTTCAGGAAATCCTGAGGGGACACGACTTGCTCGCTGTTGTCCATACTCACTGAAAAATGTTTAATTTTTTATTTGTTCCTTAATAGTATTTGAACATATTACCAACTACAACATCGGCATTAAATGTTTCCAATAACAAAAATACGTCCGATTGGAATTCCTGGTGTAGATGTTTTAACATCAGATTACCAGCGATGCTGCCGATCTAAAAAAATAGTTCCCTGTATTTAACGAAATTGTTCTTGTTTGATTATAGACCATTTAATTGGGATTGAAATTCACATCGAGATTAGTTAGATACTTACATTTCTTACTTGAACTGTCGCCACTAGGTCTATATGCGAACATACGGTTTTGAGGTAAGAAAAACCTGGCGTTGAAGAAAACTCATCGCAAACTTCCATTAATTGTGTTAAAGTTACGTTTCCTCCCATTGTGAGTGTTTCATTTTTCATAGCGTAAGTCTTGAGCTCCTCCACTTCGAAGATGTCTATGTAGACAGATGGCGAAGGGTCGTTTCTAAAAACTCCTGAAACACCATTTATGTTATAAGGATCGTATAAAGTTATATCTAAATGAAAATACCTCTTCCTGTATTACCGAAAATCAACTTGTAACTATTAAAAGTAGTTTGCAAAGTCTTCAATAAATCACTTAATGTGGTTACTCTAATCCATTGTGAGTCATCAAATTCTACCAAAAAATTTTCAACGTTCTCCTTGTTGATTTTATTTTGGCATGGGGGGACATCTTCTATATCAGCAACAGCGTCCTTATTCGTCGCGAGTAGACTGAAAGCGTGTAAAATCGGCCTGTATCCGGTGCATCTGCAGATATTCCCTCCGAAGGAATTCTCGATATTTTCAGCGGTCGCCTTCCCGGATTCCTCGAGGGCGTACATATTCATCACCATTCCCGGCGAGCAAAATCCGCATTGGGTGCCGTAATTCTCGCTCAGAATCTTCTGAATTTTGTGGTAGCCTTTAAGCGGGCCCCCAAGACCTTCTATTGTATGGATCCTCCAGCTGTCGCATGATAGAATCGAAACCAAACACTGAAAATTTTAGTTTTGGCACTCGTGCATATTTGAAAAAAGAGTTTATAATATTTACTGAGTTTATAGAGAAGATGCGTTTTTTTCCGTCCACTATTTGATCTACGACAACTGTGCATACTCCACATCCTCCTTCACCACACATTCGCTTAGTGCCAGTTAGATGGGAATGTTGTCTTAAGTAGGTGTTAAGGGTTGTTTGTGGACTGATATCATCTTTTTTAACTTAGAGGAAAACAAGAAAAAGTACAGAAACGGACTCAAGAATAATGCAATGAAAGAAAAAATATGAAAAAATATAGAAGAATATTTTAAAAAAATCTTACCTATATGCTTTTTGTCATCGACGTGGAATTGTATAGCTTTCTTAGTTAGCATTGTGGGGATTTAATGCTAAACTGAAAGAAAGGAAGTTTAGTTGGAGTTAACTGCAATTTTCTACTGTTACTATTTAATTAGAAATAGAGAAATTTTGTCGTCAGTTTCTTGCAAGACTTGCAACAAACTGTTTCAGTAAACTTTTTGTGCACTTCCTTTATATAGCCCGCTTGCTTTTGTCTTGGATAATCTTCAAATTATGCACAAAAGTGCAAAATGATTAGATTAGAATGCACCAATTAGATAATTTAAATACATATTCGTATTGATTTCAATTTTTTCTTAACTTTAAATTTTTTCCAACTTAATTATATCGATAGTTAATATTAGATAAAGACACTTTTAAAGAGGTTAAATTAAAATTTCTAGTGGCGATAGGCAAAAGTATTGCATTAGCATGAGATATACTATGCTGATAATACTAATACATTGTACGAAGAATGGATACAATGTAATATTAATATTATACCTCATCAAATGTAGCTAGGTAGTAGAAAATTGCTTTAGATGCGCGAAAGAGGAAGAAAGACTGACAAAACTACAGTGGTCTTATTTGTGCATGTTAATTTGACAAATAATTAAGGAATTACGACATTTAATGATGTAGGTACAAGTGTTTTAAGTTGTTGATTCGTTTAATTCAATTACTTACACTCAGAGATTACTTACAAAGTATTATTAATATTAGACTAGGTACTCAAGATGTATATTTATATCGGTTCAAGTTGTTAGATATATTTTTTAAATTTTGTTACAATGTTTAAAAATCCTAATAAAGGTTCAACAAGGCAGATAATATTGATAATAAATTAAAACATAAGATCAACAATTCTTTAAAATTTTCTAAAAAAATGTCTAATCCTACAGGGAGGGTTTTCGGCCACACGCCCATTCCGTACCTAGGTAGATACATTTTATTGTCATAAAATATAAACTTTTAATTCCGAATATTCTACGCAATTTTCCATTTCTTATCCTGTCCGACAAAGTAAAGAAAGTTTTTTGAAATTTTTCTTTCTCTCTGGTTCCATGGATCTCTTGAAAGTGTACTAGATTTTTTAAATGTACTAGATTTGGAAAAGGTATTACTTGAAGCATGTTGAAAATATTTATAGCTTCACCCCTTAATTTTTTCGTTCATCATACACCAAGTTTATATAAAAAAAAACAAAATAGTCATAAATAAATGTTTAATAGAATTACCGAGTATAAATATTATATTTTATCTAACAAGGCAATAATTGGATCACTAACAACACTATGATATAAAAAACAGTACAAAAATCCAAAAAAAAATAAAAAATTAAAAATTCGGGCACAAATTGTGCAATTGATCCTGCAGAGATCGCACTTCTTCCTGCAGCTCCTTCAAATGTTCCTCCATTTTAAAAAAATCCCTCAAGTTCGCCACGTGAATCTCCGTCAACGTCGCCCTCAACTGGTACACCGAACGCGCGTTTTCGAACTCGAAAGCCTCCTTTAAATCGTTCGTAAGTTTCGCCAACCCTTCGTTTACATAATCCCTTAAAACATGCTTCAGTTCTTCGTTAAACGACTCCCTAACGATAGCTTTTATCTCGCTCGAAGAAGGCGCTTCCGCCGCGGCCTCGCCCTTGCTGGTCGACGGCACCTTCGGCGTCGAACTGAACGGCTTACGGACCGCCATCGGAGACCCCTCGGCCTCCACAGCACACACGCCGGAAGTCACAAGCGCGCTTTTTTGCGCTTCCTGCACGACCGGATTGCTCTCCGCTTTGATCGAACCTTCCGCCAGGTGCTTATCTATACCGAGCGCCGCAAAAAACGAGTCCTTGCTGTCGTTGGAATAAACAGTACCGTCATTTTGCGATACCGGTTGTAGAGCTAACCAGCCGGATAGATCGGTTTGTTCGGTGTAGCTGTTCCGATTCGACCGGGTGCTGCTTCGTCTTCTATTCGACATCGAACTACTCGTCGATATGCTGTAAGTGCTGGCGTTCTGATTAGTTTCGGCGCGTTGAAACGCTACTTGTTTGATCGAACTGTTGTGAGCGTGAACGGAATGCACCGGTTGGTTTATATTCCTCGAATCGTACGTTAGCATTTGCCCGTTTTGACAAGCCGTTATAAAATACACTCCATCGGGAGAAAAATCAACAGCCGTAACGCAATTGTCTACGGTAACGTGACCCACGCGTTTGTTGTCGATGATGTCGTAGAAGCAAAAGTGCCTGTCGGCTCCTGCGGTGAGGACTAAATCGCGGTTTACTGGTGAAAAAGCCAAGGAGTTTACAGGAGCTTGATGGGCCTCTAAACAGAACACCTGCGAGTTGACGTTTATATCCCACACGACTAGGACGCCTTCATCGCTACCGGCCATTACGAAGTTCCTCTTTAGCATGTTGGTCTTCAGGCAGGTTACGTTGGTGGATCGAGGGACTGCAAGACGAGCCGGAGGGCTGTTCGTTACGTTGTTATAAACTAATACGTCTTTTTTGCAAGCCACCGCGCAATGGGTGTCTTTGGCGGTGAAAGCGATGTGTTTAACGGGGCCCGCAGCGCTGGAGAACCGCTTTTTGACGTTTTGGGATTTTATATCGTAGACCAGCACCGAGCCGCCTTTCGTGCCTATTCCGATGTACTTTTTCGTGGTGTTTTGAAAGCACGAGGAGGTCGGTTCGGTTATTTCATTGATGGTTTTGAGTAATCTTAGTTCGCCTTTGACGCTGACGATTTCCGTTGGGCCTGAGTACGGGACGACGGACAGCCAATTTCCGTCTTTGCTCCAGGATATTGTTCGAATGGGACCCTCCGAATTGCCGGGATGGTAATTGTAAACGACTTCGCCTTTGGGGAATTCGTGGAATTTGATTGTCGAGGAAACTGAAGCGATGTACATTTCTGTACTGTAAAATAGTAAAATTTGTATTCGTCTACAATTATATGTTAATTTAAAACTGATAGAAAATAATAATAAAAAACATCAACAACTACCTATTTTAATCAGTTTTCTACAGATATTTCGTTTAAATAGATGTTTCTTTATATATGCTTTTTAAGAATATCAACTTTATTTTTTATGTTCTAAAAAGTAAAAGCACTAGAAATAAAGTAAATCATTACTACTTTACTATAAAAATGAAATTACCTTCAAAAATATTTTCTTATTAAAAATAAACTTAACAAATTATAAAAAACGTTTACTTTTAAACTTGAACTAAAAAGTAAAAAAGAATAACCGATAACCAACGATCTGAAATGTTTACAAATTTATAAACCATGGAATTGACAATTTGACCAGTTGTCAGAGCTGACAACTAAAATTGACATAGGACATCATAAATTGACAGATATCAAATTAAGATATTACAAAAAAAGAAGAAAAAGAGGATTTTGTTTATTTTTACTTATAAAAGAAACATAGAGCATGAAACTAAACATACATGTTTTTTATTTTGTATTTTTGTCTATGAACATTATGTCTTGTTTTTAATTAACGGAATATATTGAAAAATTTATTTTTGTCACTTCTACTGTCACTTTATAAAAAAGTGACACTGACATTTAAGTTGACAGCATCGATAATTTAGACATATTCAAAAAATTTATATGTATAAGTTTATCAATAAAAACCGGATGATTTTATCTAATAATACGAAGAAATAGAAATAAACCGACACAAATCGACGCATTCACGATGAAAATCAGCGATTTTATCAATTCCCTTAATAATAGCCCATTTGAAGACACAGCCATCATAAATTTCCAAGCCTTCAAAAATGAAAATCAAAACAAACCATCCGATTCCCAACTGTATGAAGTACGTGTATCTATTTATTTACCTCATTAACTCATCAATTTAATATAAATAATATTTTAGAACGAAGAATATTCCAATAGATACGTTCGATTCAATGAAGAGAAGAAACCTTCGAAACTCCCCAAATTGTCTACAATCCTAGTGGGTTTCATGTTGTTATCAGCCTTCATAATCCTGCCAATAGTTTACTTAATAAATTGTTTTCGATTTTCCTTCGATAACCAGCAATTCCATCATCACGATCGTGCAATTGCATTTCCCCACAGCTCCATCAATTCAAATATCAAACCCATTTCTGAACCAAACAAATTACCACAGCCTCCTAAGCCTGATTATGGTGTATGCAAATCGATGACAGATGTCAATAAGTTCGATTGCTATCCAGGAGGGGCAGTCGATCAGCAGAAATGCGAAGAAAGAGGGTGCTGTTGGTTGCCCCGATCCGATGGGGTGCCATTAAATGTACCGTATTGTTTCTATCCTTCGAATTATGGAGGTTACAGTGTGGTTAATGTGACCGGTACGAGCTTCGGTTTGACTGCCTTTCTGAAAAGGGAGTATTCTACAGGATATCCAGGAGATGTGGGAGTTATTAAGATGGTGGTGAAGTACGAGTCGGAGACTAGATTGCGGGTTAAAGTGGGTTATCTTATATAAAACATTTCATGCATATTTGTATACATTTTTTTAACGCTTTTAGATTGTTGATCCATTAAGTAATCGATATGAATGTCCCTATCCGGAAATTCCGATCGTTGATAAAGCTTCGATTAATTTGATGTACCGATTTGAAATTGATACTTTTCATAGGGGTTTCAAAGTGAAGAGAAAAAGCGATGATACAATTATGTGAGTATACAGGATGTTGATAAATGTTTCTGTACGATAACTCTAAAATATTGTAACTAATTCGACCGTTTTTGTAGATTTGATTCCAACGATTTCACCGATTTCATTTATTCGGATCAACTATTACAAATTTCTACGAAATTACCGTCAGGGAATATTTTTGGTATAGGAGAACACAGGTCAGGCTTGAGGGTTTCTACAAATTGGACCCGTTTTACTTTGTTCAATCACGACGAAATTCCCACGAATCAGGTAATGTTTTTATTAAAAAAAATTAGTGTATTTAGTAAAATACAAATTATCCTAATTTTGTAATGTATTTTCAGAAAAACCTTTACGGCAGCCATCCATTCTATCTGGCAATGGAAAATACAGGGAACAGTCACGGAGTTTTCCTTCTAAACAGCAACGCAATGGGTTGGTAACATTGCATTAATACATGACTCATAAAACATAAAATTATATTACATAATACCGGAAATGATAACCATCTTTAACTCGAAACATTCACCAATATATGCCTTATTTTTGCACCATTATGCAACACTTTCTCCTTCACTATACACAGAGATACTTCACTATTTACATCACTGTAATCTTCCAGATATCCTCCTGCAACCGACTCCTGCCATTACGTTCCGTACAATCGGAGGAATCTTGGATTTCTACTTCTTTTTGGGTCCCACTCCTGCTGAAGTAATCGCCCAGTACACGGAAGTGATAGGGAGGCCTCTCATGCCGCCATATTGGAGCCTCGGCTTCCATCTTTGTAGATTCGGCTATAAAACTCTGAATAATACCAAAATGGTGATGCAACGGAATATTAACGCCGGAATACCATTAGTAAGTCCGTTATAACCGTAATAACCGTTACTCGTAACATGTTTTTGCAGGATACGCAATGGAACGATTTGGACTACATGGATAACAACAACGATTTCACCTACGATCCCGTGAATTACCAGCATTTGCCCGAGTTCGTCGAAGAGCTGCATTCCAACGGGATGCACTACGTGGTTCTCATCGATCCTGGGGTCAGTGCAAGCGAGACACCGGGCTCTTATCCACCCTACGACGTCGGTATAAAGATGGACGTGTTCGTGAAGGATCACAATGGAAAACCGTTCGTTGGAAAGGTGATTTTTACCGCTTGTATACAGGGTGTTTGTTAGTTGTAATGCGGCCTGTTGCTAACTAGGACAATCGAGAACTTTTTTGCTAAAATGTAGGGCTTAATTAGTATCCGAAAATAACGTAAAATAACTGTATTGTAGGTTTGGAATAAAAAATCCACCGTTTGGCCGGACTTCACCGATCCAACGACGGTCGATTATTGGACGGAAATGTTGAAATCGCTCCATCGTCAAATGGAATTCGACGGCGCCTGGATAGACATGAACGAACCGTCGAATTTCCTGTCCGGTTCGTTCGACGGTTGCCCGGATTCCCGTTGGGAACGACCTCCGTACGATCCGGACGTAGACGGTGGAATTCTCAACTACAAGACGTTGTGCATGAGCGCCCGCCATTACGCCGGCAGCCATTACGACGTTCACAATTTGTACGGATTGTCCGAGGCCATCGTTACCAGTTTGTAAGTCGTAGTCGGCGCTGAAAGGAATTGAAAGAAACGTTACTTGTCAATTTTTGATGTTGTTTTATGTTTTTTTTTGACAGTGACAGTGACAGTTCCAAGCGATCACTAGATTAGATTGTTTATGCCCGGTTTCTCGATCTTTCGCGTTTAACTATCGCTTACTATTGAGAAGTTAACGGAACTGGAAGGGGTTAACTCGATTCCGAAGGTTAACTGCAGTTTATTGGAAAGTTAGAGTTAACTTTTAGTAATAGCAGAATCGAGAAAACCGGGTATTACTGACTAGATCGAGTACTAACGTTAGACTGTCCAAAATACTATTTCATAAAGTCCAAATGATAGTACTAACGACTAGTGACAGTTCTAATCGAGTTACCCTTGTGTAACGTTGTTTATTTTTATTTTTTATTGTTAATTTTTGATTTTTGTTATAGTGCTATGGCGGAGATTAGAGGAAAGAGACCTATGGTGATATCTCGATCGTCCTTTTCCGGTTTGGGACGTTACGCTGGTCATTGGAGCGGTGACGTTTGGTCATCTTGGGACGATATGGGATTTACCATTCCAAGTATGTATTTTCCCTTTTCTCCTGCTTATCTTTCTACTCGTCTACTATTAATTCGTCTTTCTACCATTAATTCTTCTTCCTTGTTTCTGTAGTATAGTGTGTAGTATAGCTGTTTTTTTTTTTTTTTTTATGCACACGACTCGGGAAAAGACGAAGCTTATAACGCCTGTTCAGGCGCCCCGAGGCGTTTTTAGTAGGTAATTGTTAATGTTGGTCTTAAACCTCTGAAGGTCGTAACCAACTGGGAACACTTCTGATGGTAGTGTGTTCCATAGTGTCGCGGTTCTGTACAGAAAAGATTTCTGATACATAGAGGTCCTAGCTGTTGAAATGTGTACGGCAAACTGGTGTGTGCTCTCCGCTAGCCTTGTAGAACGTCCAAAGTGAGCACCAGGTGGAATAATGGAAGCAATGGCTGCAGAACCTTCCGTGGTAATATCTGTAAAAGAGACTTAAGTCGCTAACCCTTCTACGATGGTCTAGTGTATGAAGGTTAGAGGTTAATGAGGGGTCATCAACCAGGTGCACTGCTCTTTTTTGAATGGAGTCTAGTAGGTGCAAGGAGTGCTTAGGAGCAGAACTCCAAGCATGAGAGCAATATTCCAATGCTGGACGAACTTGAGCCTTATAGAGTAACAGAAGCTGCTTTGGTGTGAACATTTTTCTGGCACGAAATAAGTAACTAAGCTTCTGGGCGGCTGATTTAGCTATGGTGGAAACATGTTCATGCCAGGTTGCATTTGAATTAATGCTGACCCCTAAAAGATGTAATTTATTAGTTGTTTTAATTGTTTGGTTATTCAATGCTAGTTGGGGTATGACGGAGGACGTCTTTCTTGTAAACATGGTTGCCTGGGTCTTGGAGGCGTTGAATTCAACCAGATTATCGGATCCCCACTTCAAAATAATTTGAAGGTCGTTGTTGATGGACTCAGCTTGCAAGAGCCTTTGGCGACTTGATTTAGATGCACTGACAGGTCTCTTGTTTGTAGTGGATGCTATGAGAGTGCTATCATCTGCGAAGCTGAGAATTTTGTTTTTGGTTGAATTTAAAAGATCATTTATGTGAATTAAGAATAGAGTTGGTGATAAAATCGATCCTTGAGGTACACCAGCGTTCAAAGAGTAAGGATCTGAAGTTGCACCGTCAACCACAACTTGAATTTGTCTCCTATGCAGAAAGCTCTCTATAAGTCCGCATAGTTTTTGGGGCAGACCGTAGGATGCCAGCTTAGATAGCAGTGCTTTGTGCCAAACCCGGTCGAAGGCCTTAGATATATCTAAAGCGACCGCTATTGATTCTCCGTGGTTCTCGATAACACTTGTCCAAATGTGTGTAACATAGGTGAGCAGGTCACCTGTTGAGCGACTGTGTCGGAAGCCGTACTGGTTGTCACTTATGAGACCATTCTGTTCTAGATATTTAACAACCTGCAAGTTAATGGCAGATTCCATTACTTTGGATAATATGGGTAGAAGGGCTATCGGGCGGTAATTTTGCGGAAGGCACTTTTTCCCTTTTTTTGGTATTGGTTGAACTCTTGCAACCTTCCATACAGATGGAAATGTCCTCTGCTCATAGCACAGCTTAAAAAGCCGACAGAGCAAAGGTGCGAGTTCGGGTGCACAGTGCTTTAATACAATTGCAGGTATCCCGTCAGGTCCCATTGACTTTTTGCAGTTTAGTTGTTTCAGAATGCGGCGGATGTTACGTGTTTGAAATTTCAGTTCGGGCATTGAAACCTGAAACTTAGGAATATTAGGAGGTACCTTTTGACCTGCATCTAGCGTTGAATTCTTTGCGAATAGTGCCGCGAAGAGGTCTGCCTTCTCTTTGGAGCTGGTCGCCAATGTGCCATCATCTTTAATAAGTGGTGGGAAGGTGGTATGGCAAAAATTGTTGTTGATAGCCTTAGCTAGTGACCAGAATGGACGCGAACCACTAGGACATTCTAAAAGCTTATTTGTTACCTTATTGTTAAATGCTTGTTTTGCTTGTTGGATAATCAGATTGCACTTATTTCTAAGTTGCATATATGTTTGTCGCGTTTCTTCCGACGGATTTGAGCACCACTCTCTGAACGCTCTATTTTTGTTAACGGACGCTTGCTCGCATTCTTTGTTAAACCAGGGTGTTGTGGATGGTGGTTTTTTGCGATTATGTGGAATATAGAGTTCCATACCTAGAAGGATTACCTCAGAGACAGCTTCAGCACACTGATTAACGTCTTTGTTCGCAAAGCAGGTAGCGCTCCAAGGAAACGCTGCGAAAAAGTCCCTCAGCTCATCCCACTTGGCTTTGTTGTAGTGCCAAACTAGACGACGAGCTCTGGGTTGGTCGACAGTCTCCACAATTAAGGGACATGATGCGGATAATAAGATGTGGTCTGAGTTGCCAAGTGGACTATGTGCCGTGATGTCATAGCTGTCAGGCTCTGAGGTTAGGTACAAATCTAGCGTGTTTCTGAAATCATTAGGGTTACTGGGAACTCTTGTTGGACAATCTATCAATTGAGATAGATTGCAGCTGATTGCAAAGGCTTCGGCTTGTCTTCCGGCCTCGTCCGTTTTGTTGGAGTGTGTTAGCCAACCGGAATTATGAGCATTGAAATCGCCAAGAATGATAATTTCAGATGATGGATAGTTGATCTGGATCCAGTCGACTTTCTCTGATAAGTGTTGAAACAGCTGATGAGGTTGGTTGTCGTTAGGAGAGCGATACAGGGAGCATATAAATCGCGTTTTCTTGTGGATAATAGTTTTAAGCCACATTACGTCAAGGCTGTCAACCTCCATGGATTCTTCACGTTGACAGGCAACGTCAGATCTGACGTAGACGCAAACGCCTCCCTTGAACCTAAACCTAGAATGCAAATCATACCCAGGACATAGCAGGTATGTGCTGTCAGCTGATGGACTTATTTGAGTTTCACTTAAAGCTAAAATATGGGGCTTGACTGATTGTAGATGTTGATGGACGCAATTAACGTTAATGTTATTATGTCCGAGCCCTCGAATGTTGCAAAACTCAATATTGAGCTTTTTATTGTTGACTTGATTGGTAATGTCATAATTGGTGTTGGTGTCTTGATTGGATGAGCCGTTAGTGGCATGATTAGAGGAGCTTGAATCTCCATGTTGTATCCCCTGGGATAGTCCCCCCCGGAGATCCGATTGGGGAACGAGTTTACCTCCGGAATATTTTACCCCAGTAGACGACATCATGGTTTTTTATTTGAAAATAATAATGCAATCTATAAAGTAATGACTATAAGTAGTAATGTATCTATAGTACCTATACTATTTCTAAATTGAACACATTGTATTATTGCAGGTTTATTAAGCTTCAGTTTGTACGGTGTACCATTAATGGGAGCCGATATTTGCGGATTTAACGGCAATACAACGTCATCTTTATGCAATCGTTGGATGCAATTGGGTGCATTTTATCCGTTTTCGAGGAATCACAACACAGACGATGGAAATGTAAATTTTTTTACACGCTTATTCGCTAATGTTGTAGAGTAATTAACCATACTAATCAACTTCTGAACAATCTCTTCACATAGAAGAATAAGAATTGAAAGTATTTTGGAAGATTTCTCATTTATTTGATATATAAACTCTACGGTATTTGCGAATATGGTACAATCATACAATCATGCCTCACATTTTAATTACTTCTAATAATAAAGTGATTAATTTTAGGATCAAGATCCCGTAGCAATGGGCAAACAAGTCGTGGAATCCTCCATTAAAGCTCTGACTATAAGATACAAGTTATTGCCCTACTTGTATACTTTGTTCCACAAAGCTCACGTAAACGGCGATACTGTGGCGAGGCCGCTATTTTTCGAGTAAGTTATTTATTTACCTTAAATGTTGATAAAATTCGAGATTAGTTGACTGTCTAAAAGCGAGTTATTAACCCAAAAATGTAATTTATATGTACCTAAATGAGTACAACAATTTATCTACTTAAGATAGTCAAATTCGCTTGGCAGAATCCCTAATATGTCTTACGTAATTATACTAATTAAGCGTGACATTCTAATAATTCTTTAACCTGTTTTATTATTGAGAATTTAATTATTTCAGGTACCCCAAAGATCTGAATACCTACAATATCGACGATCAATTCCTCTGGGGACCGGCTTTGATGATTGCCCCCGTATTAAAGGTAAACTCAAAGTAAAAAATCATCTAGAAATGTATAAAATAACAACTATAATTTCCAGGAAAACGATACTTCGGTCACGACATATGTACCCCAGGGGACTTGGTACAATTATTACACTTTCCAAGGATTCTACAGTAACGGTCAAAATTACACTCTAGATGCCCCATTGGATACGATTCCTCTGCTAATTAAAGGCGGCCACGTTTTACCGATGCAATCTCCTGGAAACACCACTCGTACATCCAGATTATCCTTTGTTGAATTATTAGTGGCTTCCGATGATAGTAATTACGCAATAGGTCAACTCTATTGGGACGATGGAGATTCTCTCAGTAAGTTTTACATAATAAAACGCTAAATATGAACACAAAATTTGATAAAAAAACATTTTTTTTACTATTACAGATTCCTTTGAAGAGCAACAATATTCCTTGATAACTTTCGAATTGAACGGGAACACTTTGCGTTCTAAGGGTGAATTTATCGGTACTGAAATCCCGCCTGATTTGTCTACAGTGACGATTTTGGGGGTTGCGAAGGCACCGATGAACGTACAAATCAACGGGCTCAGCCTTAAAGATTTCGAGTTCGTTAAAAGCAAGAAGGTAATTGCGTAATAAATGGATTTTTCATAATTAGTAATTTTGTACTTTTTTTTAGAGTTTAACTATTAACAATATGAGCGTTCAATTACGTCGACCCTTCGTTTTGGAATGGAAGTAGAGTTGAATTTTAACATATCAATTTAACTGACGGATAATTTCGATAACTTACTGATTTGTAGTTGTTTTTATCTCTGATATCCTTTATTGCGAATCTCTTTCTATGTGATGGACCTATCTGTGGTAAAATTTAACCGAACTTATGTACATATTTTACGGTGTTATTAGAATAGGTTATTTTTATCCAATCAGCCAAAGTTTAATATTATATAGACTTAATTTCATTGCTCAATGATTAGTTTGTAAGTTAGTTTATTGTTCAATTAGAAATATATTAAACATGTCCAACTTTTTAACTATGTTACAAGTGTGTGTGTGTGTGTGTGTATTTACTAATCGATGCTAATTTTAAAGCAAGATATATTGTACTGGATATTGTTATTATTAGTTTAGAAATAGTAGATGAAAAAGAATAAAAGATAGTTAAAATGTAGTAGTATTGTACTTATTATTTATACCACTAGGACTCTAATGGAATTGTACATAATCTTTTTGGGGTAAGTGGGATTTTGTATTAGTTATTATACTTTAGAGAGTTGATCAATTCATTTTTTATTGCAAGTAGATTAACAATGAAATCAATTCATTTGACACAAGGCGTATCTCTTTTCGTTGCAATCGACAGCGCCCCAAGTGCGGCCGTTGGTGTAAGCTTTCATGTCGATTTTAATGCAATCGGCGTTGTCTTTTTTCACGGGTTCGTTGTTTCCCCAGGCGAAATATGTGAGTTTTTCACCGGTTTCGTACCATTCCCAGTCGCCTGAAGTCGAGTTTTTCGTCGCTCCTACCCAGTATTGCGGGCCGGGCGCTGCAAAAATTCCATTTTTATTAGATGCACTCGATCGTTACCCCACAAAATAGCCTGAGTTTCATTATTAATTGTCAGAGTCCCAGGGTTTCTAAGACTACTTTGTTTAGGATGTTCTATTATCTCAGGCTATTTTGGCTTTGTTCTATCAAGTTTTGGTACTTTTGGTACACAGAACACATAAATACTCACAAATGGTAATTAATGTGCCTATAACATCATCGTTTACATCTGAATTTTCCACTCTTATTACTTCTCGATTTACCTCCTTGCATAATTTAACTGCTTCCGAAAATGTCACCTAAAAGCGTATAAATTAAATGTATTAGTTGTTCAATTTCCGAAAAAATGAGATTCTATATACAAAACAACGGACTTTTATTTAATAAGCAATATCATACCTTATCCAAACTTGAAAAATATAACTTTATATCCGCATTTATTGCCACAAAACATGCGCATACGTAAAATAAGGCTAAGTGGAAATGCATCGCTGGTGTATTTAGTTAGGATCAATCGAATCAAATATCAGATGTACAGCTAATTTTTGGTTTATATAAAATCGATTAAAAAATCAATAGAGAAGCAAACACTAGAAACAAAAAAAAATGAGTTAGTAACAATAATTCATGATGATTTTCAGATATTAAAAGATGGTCCTGATAACGAAATCTACAAGTAACGGCACGATTTTTTATTATGTATTAAATTCCAATTTAAATTAGAGTTTATCGATTTTATCTATCATGCTACATCAAAATTAGCGACGCACTTTTTTGAAGCCCTGTAAAATCGGTTACAGCCAAGCCAGAGACTAGAAATTTTCGGCAGGTGTACCCTCACTTCTTGTGTTACTCTTCACCAAATTGCAACTTGATGACCAATTTGATGGGGTTGAACCACCCCTTTGAATGTGACCATGCTCAAAAATGCATATTTTAAGGGATATTGCAAACTGAAATGCACCATACGATATACAGTGTGTTAATTAATATGCCCATATCAGGATGTGAATATTTGGATGATTTTAAGAAGAAAAGTTTATATCAATGTATGTCCTAAACGTAAATAGGGTGTTACAATTCTAGAAAAAAAAACGTCTATCTTAATTTTCTTAGTACTCCAGAGATTTTTATGAATTTTAATTTATCACCCTGTACCTATAGCGTATACAGAAGCACTCAAAAGAGTGCTAAAAAATCCGATGCTAAAGCTACATCTGGAGTGCAATATCCTTAATTTGGAGCAAAAATATGACAACGCTGCTCAGAAATCATCAAATTACAGGTAGAGGAATTTAAACAAAACCATTCGCACGTCTCACTTAAATTTTTTATTCTTCTTATGTACACATTTATATAATTAATATTACATCATTTCATTTACAAAACCGGATAGGAACACCTCAAAGCGATGCCGCATTGATTCTGGTTCCTGGCCAGTCTGAAGTATCCGCCCTCTCCCCAATCCTGTCCCCACGAGTTTTTGATGATCCAGTAATACTTCTTTAGGTTCCAGATTTCCGTTTGGCTGCCATAACCGACCACCAGCACGTCGTGATCCAGCGTGGATTCATCGCTGGGGCAAGCTATAGGATCGAGGAAGACGCCGCTGCTATAAAATTGGAGTTCACCGAAGTAAATCCCCGCGGATATCGGACCCACAGTTCCTGCAAATATTCATTAAAGTATGTGTTAATCCCGACACTTTCTTATACTTTTCTACCCTTCCTAATATTCCCTACCGTCCCTTATGCTTTCCCAATCTTCATTACTCTTGCTTTTGCTTTCCTAATATTACCTTCCCTTACCTGAACTTTCCTAATCTACCCTACTCTTCTCTGAGCTTTCCTAATCTACCCTACCCTTCTCTGAGCTTCCCTAATCAACCCTACCCTTTCATGAGCTTTCCTAATCGTCCCAACCCTTCCCTGTGCTTTCAAAACCTTCCCTACCCTTCCCTCTGTTGATTTTGGTTTGAATGAAACTCACCAACAGCTTGGTGAAGATCGTCTTCGGTTTTGCCAAGGGTAACTATCTTCTTGGGCTTGACGATGGGGTTATTTTGAGCTTGGCAAGTGGTCTCGTAAGATCTGTAAGGATAATCGTATTCGCTGGCTAGACCGTTTTTAACGGCGTATTGCCAAGCGTTGGCTACAGTGCTACCGTTTTTACAACCTTGGTTCGATTGATCGCAGTCGATCAATTGCTGCTCGCTGATCGGCGTTCTCACGTTGTTTTTGATGGCGTTTTGTCCTTCTAAAGCGCCGGCCTGAAGCAGAAGGAAAGTTGAATGGATGTTTAGTGGTTGTTCGGGTTGAACTTACGACGCTGAAGGCCCAGCCGGCGCTGCATTTGACTTGGTTTCTGACGGGCAACACGGCTTTGTCCTTGATCCTCCAGTCGATTTCGTCCGGAAGGGGGATCGACTCGTCGGGGACGTGTTTCTCGAATTCGAAGTCCTGAAAACTGCCGGGTCGCGAGGAGCTGATCAAGTCGTGGAATTCTTGTTTGGTCAAGTCGGCGAATTTGTTTGCTGCCATGGTGTATGATTCCAATCCGGCTTCGTATCTGCTGTTGTGTCGGTTGATCTTCTCCACGTTGTCCTGGTAGATTTTGTAGCGAAGTTGCTCCTCTTCGGGAGTTTCGTAGCTTTTTTTGTGAGTGATCTGCGAATGGAATATATTTATTTGAAAAATCTGGATGTTACCGAATGATGTGATAATGAGTTAGTTATTGTAAGTTGTTAATAAGTACCTTGAATTGATTCCATTGTTGGTCAATGGAAAGTGCGGTAGCAGCCAAAATGGCGGAAGCTAATATAATTAGAATTTTCATGTTAGATACAAAACTCGGCTGGTTACAGAGTAGAAACATACATAATATGTGATAAGTTAACAAGTGTTGTTCTCATTTATTGTTGGAGTCCAAAATTATCGAATCATTTTCATCCAGTCATGTCTTATCTATTAATGTAATTATGAATTGCACTTTATAGTACCTAAATTGATTTATCGAGTACCTTCATTGTGTAGTTCTTTTTTTATCAAAAAAATTAATCAATTATATTACACGCAATATCCATTACTAATCATTTTATTGTAAATGTGTCCCAATAAGTTTTTTCCCAATTTTTTCGAGGTTTTCCTTGTCTTTTTTGAATGACATGCAGAATTTAATTTAGAATATTAATTTTAAAAATTGTCGATAGTTTAATAATTTGTATTTTTACAATATTTTTAATATGATGTCGTTTGTTTTTATACAGAGTGTTTCGCTTAGTAACCAAAACAGACCAGAGTCTTGTTAAGAGCAAAATTGTTTGAAATATGATCGATTCTCCGAGTTGAACAAAGAAAGATTATTAAAATAACAGTGGTTAGAGTGAGAAAGTTTCAATCCTAAATATATTATTCTTTCTTTTTCATTCATATAAGACTAATGGAAATTGTCTTTGTTGCACCCATATATGACGTACCATATCACAAACAATTTTGGATCTACCTGTATACACTGTGCTTCATTTGCGATTGCAACATGGGCAATTCTATGAGTTGAACAAGGAAAGATTGCTAAAGTGACAGTTGTCAAAGTGAAAAGTTGCAATAACATAATATCACTTTTTCTTATGCGCCCATAGCCTATGTTGGAATGAAAAATGGAGCAATCTGTATGTATTTTCTTAAACCTTTTTATGTGCAAAGGGTGCATAAGGCATATCGATTTCGCCATTATAAATAATATATTGATAAAATAACAACTATTTTATATTTTTAAATTTTATTAACATCATTAGCTATAGTAGCTAGTATACATTTTCATTTTTGACAAATTGTATACTTGTGATCACCACATAAATTGCCCATCCATTTTCCATCACTATGCTTGCTTAGATCGATCGCAATGCAATTATACAATGTATGTTCAGAATCCGGTTCGTTAGGTGCCCAGTTGGTGTTCGAGATTTCCTCAGCTGTGGTAAACCAGTACCAAACTTGACCGTATCCTTTGGTACCACCGGTCCAGTACGCTCCAGCATTATCTAAAAATGATAAGTTTACGCTATGTTTTTAGGCTCTTTGTTTCAGTAAAATAGATCGTTATCGAATGGGTTATTCAGTACGTACCGAATTTAGTTAGTTGGGCTACAATCGCATCGTTTTCTGCCTGGTTTTCGATCTTAACCAATGTGTAATTGTATGCTGCGCATTCTATATCACCTTGCAGGAACGATTTCTAAAAGAAGATGTAAAATTCTGTTTAATGAAATCGACGGATCTGCCATTTTAATTTGTTTTTTTTACCTGGTCCGGAAGAATGTAGTAGGTTTTTTCATTCGCCTTAAAACTGTGTAATGGTCTCACTGAAAAAATAAACGATTATTTCTGTGAAAATTAACGTGTTTATTTTTTATTTACCATCGGTTTCTACGGCTTTTGCGGCCGCATAGCCAACGCAGACGAGGATTACCAACAAGGAATAATGCATTTTTAGCTGTCGAATTCGGAATAGAATTACAATTCGTTCTGAAGGTGTACGGTACTTATAAATAAAGTAGCATAGTTTATCTAAAGTGAGTGAAAAGCACTCGAAAATATTGAGATATGTAATAAAATTATCATCGTGCATTTTATTTTACTTGACAGTAATTTCGAAGTTGATCCGACGGAGTTGGAATAAAAAAATCAGAGCATGACTAGCACTTTAGTACTTTTTAATAATACGAATATCTTCAATTCCTAAGAAAAATATCAAGATGTGGCAACGCTGTTTCATTTGAGCTCTGTTGACGTCATTTATGGATTAGCTTGAACGGGGTAGGTTATTATTTTTAATAATTTATCATTATTAACAGTAATAAACTGAGAGACTGGTATATCTCTGTCTATAGGTACAATTAACAATATTACGTAGTTGTTTTAGCTCCTAATAGGTTTTGATTGGATTTTGGTGGAAATATTCCACATTGTTTTTTAATTTCTTTTTGGTAGCTAAAATATTGCTTTATAAGCTAGTTTTCTACTACTATAAATTAAGCTGAAGTGTAACGTGAAGTAGGTAGGTAGATAGCAAAAATGAACACATATATTACGGAATTGGAACCATTCCATTAATTAATGTGCTTAGAGTAAAAAAATAATTGAGATATAATAAGTATATTTTTCATCAAACATTTTTATAAAATATAGCATATTGTACATAATAATAAGAATCGGGTATAAAATTTTCAAATCATATTAAAAAAAAATTCAATACCGAGCGAAATTCTTCCTAAATACATACAAGAGTAAAATAAATAACAATATGACTTTTTTACTACGTTATTTTTTATTAGGTAATTTCAAGTTGAACGTTTTTTTTAAAGATATCCATTATCCATAGCTGTAAAAGTACGTTGAAAAGCCAGTAAATACGTTATACAAAAACTCTAAGTAATCGTAACGAATCCAGCTGTATTTATCATTAGGAAAATCGAGAAAATTTCGGACACTCACAAAAATAATCAACAAAGTTTCGTAACCTAATCAAAGACGTTTTCTAAAGAGAATATTCTGTAAGGTTTCCTCGCTTTTCCGGAGGGTTTTCTATCACTTTTCCTCGCCGATTTTCTCCCAATCGCCGTCGGAGCTGCTGCCGCTCGTGCTCGGTGTGCTGCGCAAGCTCGCGTTCGACTCGTTTTTCGGCAATTTTTCTACATTTTTCTCTACATTTTTTGACTGTTTCTTGGTAGATTTGGGAAGTTTTTCGGGAGATTTCTTGTCCGTTTTGTTGTTAGTTTTCCTTTCCATTTCGTATTGTTCTAGTAATTTTATTTGCTGCTCTTCTGTTAGTTCTATATCGGTCGAGAAATCTTCTGAAATTCCATAATATTAACTACATTATACATTATTGTGTACCTTGTAAACATTTTAACCTTGTTCCCATTTCAAGTTTTCTTCCTTCTGAAGTTTTTCCTTCTGTTCTCTTTTTTCCATGGCCTCCCGTCTGGCCAGTTCGTCTTCTAGCAGAGCTTTCTTGAATAAATACCTGGAAAATGCTCCAAAACATGTAGATAACTGTATATTGAAAAAAATTCAAGATATTACAAATTATGTACCTTTTCCAAAACACATCGTGTTCAACATCCCCAGGCACAAGTTTATCGTACTGATTCCTCAAAATCTCAGAACTATTTACGCATTTTCCTATCCTTTCTTCGCTCAATCTATCCTCCATGATTTCCAACCAGCATTTGTATTGCCCTGATAAACTCTCATCCGGGTCTTCCAGGAACGTACCGGGATCGTTCTGGAGATTGTACAGGCATTTCTGCAAATAAATAAGTTGAGAATTTGAGGTTACATATTATGTTAAATCTTTAGTGATTTACTTGGAATTCATTTAAAGTTTTAGTTTCAGAGTTTTCTACTATCAGGATTTCCGTATCAGAATCGTCTGGGCTTGGGTTCAGAATTGTGTTCATTTGACCTGGAAATAAGAAGAATAAAATATTAAAAGAATAACAGGTCTCTATTACTTATACGCCTATATCTCGAAAACTAATCGAGATAAAATCAAACTGTTTGTTTCATTTTGAAGAAAATACATTTCTCTATGAATTTTGAATAATCAAAAAACTTGGAAACAGCGGAAACAGCGGTTACTCACCGAGGAATGAGCTGAAGCTCCTCTTCATGCTGCTGGCCGCGGACGACTGGGAATCCAGCTACAAAAGATTTAAAAATTTAAGCAATTCAATTACTTTTGTTATTACAAAGCGTTCTCCACCAAATTTTAACTTATACGAGACACAATCGTGTAATGAATTGTCTACGTACACTCAAGGTTTTCTCTAAAACGGCCCCTGTAGAGGAAACTACATTTGTGGCTTCGCTTTTCACGGCTGATCCGAATTCTTCCAAGTCTTTTTTTACGAATTCCAGAACTTCAGAGCCCTGGAAAATTCCAAAATCGTTAAATCCTTGGTATCAATTACTACCCGTTAACTGGTCTTAAATATCATAAAATAAAGATTTTTAGTAATAACAGTGCTTACTTTATTTTTGGCAGCATTTAACCAAGACCCAAACCAATTATTCTCCACTCTGCAACGATAAAATATTATTTATCAACACACTACACACGATAAATATGTACAAGTGATAAGGAAATAGGTAACATGATTTCGCTTACTTTTCGGCCATTTTCTTCCGTATTTTTATGAAGTATATTACAATGACATGGATTTCACGAAGAATTTTGCAGGAAAGAAAATTATTTCATTCGATTTTCTGTGTGACAATTAGAGTGAAATTTGTTTTGTTTTTGTAAATGCGAACGTCAAACTGTCGTCGGCCATTTTGCGTTGCGAAATTCTTGGTGGAAAAAGGGTTGACAACATAAAAAAGTAACTAGAAAAATGACTTACTGGCATATACATACTGATATTGATTTTGGGTTGAATTTAGATGTTATATAGCTTTTTTAGTTACGTTATTGTCTTAATCTCTTTTATTAACTTCTTTTTATGATTAGTCATTATTTCGTTATTTGTCTGGTGGCTTTTTATATGTTGGCAGTTCTTTTCGCTAAGCGAAACGTCACTAAAACTGTCAAATCCAAAACCAACTGGTTTAAAATTGCTATTTGAGCTCTTTTTAACCAGTTTTTAATGCGATTTTAGTGCAAATTTCTTTAAAAAAATGCATAATTTACCAAAATGTGCTCGAATCTTTGTCAAATAACAAAATTAACCGCAAATTTTGATGAAGAGTTTTAAGGATGGCTAGTTTCACAAGTTTTTTAAAAATAGGGAATCTTGTTTTATCAGAATCCATAAATAAATACACCAATTTTTAGCGCCGCAGTGACACCTTGACCTAATATTTTCATAAATTAAACAAATTATAAAAAAATAGAACAGAAAATTCAAAAATAAACCATTCGAAGCGACACTGCGCTTGCGCACCTTAAGAAAAAGGAATCGGCCGAGCTCGCCTGAACTCACCGAACTTGTCCGAATTTAGCCGATCTAACTCAGTTCCATTTTGTTTTCCATCGGAAGTACACGCTTTAGTCGAGTGTAGTCAGTGTAGTGCTTTGCCCAGTGCAATACGTGATGCCAGTGCTAGTTTTATTTACTTATCCGTAAACAAATCCTTTCAAAAATGATAGCCAACGGCCGTGTGGTCGGGGACGGTACCTGGGACCTTCGAGTCTTCGTCACCGATCTACAAACAGAACGATTGATCCGAGTCAAAGGGGATGTACACGTGGGGGGTGTCATGCTAAGGCTCGTAGAAGACTTAGGTGAGTCCTGTTTCACGATACCATAATGATTAATGATGCGAAATGAAATCTGCGAATTTTAACCTCAAAAGGAGATGTAAAACGATCTGTCTAGTAGGCGGGTCTGCGGGTGACGTATTTGGGATTATTTTTGTGTGGGCTCATTATTTAACTAGTACAAGGCCAATTTGGTATTTTTGTAAAGGGTTGCTTTGTTATTTTTATAACTTCGATTTTTCGATTTGAAGTAGCCTTTGGATTTTAGATAAGGCCTTTATGGGCTTTTACTTCCCATGTTGATAAATGCTCTCGAGCACTTCCTGTTTAGTTTCAGATAATCTAATATTTTATAAACGGGAGTTTATTTACATTTAGAAGCAGAAGGATTTATGTTTGTAATAAATAGATGCAGGTATAGAGGAAAGGTATCTGTTTGTTATATTTATAGCTCGATAGATTTTATGTTATACTGAATTACAAATATATTTTTTATGTTTTAAAAAAATTGGTTCAAAATTGTTGAATAATTGCGAATTTTCATCACAATCTCCGTCTGATATAACAAACACAACTTGTGTTTTGTGCTTGTTCTATAAATACATACTAATGGCTCGTTTATTATACAATAAGTAGCAAATAAACTTTACGTAACGTTTCTATTTATACAATTTTGCTGGTAATTAAAATTTATTTGTATGTATGTAACAAATGTGCATGAAAAATATTGCATTTTACTGTAATTTCAGCGCAATTGCGCCTATTTCATTGATTTATCTGCCCTAATTTTGCCGATTTAAAAATAGTATCTTCACGTTTAAACTCCCATTTTTTTTAGATTGGTAAAAGTAACAGTTTGTTTTCTGGTATTAATAAAAAGTTATGGTTATTAAATTTTTATTAAATCGTCCTTGTTTCCTAATTTACGTTATATAAACAACATTGCGTTTTACAACGAATTCTTTTTCCTTTTTTTTTTCTCTTTGAAAAAAAAATCTCGATCAACGCCTACTTGGCTTATTTTAATTTGTTTTTGCAACGCCTACTTCTAGTATAGGTATAGTATACAGGTGGGTGGAAAAAAGAATGCCGTAAATTGGGTTATCGTAACTTTCATGGTTATTGTAACCTACACTCTACACTGGCCGGAGAAAACCGGTCCTTGGAGGTATTCGGAATATTCTTTTTGTGAATTTCCGCTTTTTTTAATTTGGATCATTCTCAATTAAATCTTATGTAAATTGAATGAAGTTTGTACAAAAAAAATGTTTTATCACAATTTTCCTTCTACATTTGCGGTTAATTCGTTTTATCACACTGTTTCATTCGTATTATTATTCATTTTATTATTCATCGACCGGAAATCCTTTGTTTACGACAATGGATATTATTAAAATACGAGCCAATTTTATAAATACAACGATATGTCTGTTCAATTATATTATTTTCTTTTTTTAATTCTTTTTCTTTTCAAACAATGAACTGTTGGTAATATTTATCGTTTACAGTGTTCTATGCTTATGGGGTTTACAGGGTGGCCGTAAAAATGGGAATTTTGACCAATGTGTATAATAACTAGCAGAAAGTAGAATTGGATAAATTCGAAAATGTAGGGTAGTTGGAAAATTAATTTGAAATCCAGTTTAATTTTGAACTGAAACAAAACAGCAATGTGGTTTAAATAGGCCGAGAAGGGCCTTCTTATGAGGTGTTCTTGGAAATTTCTCTTGATATCTGTTATTTTTCTGCAGAAATATCAATGGACTGGTCAGATCACGCCCTCTGGTGGCCGGAAAAGAACGTCTGGTTATCCAGAACCAGATCGACATTGGACCAATGCGGCGTCCACGCCGATGCGCTGTTGCATTTCACGCCCATGCACAAGGTTCTCAGGGTGCAATTGCCCGATCTAAGGTAAGTCTTACTTTACTACATTTTCCCCTCGCATATGGGGAACTATTTGGCAAATACAGCGTTGCCTCGTTTAGTACTCAATTTCGACGATTTGTTCAGGTATTTGGACATGCGCGTGGACTTTTCCATAAAAACCTTCTCGGCGGTAGCGCAAATATGCAAGGACCTCGGCATCAGGCATCCGGAGGAATTGTCCCTGTCCAAACCGTTGGAGTACAATCATTTGAAGTACAACTACAAGGATATGCCGAAGAAAAAATCCGAGCAAAATCACAACGGCCATCTGGCGGCCGATACGAATACTTTCATAGCGAACAGCAGTCCCGGGGGGAGTACGGGCAGTTTGGACAATTCTCCCTTTTCGTGCGCTCCCGTTACGCCTTCCAGGGGACCAGCCAGTTCAACGCCTGTTACCTCTCCTACCGGAAATGTAAGTACAAGTAATTTGTGATTATGTAACGGTTATATTGTAACTGTTGTCCAACATTTCTATATTTGAAATTCCGTTCCGATCTCTAATAAACCCCTCTCGCGGATACGTCATTACTGTCATTTTTGACGTTTCACTCTTTCTGACATTGTCCTATTTATTTAACTAGTACTCGAGTTTAAAATTTGCCCGCTTGGATGGTGTAATAATCCTAATAATACATAATAATTTGTGTTTTAATTAGGGTACATGGAAGAAGAACGGTTTCATGAATTCTTCGGACTTGAACAACACTCTAAACTATTCCGGAAACAGTACGAGTTTGGAACAATTGGACAATTTGGATAATTCTCTAGCGCACAGTCCAACCATACCGAATCCGGAGGCCAGAAAACACCTCGTCAGGCCTAAATCTCTGGTAGAAAAAGCCCGCATGAACGTTGCGTAAGTATCTATTTCATTTCTGAGATTAATTACGAAATTTTTGTGCAATTTATAATCCTTACCGACGTATTTATTGTTGTTTTTTTTTGTAGCTGGCTGGATTCTTCATTGTCGATAATGGAACAAGGCGTGAGAGAACACGATAAGCTCTGTTTGAAATTCAAATTCTACTCGTTCTACGATTTGAATCCGAAATACGACGCTGTCAGAATAAATCAGATATTCGAGCAGGCCAAATGGCAATTGCTGAACGAGGAAATCGATTGCACCGAAGAAGAGATGCTCATGTTCGCCGCTTTGCAGGTACAGTAAAAGACCACCTTTTCCGGTTGCCCTTATTAGTTTGATATCCGAAATTAATCTTGTTTTTAAACCGTTTTTAGTTGCAAGTTAAACTGCAAGCAGATCAACCTCAACCACAACCTAGGTTCGATAACGGAAAATCTAGTTCTCCGGTCTTTGAAGATGACATCGAAGCGGCCTTGAATAATCTACAAACAACGTTGGAAGGTTCCAGTATTGGTACATATTCGAATGATATTACACAAGTGCCGGAATTGAGGGATCAATTGAGGTTTTTGAAGTAAGCAAAAAAACCTAAATTTATGTATAGGTTCTATGGACTTTCGCCATTTAATTACTATTTATTCGTTTTTTTCCAGGCCCAAACGGTTCACGTTGAAAGCGTACAAGAAATACTGGTTCACCTGCAGAGATTTGCATTTGTACATGTACAAAAGTCGCGAGGAAATGATGCACGGGCAAAATCCGGTGTTGAACGTGAATCTGAAAGGTTGCGAAGTCACTCCCGACGTTAACATAACGCAGGGCAAGTACGTTATCAAGCTTGAGGTTCCCGGAACCGATGGCATGTCGGAAATGTATGTGCGTTGCGACGATGTAAGTGTACAAGATTTTTTATTGTTATTATAATTCCGTTGAAAAAAAATAACGTTTAATTTGTAACAGAAGTTTCGACACCTCTATACTTAATCCGTTCCCACCTCTACATTTCCTGTCACGGAAATGTCATTATAGTCACTTTTGACGTTTGATATCATCGTACGCAACTTAAAGTCCTACCTAACGTTTTTATTATGCTTTTTTTGTCATATTGTAATTATTTTTTAAGGAAACTCAATACGCCAGATGGATGGCTTGCTGTCGATTGGCGGCCAAAGGACGATCGTTGGCAGACAGTTCTTACGAAACCGAAAAACAGACCATATTGGATTTCCTGAGTCTGCAAAAACCATCGGAACAGCCTGTATTGAATCCGGAAAATTTGGATCTACAAATCGAAGATTACATCGCTCCCAAGTACTTGAAGAAATCCAGGGGAAAGGTAAATATCCAACATTACCAAATATTTACAATTTTTTCTACATTTAGAGAATATTTTTTTGACTGCGAATTTTTTTAACAATTCCAGTTAACCCAACGGATCATCGAAGCCCACGCGAACGTCAAGAATCTTTCCCTCGTCGACGCTAAACTGAACTACATCAAGGCCTGGCAACTTTTGCCCGATTTCGGCATCTCTTTGTTTACGGTGAAATTTATGAATTCGAAAAAAGAGGATTTACTAGGCGTAGGGTACAACAGGTTGATGAAGATGGACGTGAATACGGGCGATCATCAGAAAACGTGGCGTTTCAATACGATGAAGGCGTGGAACGTGAATTGGGAGAACAAGACGATGATGGTGCAATTCGAAGAGGAGAATATTGTATTTGGTTGTCTATCTGCCGATTGTAAAGTCGTTCACGAATTCATAGGGGGGTATATTTTCTTGTCGACGAGATCGAAGGAGGCCAGTCAGACGCTGAACGAGGAGTTGTTTCACAAATTGACTGGCGGTTGGGCGTAGATCACGCGATATCGCGTTAAAAACGGGCCTTTATAATCGACTAATTGTTTAATTTCGGTATTTCCCGGTTGTTTGGTATTGTTCTCTGTTAATATACAGGGTATATGTTAGGTACGGTTTCGTTTGAGGAAATGATCTGGAAATTAAATTGTGCCTTCTAAAATTGCATTAACTCGAATATAAATATCGATTGATTGTAACGGCATTTTTGTGTTGGTTACAAATGACTAATTATTTTATAATATTAAAAATTGTAACTAAATAAGTTTAATTTCTATAGCGTTATACCGCTTAAATTTTTTTTAACAGTGTAAAATATTTTATCCTATAAAATGTATTTGTTAAATTTATTTGTACATAAAATAATTGTCAGTATTTTGATATACCTTTTTTTTTCGGTACATTATTTATTACTAGAATTTTTAAACTCCAAATAATGAAACTTGTTGCCTTTTAATGTTAATTATTAATGTTACTAAAATTATATAGTACGTTTTTTATTTACGCAATACTAGCATAATTCATATGATATATTTTATATATAAACTAATTATATGTATATTGTAAAAAAATGTTATTAAAAATAATAAGCAAATTTTGTTTTATTATTTAAAAGTTTACCAAAAAATTTACTAGTTTTAGAAGACACGGCATTGCCAGGTTTACCAAACTTTCCCCAATTTCAAAGAATTAAACTGTCATTAAAGATAGTTTCGTTTATTTTCAATTTTGTTCCATTTGATATAACATGTTTTACGACATATATTTTTATTTATCGAAAGTTTCAACTTTTTCAATTCATAGTTTTCTTTTAAGAGTAACGATAAAGAAGTACAAAAGGATAGAATTATTAGACTATTTTTTTTAGAAAAAAAAAAATGAAAATTATTTTCGCCACATTTTGTCGTTGAAACAAAACCTTTACAGGGAAAATATCAACAAGTCGATTTTAGAATTTTTACCTAACAAAAAATGTACATGTTTCAATTACAAAAAAAAGTTACAAAATAATCAAAGGATATGAAAAATAGCCATTTTTTCGTCGGGTTAATTATAATTGCAATCCTAATTAAGTATAACTAACCAAACAAAATATTTGTAACGATTTTTTACACATACATACAATTAATAAATTTTTAATTAATTAACCTCTCACGAAAAGTAGTAGAAGAAAAACAACGAGTCTTTCCGGCCGCTTTTCCGCGTTATACATACAAAATACGCGTGCGTTTGTCTCTTGTTATTTTTTGTATTGTTTCTGGAAAAAGATTTTCGAAGCATACTTTTTCCAGTGATCACTAGCTGTCGTTACTCAACGTATTAAACCGATTGCCAAGGCTCAGTTGGCCCTGATTCGACTGGCCGATCTTCGACTGTTCCCCTTGTTGCCTATGGTAACTAGATCGGTTCGATTGTACTAGTTCGAAGCTTCCTTCGCTGCGACCTCTGTAAAAAAATAATAATTCGTCAGGATCGGATGAATTCTGGATAATTCTAGAACGCATCAAGACATTACTCAGCCCGTCCCATTAAAAAAAAAACACCTCGCCGAGCGAGCTCGATTAATCCCAAACAAAATCAACCTACTTTCTCGGTTCACTCTTTGACAATGTAGGGAAATACTCCTCGTTATGAATGTCCGGGGCGGCTTTGGACCGGTTGGAACTCCTACCCGTCTGGACGGGAACCTGTCCAGAACCGGAGCGCATACTGGGCGGCACGTACCGTCCCGTTTTAACGCACACATTCACAGATAGGTCCTTCTCTCTCTCTTTCTCCCTTTCCTTCTCCTTTACGTCTTCTTTTTCCTCTAATTTCTCTTCTTTGACGTCCTGCATACGTTTCCAAGGCCCCGCCGATTTTTTCTCCATATTGTGGCCGGGCTCTTCTTCGCGTTGCTCTTCGGAGGATTCCTTGTTGCCAGTGGGAGCGTTGGGATTTTCGGGGTTGGGGTTCGAAGTGAGGTTGCCTATTTTCAAGCCCGTATAGTCCTTTTTCTCCTCTTCGAAGTCCTTCCATTCGTCTTGGTCCTGCGTTTGACAAGAGATACAAAAAAAAGTTAGTAATAATGGGTCACTAGATTAGATTACAATTCGACAGATATGTTGTCATATTGGAAGATGTGTAATGATCATGGCAAACTAGATAGTGACTCAGTAAATGAATACAATAAGAATAAGCTGGATTCAAATTAATAGACTAATTAGAAACGTTATTAACTCGAGAAAAAAAGGCATTTTACTGGGATATTTCAACATGTGGCGCTCAAACATTATACAAAAAAAAACAACAGACGAAACTTGGTATACTCAAAATGGCCGCTATAACGCCAAAAACCAACCCTATTTTTTCCAATAACGCTTATTTAAAATAAGTAACAATAAATAAGGATATTTAGTAATTTGAACTAATAATAATGGCACTCACCTGTTCGCTGGTCACGTTATCTTCCCCGTCGTTTCCCGGGCGTTCCTTCTTGATTTTCTCATTTTTTTCTAATTTTTTGGCCACCTCTTCGGTCGTGGCGAATTTCTTCGTGCTTTTCGACTTTTTTCGATCCTTTTTGGCGAAGAAGTCGTCCAGATCGGCCATTTTTAGAGGATAATTCGGCGAGAGGTGATCGTACAAATGCGCTGGAACTTGGCCCGAAGGAGACGTCAAATCTGTCAACTGTCAATCATCGGGGTGGCCAACTGTATTGACGTTCGTTTGTAAGTATGGCCTTGTTAAAAGGGTGTATGCAGCTACAACAAATAAACCACGTTACTATGCTTTGAACATAGAGAAAGATTTTGTCTATGGCTTTGAATTCGGATATTTACAGCAGTCCTAAATGCTTCATTATGACTGCTATATTTTCTGTACACAAAATTAGTGAAATAATATAATTTCATTTTTATAGCACTACCTTATAGGCATGAATACGTACCGTTTAAATATAATTCCCGCTGTGCCGGTAAAAGCTCCAGGAAATACAGAAGACATTTCAGCTTATTTAAAATCTCACTATAGAAAATGAGAATGTAAATTGCAGGTTTCCTTTGGGTTAATTTAAACACTTTTAAATAACGATATTTTTAAAAAGTTCGCGAATTTCGATTATGACGTTCATGAGAATAACAAGTTTATCGAGAATTTGAAAGAAATGTGGGACAAGCAGAAGATATCGAGCTAGTTTATGTTATGAACAATTTTAAATTTTTTATGCACATTTTTAGTTCATAAAATGTTAAAAAAGAGAGTTAATGTGAAAAAAATATTTACTTAAAGAAAAAATCTTACAACAGGCAAAATATCACCTATAAATAATAAAACTTAATGGCGTAAACGTTATAAATAGTATATTAATAAGGCAAAAATTACTCTATTTCTAGCTATTCGTTCAAATCGATAGCCCATACACGGAAACAATACAAAACATGGTTTTGTTCTCCCAACGGACGGTGCAACTTCCATCCGTATTATTATCCCAATAGCAGGAGCTGGCCGTGTGCAAACCAGCCCCGTTTTTCTGCATTATAGTACAAGTAACTATGTATTTGTAGGGCTTCATGAGCTTCGTAAGTTCAGAAGTACAGGATTCCACTACTTCTGTTGTCCAATTGTTCACTTTGTTCTGCTGGTAACCGTTGCCCCCTATGACCGTTTCTATAGCATCTTTGATTATTTTACTCACATCGTCGACCACGAACTGGCCTTCCTCCTTCAGGTCCTGAGCTACTATTTCTTGGGGCGTTTTTTCCATTGATATGTGTGCTAAAATTAAAGGAAATGGTGCAAATTGTATTGTATAATTATAATAATAAGTACCTTATTGAATTACGGATAATATTCTTATAATTTCGAGTAGATTCCGCTTAAATTAAATCGATATTTGTCTCATTTGTGCCGGAATATTCTATGTTGACAATTGTTTTTAATTGACAGTAATGACAGGTGATTTCACGATTTTCACGAAACGGAAATATCAGAACAACTGTCATTTTTACTTTGTGTTTCGTGATACTAACCGGCCTAGTTTTTTGTGGAAATTCAGGTATAGATTAGGCAACCAATATTACAATTTTCCTCTATTCATCCCCGTAAAGTAGGTGAATTTAATTAACAATTCACTATTGCACCATACATTTATAGAGAATGAACATGCAACATGATTTATTTGCGGGAAATATCAAATAATAAACTCTTCAAGTGACAGGTTTGTTCATTTGTATAAATAATAAATATTTGTCGGTTTGCACAAATAAATTGACCCGCATTCGTTCGATTAACATCGCAATTTCCGGAAAATGCAACTGAAAAATTAATGTCTACCGAGGAAATTGAAATATATTCGATGCTTTCGTTTGAAATGGCCATTACCTAGCCCGCAAGAAACCACTCAAAATCATCTAGAAAAAATGCAATTGTACTATTTATTTTTGTTAATTTCAACAATATCAGCATTAAAATTGAATAAAAATCTTTTACCAGCGAACGTTCAATGCGAGATATTGCCGAATTTACATAGAATATTGAAGAAATTCAATTATCCAGTAATGTTGCATATCGACAATTCCACAGCAATAAATTGGAACATTGAGAAACCAGGCAATAACCAGGAATTTAATAGCATGACAGTAATTAATTATGATCGTAAACTATGGAAGAATATACCGCAAAGCTTTAAATTCATTCAATTAATCAATACAAGGTTTTTAACGGAGGATTTCGGTCGGATAAGAACTAAGGTAGGTACCTATACTGACTGGCAATTAAAATACTTGTAGCTAACTTCAATTTAATGCTAATTTTGAAATTAATTCGTTATATTTCAGTTGAGCGTACGAGAAGTAATAGTTTTATTTAATTCGAATAAAAAAATACGGAACAATATCCTAAGCAAGTTCGCTCGCTTCAGATTAGTGTTCGTTTTTGATAGGAAAACTTGCAAACTTTACATCTGTTTGTACGGGAAAGAATCCAAATGCAAGCTGAAATCGTTGGGTTTAAACGACTCCATTCCGATGTACATAAAAAGAAAAAGCCTGAAAAATTTCACAATCGGATACGCTACGTTTCCCCCCTTCGTGTACAAGTAGAATTTTCTTTTATAATTAAGATTTCCTGGTGTAACATCGTATCTTTCGTAGAGATGAAAACATGCAATTCAAAGGGATAGAAATAAAAATGGTGGACATTTTGAGCCGTAAATATGACTTCACTTACGATTTAATGTCGTTCGATCAAGAAGAAAACAACAATAGTCACGTGGAAGCCATGATTTCTAAAGTTCGTGAAGTAAATTTTTATCTAGTAATTTAGCATTTAGCTGACTCCATTGACATCACTATTCAGCGAGGGTCGCTAATACGATTGGTCGCTAATACGATTTTCAGACAAAACGAAGCCTTCTGATTGGCTAGACTCAGTGAGGTCTCCACTTGGTAAAAAAATTTCAATTTTTTCTAGGTGGCCACGGAGGAAATTTCATGGGGAATCGGAGGGGTGGCTTTGACATTGGAGAGATGGAAGCATTTTCACACCTTGACCTACATTTACATGGACGGATACTCGGTGATTTTCAATAAAAATTTCGATTCGACATCCTTGAGAAATTACATCACTAGATTCATCGAATTTAATTTGATTTCCCTATTTTTCGCTTGCTTGATATCTCTCATAGTTTTCGCCTATTGCAGGATGTTTAATAACGGAAAATTCAAGCAATACGTTAACGTAAGTTTTACCTACGTACGTAATTCTTTAATAATAATATATAGATAATTTTGAAGTTTATTTTCCTCTACCAACAAAAATTAACTTAGTAAACAAAAAGCTTATTGAGCTTGGACAAACACACTTTGACGTAGGCATCCAATTTCCTGCTGGCCCTACCGTATTCCTGCTGGTGGAAATTAAATCGCCTTATAACGTTAACATGTTTGTTTTAGTTGATATTTTTTCCTGTGTACGAGCAACCGCAATCGATCAAAGTAGTCCGGGGAAATTTCCTGAGGACCCTCTTCCTGCTGTGGTGGCTCACCTGCGGCGTCCTCACGATTTCCTTCAAGGTTTTCCTGTTCGGCACGAACCTGCGGGGGTCCCAGACCATCCTGACTTTTCAGGATCTCGTGGAGAACGGATTCGAATTCAAGGTGCTGCAGGATGTGTTTTTAATAGATTTCAAATTCGCATTTTTAATGGGTCACCCTGTATGTAATTTCAGGGTACTACGGTGGATTACGTGTTTATAAGGTCGCAGTGTCGCAGGAAATTTCCAACTAAAGTTTGCGAGCTGTTGATGCCGAGATTTTCCCCGTTTGAGACTGATGTAGAAACATGCTCGTTTTTCCAGGAAATGTTCCACGGGAAATTGGCCCTCATCGGGGAGTGGACTACTATGAGATTTGTGGTAATACCTCTACAGGGTGGTTATAAGAAATAAGATGTTTATCGATTTTTGTATAGTTTTATAGCAAGTGCAACCTGACGCAGGAGCAGGGGAATCAGGTGCAGGTTTTGATGAATCCCATCTTCGGGACTCAAATGCACTTCTGGCCGACGAAGGACAGTTATTTTTTGACAGAAGAATTTTCGAAAGGCATTAGTGTGTTAAGAGAATCCGGGCTTATCTTTTACTGGTAAAAGTTTGCGGTACATTATTTAAAGAGTCTCTAAAACTACTCAGTTTTCGATTTTTTTTCATTCTTCGAAAACTGTAGAAAAACGATTTTTCTACAAAATAAATAAAACCAGGTTTTTTTTTCTATATCGACTAGATTTCGAAATATTTGCATTTTTTAACGGAATAGCAATAAATTCAGTTTTTCATTTACAATTTTATTCTTCTAGGCAAAATGTTGAACTGGACTATAAAATAAGCGGCACAGGAATAGAAAAAACCAACGTAAAATTTAAAACAATGTCCATAAATAAGTTAATTCTGCCATTGACTTTGCTATTTATGGGAATCACAGCGGCTTTCTTGGTATTTCTGAGCGAACTGAGACGCAGAAAATCGCCGGAACACTAACACATTTCACCGACCTATAAGCAATAAATAAATAAATAAAGCACTAGAAAAAAAAATATTTTCGAGAATTATCATTAATACTTACCTCTGTGCACGAGCAAAATATGCGTGACACATTCAATTATAGCTTGCTGGGAAAACTTTGTGGAAACAAGTTAAATGATTAGTCGTTTTAAGAAATTATAGCTTCGCAGGAGAATTCCAAAAATTATGATTTTCCTATTGAAAACCTGCCTGTATTTCAACCTGCTGTTGAAATTGACGGCCACTTTTACGAATATCTACGACCCTCCCGATAAGTTTCTGTACGTGACGCCATTGGTTCAGGAGCTTTTCCGCAAATTCCGTGACTTTCCCCTGGTCCTGCATTACGACAAAACATCCCCGTACACTTACAAAAAACCCCCCACAAACGGATTGATAATAATTTACAATTACGAGGTGAACATACCGCAAAGAAGGCCGACGGGTCACCATTTTCTGCACCTCATCGATTGCCATAAAATCTACAATGACTCGCGTTTCTTGAGAATCGAGACCAAAGTGAGTATTTTAATCATAGAATTTTAGTTTTAATTTTCGAATTTCGCGCTGTTTACTTCCTGTCAATACCTGTCATTATGTCAATTGTACTGAACAAGATGGCTACCTGCGAATTTAGTTAAAAATCGGCTATTTCAAGAATTACTTCGATTATTACGATGATAAAATAATACAGAAGATAAAGTGAGTATTTTATTAATAAGAACTTGTTCTTTTACAAGATTTTATCAATTATAATTCGCTGAAAAACAATTTTTACATTTGAATTTTTGAATCATTTAGCACAAGATGGCTGCCGCCCAATTCGCTTATAACTCGAATAAAACCGACTTTTTCAACAATCACTTCCATTATCACGACGAAATACTACGCAAAAACTAATTCTACGTATATATTTCCCTTCATTTTGACGTAGATAAACCGCGAGGACATGATAATGTTCGTGGAAAGAAACTTGGAAATACCAATCGAGCTCCTCGACAAATTCTTCTACACCCGCCTGGTCTTCCTGCTGAAAATCAACCGCCGCGAAACGTTCTACTGCGCTTACATGAACTCCAGGCGCATTTGCACTCCCAAACAAATCCACCCCGGAGATTCCCTACCGAAATTCCGCCCCTTCAAAGACATCATGAATTACTTAGACAAAGAGGCGGTCGGGTACGTCTTGACGCCGCCCCACGTCTACTACCCCACTAGGTACAACACCCGGTGGATTATTAATGAAAACCTTATAAATTTGTAATAATTTTCCAGAGATAGAAGTTCGACCGCTGTCACAGGACTGGAGGTTTCTTTGCTCGAAGTCTTCAGCAAACTATACAATTTCTCCTACGAATTGATACCTTTTATGACCGTTACCGATGATAAAGGAAGCTACGTGGAACCTCTTTTAACCAGCGTAATAACAAATTATACGGGGCGATTTGTAAAGCATCACATTCTGTAATTCTTGACAGTGACGTCACAGAGTTCTGATTGGCTCGAGCAATAATCGAGCGCTGTGATTGGCTGTACTCAGTTACGTCACTGTCAACTTTTGAGTATACGGAGTGAATAAAAAAATTAAATTTTGTGTTACAGATAAAAAAAGGGAACATATCGTGGGGCATTGGGGCGATATTCGAGAACGAAAAGCGGATCGAGGACTTCGATTTGTCCAAATGCGTATTCATCGAAGGCTATACAGCCGTGTTCAGCAAGACATTCGAGAGACCAGAATTGTGGAAATTTATGTACAAAAACGCAATGTACCACGTTACATCGATAACAGGCGGTATTTGCACTTGCATGGGAGCCTATTTCTTCCTGAAGTTTCGCTCGTTTCGAATCTACGTTCGAGTATGCAGCTAAAACAACGCACTGTAACCCAAGCTCTGTATATTTAATCACTATTTCAGTTGATTTTTCTACCGTTGTACGAGCAAAACCAACCCTTTGGGGCCCTCAAATCGACGCCCATGAGGATTCTATTCGCTACTTGGTGGCTGATGTGCTACGTGCTGATCATCTCGTACAAAACCTACCTGTTCGGCAGCATGTTCAGGGCACCTTACCCCATTAACACTGTGGAGGATCTGGTGCGGGAAGGATTCACGTTTAAAGTAAATCGCGAGATTAAAAAGAATTGCATAAATGGGATAACCACGCGATTTCCAGGCTGTAGATGTGGATTATATTTACATAGAATCGCAATGTAAACACACCCCAACGGACTTCTGCGAGATACTCCTGCCGAGATTTACGTACACAAACGATTCTTGCGAGGGTCTCAGGGGAATGTTTGAGGAAAAGTTCGCTTTCATCGGGGAATCCTACACTTTGTTATACCAGGTGATGAGGTTATAATAAATTGATTATTTTTTATGTGTTGTATTAGGTTAACAGGAAGTGTAAATTGAGCCTGGAAGAGCAGAGCCAGATGAAGTCGTCCAAAAACTTGGTGTTCGGGATCCAGTTTCACGTGTGGCCTATGAATAAAAATACGATTCTAACGAAACCTCTGGCTGAAACGGTGCGGTTGCTGGAACAGGCCGGTTTGTACAACAAATGGTATTTCGTAGGATTTTCAACAAATTGATGTTTGTAAGTAATGCGTGTTTTACAGGCTGGATAACGAGACGAGATACGGCACATTTAAAAAGCCTGGAATGGGGAAGTTGAGGAAACAGAGGAAATTGAGAGTGCAAGATGTAATGTTGCCCATTTACGTGCTTTTAGTGGGTTATGTGGTTTCTACAGCAGCGTTTCTACTGGAACACTACAAGCAAAAAATCCGAAAAAACAGCATATTAAAAAACAAAACGATTTTTCACAAAAGATTTACTCAATTGTAACAATAAATTCAGCAATGATTGATTACACTTAAAAATTGTGCGTGTAGCAAAATCACATTAACACAAAGTGTTTCCCACAAAAGATTAATTTGAGCGAAATTTAGTACATATTTTATGAGTACACGAAACACTTTGTATACAGTGAATTTGCTTGATTATTGTGATGTTAAATATTTGCACTCCGAAGGCCACTTTATCACAGGCGATTGCTTATTAATTATCGCTTATAATCTATATTTCCTTAGAATTATGAATGTAAGTAATACGAAAAATATTTGTATAAAGAGAGAATATCATTAACTGGTTCGAGTGTAAATTATACTAACAAATTGCTGCAATAATTATTCATTTTTTACGTACAAATCTGCGATTGTGCTTACGTATTAATTGCTCTAAAAATAATTGAATTATTTTTTATATATATATTACTATTAAAGGAATTTTCTCGCAAAAAATTGCTAATTTGGGAAATTTAGGAAGACGCAAATCGATTTGATATACCTAATAAATATTCGTATATCCGTAAGAAAATTATAGAATTAAATAATTATGTAAAATGTTAACTAATACAATAATAGATTAAGAAAACTTGTCAGGGGAACACATTAAATTCAGAGATCACTTATTGACTTAATAACTAAAAAATACCAACTCAAAATTAATAATACAAGGATTTTCGACGAAATAAAGAAGATACTAATATAAAATAAAAATCACAGGCAAACGCGTCGATTAAAAATCAATGAGACCACAAAATGGCAAATAATTTTCGATTAATGGCAAGTTTAACATACTTTACAAATCGTATAATTGCTTTTTAACGTTTCTTTGAGCTTTAACAGTAAATCAGTCCAGCAAAAACTAATAGTTTAACATCGCATTAATTTTACAAGGACTCGGTTCCTTCGATATAGTAATAAAAAAAATCTATAACAGCGTAACATGCCTCAAATTGGCAGACAAAACAATCTCCATAACGGACTGAAACACCACCCTAACATTAGCAGTATCTGTAGCTGTAGTGAAATGAGGATACAAAACTTTCCTCGAATCTCCGTTTCTCAATATAAATTTATGCTGTACGAACAAAGCCCCTCGATCGACGTCCTTATCGGGCCCGTTGTAATCGGAAAAGTACAGTCTCAAGTGGCGTTGCGAATGCAAAATCTTCTCCCTGAACAAATCGAATTTGTTCAAGAACAACACGAAAGAGGCCTCCCTGAAGAACGGGTTGTTGACTATTTGCCCGAATAGGTTGAGGCTCTCCTCTAGCCGGTTCACGCTCGGATCCTCCTGTAAAAGTTAAAACGCGAATTTTAGAAATAGAAATTAATTTAAACATAAAATCAACCTTACCAGTAGAGTCATATCGTAGCCACTTAAAGACACCACAAACAACACGGCCTTCACGTCATCGAAGCAATATATCCACTTTCTCCTCTGCGAACGTTGCCCGCCCACATCGTACATGCTAATAATCAAATCGTTTATTCGAAACTGAGTCTCGATGATCCCCTGCGTTCTCACCCGAGCCCTCAGCACGTCCGTTGGATTCGGCACGTATTTCGGATCGCAAATCCTCTCCATATTCTCGAACAAACTACAAATAAGAAAATTATTACTACGGCCTATTGCTTAGCGTTACTGCAACCACATTTTCAACCTCTTACACAACTAGTCTACTATAAATATTTACTTATAATGTACATACTAAAGAGCCGAATCGTTCAATTCGTATTCATAACCCCGGGCAACGGCTAATCGAACCCCCCGATCGGACCACAGGGCCTGCAGGGAAGCGGCCACTCCGGGTAATATGGCAAAGCTCATATCGAAGCAGCTTTTGGCTATTAGAATGTTCTGGGCGTGCGATTTGTTCCTCTGGTGCTCCAGGTTGATTCTGAGGATGCCCATGCCGGCCAAAACGTACTTCATCGAGGCCAGCAGGTTGTCGAGCACCGTGGGCCGGAAGCTGCTCAGTTCGGCTAGAGTGAAACCGTCCGCATGGATTATCTTCATTTGTTTTACTAGGGTGCTCTTGCCGCTTTCTCCGGCTCCTACGGTTGATGTTTATTACATTGTTGAGAAAACTATGTGGTTAAATGGTGTGTATTTTGTAGGATATCTTACCCAAAAGGAGTATTTTGATGACATTGTTCTGCTGCTTGGCGAATTCGCCTAGTTGCCTGTCGATTTCTTCGCTGCGTTTTCGGGCTTTTCCTGCTTCACGTTCCAATGTCAGGCATGCCCCCATATCGTACACATCACGGTGTTAGGCCTGTGCTGTTAGTAAATTCTCTGTTAAATTCGTTCCTTGCTCTCTAATTCAGCTTGGTGGATTGAAGGCGTTCTCTTCTCGCACTAAGCAAGGTCGTTAATCGCGTGAAAACTTCTTTCAATTCCCACAATAGAGGATATTGTTGTTAATTAAATTAACGATAAATGAAAAGCGTAAACAAACATTAAATGCGAGTCTGTCTGTCTCTTGTCTGAACTTGTTCCTGTTAAATTCAGGTTAAACCCGTTTGCAATACTACAAGCTCTCAATTTTGATAGGTTGTGATCAAATACAAGCGAGAATTGCAACCAATAGAGAGTTTAATAGGAAGACATTTAACTTTTATGCAGAACTACCTTAACGTCACTTTAAACTTCTCTTCTAAGGCGTTGGCTACTTCGATTATTCAGTCAACCTCCTTAAGTCAAATGTCACTCGAACGAACTGTCAGTACTGTCAATTCAAATCGAAAACGTTCGTTAGCTTGCAAGATTTTTGTATAGTTTGCCGGCAAGAAAAAGATTTGTTAATGAATTAAAATGATCGACTTCTACAAAAACCTCATGGCCTTCATGAAAATAGGCAACATTCACACTGACAACAACGTGTTCAAGTTACATTACAAAGTTACGGTGATTCTAATAGCGACTTTTTCCGTACTGCTAACCAGCAAGCAGTATTTCGGGGAACCCATCGATTGCGACGTTCAACAGCGCAAAGAAATAATCGACACCTACTGTTGGATAAACGGCACGTTTATCTTCGAAGACAACATACTGGGTAAGTCGCGTTGAATTCTTTTAGCTAAAATGGCCTTTTACCTCGCTGTTTTCAGATTACAGAGCGCCCGGTTTGACTACGAGGAACGATAAAAGTGGAAGCGCCCATTTCCAGAATTATTACCAATGGGTTTGCATTGTGTTCGCTCTACAAGCCATTTGCTTTTATATACCGAGGTATATATGGAAAGCCTGCGAAGGGGGGCGATTGAAGCAGCTAGTCGGAGAGTTCGGTAATGCATATAAAATTTACCAACGTACAAAATCTTAATTCGTAATTTACAGGAGGGCCGATCACTTCGGAAAAGTGGAATAATACCTCCAAAGAAAAACTTGTTCGAAATATCCTGTATGATTCATACGCTCATAACGTCTACACTTTTCGATACTGCTTCTGCGAATTTCTGAACCTAGTAAACGTGGTAAAATAACGCATACATTACAATAGTACTATATTCTCACTCGATGCTCCTTTTAGATAATTAATATATTATTCATGGACTGGTTTCTGGACGGAGAATTCTCCACATATGGCCTCATCGATGGCTCTCGAAGTATTACAAAACGCATGAACAGGGTGTTCCCTAAACTGGCCAAATGTCACTACTACAAATTCGGCCCATCGGGCGACATGCAATTGCTCGACGCCCTCTGCATTCTTTCTTTAAACGTTCTCAATCAAAAGGTATTTCTGTTACTTTGGTATTGGCTGCTCGTGCTGTTGATCGTGTCCTTCCTGTCCGTACTCTACAGGGCGTTGTTTCTGTTTGTGCCTGTCTTCAGAACGTACTTGTTGAGAGCTCAAGCTCGCAGACTGGAGAACAAAAAGGCCAAGTATATCGTTAGGAAATTATCGTACGGGGATTTCTTCATATTATACAGGTTGGGGAAGAATGTAAATCAGAACACTTACAGGGATGTCGTGTCCTGTATTTACGATCATTTAAGTAACTGGAAGGGTTATAAAATCTTTCAGGAAATTTAACGCTTGATATTTGATTGATATTTTCGATAGAGAAAGAATTGTTTTGTTTTGTACTTTTAGTTTTCAAAGAATATTGTTCTGTGTTATATGTTCACTGTAGTTTTATGCAGTCTTAGTTTTTAAAGAATGTTGTTCCGTGTTATATGTTCAAATGTTTGACGAATAAAAATGTTTTATATGAAACTTTACTGTAATATTATTTGTTGTATTTCTTAGCCTTTAATTCTTTATATGCCGTTATGACTTCCTTTTGCTGCCGCTCCAACTGCATCCTTAATGCTTGTGGTAATTCTTTCCTCTTCGATTTTTTATCTATTACTTTATTAATAGTTTTTCTTGATTCTTTTGCGATGGCTGGTTTTTCTTTGCCGTCTCCAAGAATTTTCTTCAATATGAGGTTCTTGTTACCGGGCTGAAAAATCAAAGAAAATTAATTTGAAAAATAGAAAAGAGATGTATTAATTAATACCCTTGGAGTTTGAGTTTTCTTGACTCTTCTAGGAGCTACTAGACTAGGAGGTGCATGGGCCGTTTCCCCGAATTTAACGTTATCTTTATACTGTTTGAATTCATCTATATTCCTCATTTCCTTGTTTTGCTCCTTTTCGTTCAATTTCTTTTTCCTTTTTTGCCATTTACTCAGTTTAATTGGGACTTGATCCGTTTTTGGTTTTTTCTTTTTCTTAATTCCCTTCTCTTTGGCTTTCTCTTTCTTCCTGGCTTGTTTCATCAGCAATTCCAGTTCGTCCTTGGGCTTTTTGACCACTCCTTCGATCTTAAATTAGAATAATAATTGTAATATAAGAAATATTATTTTAGAGTTGATGTAAATTTACTTCTCCGTCCTCATTCCTTTTGATCTCCACTCCGTATTTATCTGCGAATTCGGTCTCCTTCAAGGTGTCTACGCAGAGTTTGTTTACACGTTGCAGGAGATTTTTGTCCGATTCGCCTGGAAGTCTTTCGAATTCGTGAGATTTAACTATTTTCTTGTTTTCTTTACTGTTTGATTTTTTCTTTTTCTTGCTAAAATCGCCATTTTTAACTCTATTTTTCAATTCTACGATTCTCTGCAACGTTTTCGGCATTTCCTGTGCTTCAACGTTGCTCGGTGGGGCATTGATTTTATTTTTTATCCTGAAAATCGTGCGATTAAAAGAGTTTATATAATTTAATTCAAAAGAGTTTAACTCACTTCTCGAATCTGACTGCTTCTTGTTTTTCGGGGTCCCTAATACCCCTGTGCTTGCGCCCTGGTATTTTTCTACCCATTTTATTTGAAACTAACAAATATTTTTCATTTTAAAACCAATTATACACGCACTATCATATGAATAAGATAGGTTATGTTATTCTTCTTTTTAGAAAACTACAAGTTAATCAGAAGTGACTGAATTCCTTAATAGGTAAAGGTTTATGTATTTTTAGAAATTTAGAAGAAGAAATGTAGAAAACATAACCTTATATTGTCCACACGAGGATAACAACGTTGACTTGTTGAATTCCTACAGTAGTAAGTTAATAAAAATATTAATTTTGTGGTATATATTACGGGGATATTATGAAGATAAAAGCGACTAGTGTCGAAGAGGCACCACCTAAGAAGAAATTGAAGACAGGACAATCTAATGGGGAAGGAAAAAAGGAGAAGATTTCCAAGAATGGAGAATCTAAAGGAGACAAAGTTTCCAAAAAGGGTTCAGGTGCTCCAAAGTATGGTAAAACTAAAAACCAAAGTCTACCTACTAATTTAAAGAAACCCGGAGTAAAATCGAACTCAACGAAACAACTAAAAGGTACTAGTTAATTTCATTACAATCAAAAACTTAAATATCTAAAATTATATTATTTTAGGACAAAAAAATAACGCAAAACCCGAAAACGTCGATTGGATGGAATTCAAACAGAAGAAAAAAGAGCTTAAACTCAAAAGGAAACAAACCAAAGAAGGTTACGATGTTATTACGAGAGCTAAAAAAATGGGTGAAGACTTACGAAAGAAGAATTTAAAAGCCGATGAGAAAACAAATCTCATTAACCAACTGCACAATCTTCTTAAAAGCAAAGGCCACTATTCCAAGTTCCTTTTAGCCCACGATACAGCCCGAATAGTCCAGTGGCTGTTGAAATACTCATCGGAGGCCATTATTAACGAAATATCGATCGTAAATACAGCATATTTAAAGTCATATAGTCGTAATTAAGCGGTTAATATTTTAGGAAATAATCCCGTCTACAGTGGACATGTTGCAATCGAAGTACGGCAGCCACTGCGTTAAACGTCTCCTCAAATACGGCTCCACCGATATTCGCAGGAAAGTCGTAGATTCCATGATGGGGCACTCTGTTAAACTAGTCTCTCACTCCATCAGCGCCCCCATAGTGGAATACGCCTACTCCACGTGGGCTACCCCTCTTCAAAAGCAGCTCCTTCTCCAGGAGTTTTTCGGCGAGCTCTACACAAACTCCAAAGACAACGATGTGAAACACATTTCTGATGTGTACAAGAACGATCGAAGTCTCAAAACCGCCACTCTGGGGGCCGCTAAGGCTAACTTAGTCAGGATATTGAACAAATCTTTGCTGGATTCCGGATTAGTGCAGACCCTTCTGTGCCAGTTTCTCGGGGAATGTACCGAGGAGGATCGCAAGGAGATGATCGGGCAATTGGCCTCTCACATTGTTGTTATTAGTAATAGTAAAGATGGAGCTAGGGCTGCTATGCAGTGCATTTGGCACGGCTCGAATAAAGATAGAAAAGTAAGTTATATGCTAATTGTTAATTGTTGTATCTATTTATAATGTTTTTGTAGATTATAATGAAGAAGATTAAGGAGCATTTGCTTGATTTATGCAAACACGAGCATGGACATTGCGTTATAATAACCCTGTTGGATTGTATAGATGATACTGTATTGTTGCATAAGATTGTGTTGTCTGATATACTGAAATTCTCGAAGGAATTGGCGGTTGACGATTGGGGGAGAAAGGTACGAAAAAACAACACGAATAAATCCTAAATAATATTGGTTTTTAAAGGTTCTATTGTGGCTGGTTGCCCCGGCAGATTCGTCCAAATTCCACCCTTTGTTTATAAACGAATTGATTGCTGGTAGGGAAGCTTCGACTTGCAAAAAAACCCCCGAGATACGAAGGAAAGAAATCCTGGATTATTCCATTTCTACATTATTTGATTTAGTTCGAAGCGATTCGAGTTTCTGGTTATCGAACGCTTCCTTAGCCATGGAATTAGTAGCTATAATTAAGAGCGGTAAGGTAATTAAATAAACGTGAAATAACTCGAATTATTCGATATATTCCAGGCGCAGGAGATGATTTAGTACATTCCAGCATAGTCGATGTAATTATTCAACCTGACTGGATGACAAAAGAAAATAATAAAGAAATATCTGGAATAGAAAATGCTGGGATTCACATGGCTCTGAAAAAATTGGTCCAATTCGATAAGACTAGATCAGAACGAAATGAAAGCACTTTTGGATCGGTTTTGATAAACAAATTAGAAGCAGATACGGTTAGTATTTTGCTATAAAATCGCACTAAATTTACTATAATCATCCATTTTTAGGTCAAGCATTGGCTGAGCACGAACAGGGGATGCTTCTTCCTGGTCGCCTTATATGAAAATGGCTGTGAAACTACCCAAAACAAAATGAAAACCAAGTTAAAGAAACACGTGCAGGTGTTGAAGAAACAAAGTTCACAAGGCGCCAAAATTTTGTTGAGCAAAATTTCGTAAGAAAAATTTTAATATCGATCGAAAATTGTTACAATAAATTATGTTTAAATCTCGACTAACAGTTTAATAAACGGTTATTCGATATAAAAAATGCACAGTGAGAGCTTATTTATTGTTATTTATACTTTAAAATCGAAAAACCCTTACTCTTCGTTATTTCTTATATAATATGTCACATGATAATGGTAAAATCGATGGGACAGAAGATTCAAATCATTACATTACATATATATCTTACAATTAACGATATTTTGAATGAATATATACAAAAATTAGATCACCTACTACCATGCCAATGAATTTTAAGTTACGCAAGAATTTATTCCGGCTAAATATTTCAGGATTCCCCATTTGATTGATAACTCTCCCTACTTTACAAGTAGCCGTTCGAAGTTGTATATTATGTATCGTGCAAGATGCTGCTGACCCGTTCTTCTACGGCCACTTTCCTCGACTTCCACACGAACTCGCAAACCGCTATGACGCAGGCCACCCCCATGCCCCCCATTAGAACCACAAACACCCCTCCGACGTTCGCTAGGCCCAATTCGTTCGCCGTGCTGCTCGTTTTCGTCGTCTCGTCCTGCAAACATTCGTGCAATTTCGACGATTTAATGATTTCAAAACGTACCCTGCACTTTCCGCCGCCTCGTTTCTCCTTCCACCAGCGCGTCTTCAGTATATGCAACTTCCCTTCCTCCTGCAGCTTCAATATAGCCCCGCTGATGGGCGTTCTAAACGGAGAATCTGGAAGTTTTCAACCGTACAAAATCGATCTATTTCATTTCCTCGTAATACTCACTAGGCGGCGTGGCTATTCCGTACCCTTTCGAATCCAACAAGCTCCCTACCTGCTGCAATTGGCAGTTCCTCTCTATCACGTACTCGATCGAAGTGGATTCCATGAGAAAAGCGTAGCTACCTTTACCCTTCACTACTTGTTCTACGCCCTCTTGATTGCTCGATGTGAAGACCGGAGGCCGTTGGGACTCCATGAAGGCCCACATCCTCTGGTACGTCGAGAAATTCGAGTCCTAAACCACTAATAACAGTAACAAAGCGTGTTAGTGGTTGGTGTACTTACTCTGAAAAAGGCCGCAGTCGATCCGCCTCTTAAAGCGCCGTATTTGATCTTGGTTTGTTTGGCCAAATCTTCAGCCGTTTCGATAGGAGAATCCATCCTTTCTACCGTGAGAAACGCCGCCAAATTCGCCGTGTACGAAGATATCATGATCAATGTGAAGAACCACCACATTCCCGCCACCATTCTAGTCGATACGGCCCTGCAAAATAAACGCAAACGCTCTATACACCATTTCGAAACCCATAGCAAAGACGAAAGAACAATTATATAGATCCCTGACGAGTCCTGATCAACAAAAACCGCCGGCAGGAGAGGGGTAGTTCTTACTTCGGGGCGATATCGGAGCCCTGCTGCATCAGCGTCCCCACGGTGAACCACAGCGAATTCAGCAACGTGAATTGGTTCTCCAGCACGGCCGGGGGCGCCCCGCGGCATGAGTGCGGATCGTCCCACTCGTAGGGGCTGAACCTGCAACCGGTTATCGTGCCATTAACCGATAACGTAAAGGGGCTTACTTGGGCAAGAAGTCGCAGCCTTGTTGCATCAGCGAGCCGATGGCGAACCACATGCAGTTGAACAACGTGAACTGGTTCTCCAAGTGATCGGGATCCGGATCGCACGGGTGCGGGTTCTGCCATTCGTACGGCGTGAACCTGGCGAAATTTATTATTATATATCATTTAACGCGTATTTTGCACGACTAATAACGGGGTTCTGAGGCGCCTGAATCGGTTAAACTAATGTATAACAAGTCTGCGCTTCTTTGAATGTTTAAGTTTGCGTGGTAAAAACGATACTAACCTTGCTAAAATGAACAATAGTACGGAAACTCCTAGATAAGCAGTCGCCATGTAAATCCAAACGTCTAAACTTAGTGGTGAAAGAAACGAAAACAAATTGGGCGATTGCTTTATGGGTTTCCTATACAATATACTTATGCCCAGGTTCATGAAAGGCATCGTGAAATCCACGGCTTGCTCTCTGGAAATCAATCATTGTACTAAATCTGTTAAACACTATCCTATACAAATACCTATCGTATGTAATAGTCAAATCAGCTATGGCCAAATCGGCCTTCTGGTCCAACAATTCCCTAATCATTCCGTCCCATTCTTTGGTCGCCCTGTTGAGGGAACCGTGCCTGCCGTCCGGCACCAGTTTGATCGAGTAGTTGAAACCCAACACCCTGGATATTTCATGGATCAGATCCACCGCGTAGCCTTCGAACTGAGCGTTCCCCGACAATTTTTCGCTCGTCTCCTTCAGCATCACGTAGGGGGCACTCTGAAACAACACATTTATATAGATGTATCTCTTGCTCTATCCTCTGGGATACTTTAGGGAGTGCTCACCAACAGCGTGGTAACCACGAAGGTCTTGTTCTGTATGATTTCCACGATTTGCGTGTACGCCTCGCCGTAGGTCCTGGTGAAGTTGACCCCTTCCGTCGAATTCCACACGCCGATTTTCTTCAAACCTTCCCTGCTCAACTCGATAATGTCCAAGACGAAGTCCGTCCGGAAGCCCTGGTGATCGAACTTGATCACGCCCGTCAAGCCTTTCATTTCCACCTGCGATGAAAATTTCCTTTTAGACACTTTAGGAATTAAATGATCGAATTGATTTATTACCACTTTCATGTAATTGATGAGGCTGTAGCCGTGCGGCCAGAAGTCCACCGCATCGCAACTGAGCGGTTTGATGTCAATTTGCTGGCTGGTGTCGAGATCGTGCAAGGCCTTGGCGAACAAATGAACGGCGTCGTACATCAAAGCCGTCTCCGCCTAAATAAATAAATGAATTTACCCGAAGAAATTGAGGGAAGAAACTCACGCACCTTCACGAATGTCGCGTTGTCCTGGACGTCCTGTAAGCAAATTTTAGGATTATTAGTATAGATTTTCAGTATATTCCAGAGTTTTCCAGGCGTATTACCTGCTTGTACATCGAAGCCGGCTCTCCCTTTCTGTTCTTAATTTCGATTTCCGTATTCCAGTCTCTCACTATTCTCCTTACGTCTTGTCCTTCGGGATCGACCAATCGAAACGCCGTTATGTTCGTCCCGCCGTATTTGAATTCCTCCAGGTTGACCCCGTGCAAGTCCTGCAACAAATCACGTCTTATCCCCGCCTTCCTTACCACCGTCAGTACTGCATCGAATACTTTATACTGGCTGGTGACTTACTAAAGAAGTGATAAGATAGCTGTGGTAATCGCTCATCATCCCGATCTGCTGGGCTTGTTTGAGGACATCGTAGATCCTCTCCGTGGAGCAATCGAGCACGATGTGCGATTCCGCCGAGTTTTTTATCTGCTTCAGTAGCGGCCTGGGACGCGCGAATCGTTAAGTAATTTATTAAAAATAAGTTCGTTAATTGGTTTACCTGTAGTCCGAGCTTTCTCCCAATTGTCGAACCGTAATGGGAAATTCGTAGGGTCCGTGGGCTTTGAGCAATTCCTGGAGGCGCACCAGCCCCTCGTTGTTCTCGTAGATGATCGTGAAGGATTTCCAGCCCCATGCCTTCACCAGATCAACGTAGGCCTAAATGTCACATAAGTGTATAACAAAATGGAATGATAGATATACGGAATGCTGTAGTTAAATTATTGCTTTAGGGAATAAATAGGGCGAAATATCAATTAAGTACGAGTAAATTTATTAAAGATACAAATAAAAATTTCTATCTCCGGTCCTGTTTGAATTTTTGAATTTTTGAACTGTCAATTGTCAAAGCCACAGTAAATTTTTTTCTCGCTAAAAAATTTTGCTAAGAATAGAAATGACAGTTAGATTTGACAGCTAAATTTAACGCGGCAAATTCAAATTTTATGTCAACATTTCATGAAAACTCCAAACAAATTTTTGGTAGAGTTAAAAAGAACCGCGCGTAAATTACCTTGGAAAGGGTGGTGGGATGGGGATACAAATTCACCAGGCAACTCTCCCTTCTCAGCCGGTAATCCCAGCGCGTCTCCAGGTGAGGAATTTCCATGGTATCGCAAATGGACTGGACGTGACTGGCCGTGTGGGCCGATTGGGGCCCGAAAATGGCCGCGATGCCGGTCCTGAGCAGGTGGCATACTGCAATTTAATTATCATAAATTTATTCAGTTTTTAATCGCACTTTTTAACCTTACTTAAATGTCAAATGTCAAATATCAAATATCAATACTATGAATGGTGCCTTTTACGTCTTGGGAAACACAGCATATTAAAAAAACCGCAAAATTATTGATAAAATCAAGTTGATTTTATTCAGCACGTATACGAAGGTGGTGCTATAATGTATTATAACGAGATTTACACATGACAAATCAAAGGAAATTCGGGTGGAAAAGTGTCAGAGCGTACGGAATTGCATTATTTTGAAATGCCCTTTCAGAAGATTTTCACTCCGCTAATTCCTCTTATCTTATACGGCTCTCACGGAGGCGTCAAGGCGTTTAATACACACATAAGGGGAGAGATTAATGGAGAACAATCAATTTTCACTTGATAAATTATTCCTTCAAGTTCCCAAAATTCCAGTCCCCTCATACATATTCAGGAGCATCCAATATACGGACGCATCTCCTGACGAATTCCCTTTACGCAAATTCACCTGGCGACTTGAAACCTTCGGTAATACAGCGAAATAACATTCGACTCGTGCTATCTGTTTCTACGGCCAAAAAACCGGAGGATCGAAAGGCATAAATTATTTACCGATCAGCATACGCCAGTTTAATGATCGAATTACCTTTCTTGGAAGCGTGGAAGCTATCCTGCGGAGGAATTTTCTCGATTTGCGCGCTGAGCTTGGATCTCGTCAGGATCGAACGGTCGTTGTTTATTTTCTCTATGGCGTATCTGAAGGCTATTTCCTGCTTATCGTCTGCAGGATGGAAGAGACCTCCTGCAAAAAATACACACAATAATTCAACAAACTGCTGAAAAATATAATTTTTAAATACTGGGTGATTTTAATTCTAATTGGTTACTCACCGATTGGTATCAGGTCTGGTAAACAGGTGATTACTTGGAGAAAGCTGGATATAATTAATAAGTGCATCGCGCGTTATTTTTCCAAGGACTCCTGGAAAATGAAATAGCTGCATTAATTTACCCAGGAGAAATTAAAAACGTTAATTAACTATAATAGCTGAGTAATTAAAACAGTAAAACAAACTATTCCTTTTACATTTTCCTGTTGTTTTTAATCCGAAACCCCCTTATTTAGTCTTTTAATTGAACTTTTTAACCCTTTAATTAACTCTATACATATTAATCCTTAATTCTGAACCTCCTAAACTCCCTAAACACAAAAACATTTAGCTAATATTCCTGCTATATTACGAAGGAAACTTCCACAAAGCCACATCTGCAGTACACCAGATAACTATAAAAACCAACAAACAATAAACCCTTCCTGCTGACTAGCGCTTTCGCTTACAGGAAAACCCGCATGAACCGTGCCTTATCTCGTTTCAACAGCGTCCAGATATCTCCAGAGATTACCCGCGCTTTGCCACGCTCGATATTGCCGCCGTTTCTGGCGATATTAAATCGTTTCGGAGCGTTTGAAGCAGGAGAACCGAGCACATCACACCCACCTGCAGCGTTAACTGGACGTTTCAGCGGACATCAATCGAGGATGAGGGCGAGAAAAGCGCGACGGGTCCTTGCGCTCGACTGCAACCCGGATTCTGGATTCTGGATAGCGGCGCTTGCGGTGCCGGAGTTTGCGCGATGTGCCTGGAAAGAGCTGGATGAATAGGGAAGTGGAGATGTGCTGGAATGAGGGTTGGTTTGTTCTTTGAAATAAGAGCGAATTTTTGATGTTTTTTTTGATCGAAAGGTGAATCTAATTTGCGATTTTTGGGTTGGTTGATGAAGGTTGATGAATCTATTGAGCAGATTTGGATATTTTTTTGGGGCAATAAATTTGGGGTTGTAGATAATTTTGATAACGTATATTACTCTATTTTCGCATTCACTTTATTATTTTCCGGCATGTCATTTAATCTCTCGGGTCAAATAAAACTGAAATAATCTATTTTTAACACTTTTCATAGCCGGTGAGATGGGAGAATAAAAAGTAATTAATCGCTTAACACTTAAAAATTAAAACTTCCTATGCATCATGGGTAAAATGGATTCTACATAAAATCTTCTCTAATAAATAAATTAATAAATAAAACGAATCGACAAAGATAATTACTGAACATTTTTTTTATATTCGAACACCATCGAGACTAAAAAAGCTTTTATTAGCTCGATGCAAAGTCTGCGGCACAGTCGACGCTCGGCGTCGCGACGGCCTGCTTGCCGACGCTTCCGGTTTATTTGAAAACATGCGGAAAATCCCGCCTGTTTGCTTGGTTTTATTTTTCCTGACGCTCGTCGGCGGCATCAAGAAGAAAACCATCAATATCGGTAAGTATAATCTGTACAAATTATTAACGTTAAAATGGTTGCATAACCGAAAAAAAATGACAGTTGACAGTTTACTGTAAAAAAATTGACATGGCGCTTAAAGAGAATTTGAAATCGATTAGTTTTGATTCGAATTTTCGACGAATTTGCGTAATTCTTTCTCGTTATTTAAACGATAAATTTTCTCAGGAATATTCCTGAATGATGATGATCATTATGAAACATCCACCATAGCCCTAACGAGCGTGGTGAGACGAATAAATCTCTACACTAAAGTGGAATATCTGCTGAGGCCGCACATATTCCGTACCCAAAAACACGAAATATGGAAAACAGGACAAACGGGTAAACATTAAACCTCACAATTCCATCGTATATCTCAATTTAAAATCGCCTATTCCAGCCTGCAATCTACTGCGAAAAGGCGTAGCCGCCATTTTCGGTCCCGAGCACCCGGAAATAAACAGCATGATCCAATCCATATCGACCAACCTGGAAATACCGCAATTCCAGACGTTCTGGAACCCGCTTCAGGCGCCTTTCGTAACCAACCAACAACCGGAGAAACCTTTGCAAATATTCAATTTACACCCGAGCCCTTGGAGCCTTTCCAAAGCACTCGCCACGTTGATTAGGGAAAACGATTGGAAAAGCTACGCTATACTCTACGAAAGCGACGAGGCTCTTTTGAGGCTAGAGCAACCGCTCAATCAGCTCCATCCCAACGATCCTGCGGTGGCCTTTAAGGCCTTAGGATCGCCCGAAAATTACAGGTAAGCGATTCGTTAAAAATTATGATTATTTTTCGATGATTTTCTTTTAGAGTGGTGTTGAAGGAAGTGAAAAATTCGGGCGTGTTGCACTTTGTGTTGGATTGCGAAGTCGAGCGCATAATGGACGTGTTAAAAATAGCCAAAGAACAGAATTTAATGACCGAATTCCACAGTTACATATTGACTAATCTGGTAACTTTTCTGAACCTTCTAAACGCTTCAAAACTGTTCTAAACTACTCCAAGATCTTCTAAACCATTCAAAGTTATTCTAAATTCAATCGAATTGCTCTAAAACGATTCTAATCTTATTAAATTTCTTCTTTGAATACTTTATTGAATTTCAGGACGCGCACACTTTAGATTGGTCCGAATTGAAAAATATCCGATCTAACATCACGGCTCTAAGGATGATAGATCCTGCGGATCCTCACGTAAAAAACGCCGCCTTAATTTGGAATCAAAACATGAAATATGACATATTGGATACCGTTAAAAACGCTGCGATACAGAAGGAACTGAACCGAACGCGACCGAAACGCAGGACATACAATGATATTCTACCGAGCAAATTACTGGTATACGATTAATACTTTATTTTTCCTAATTATTTATGCTTTTAAGCGTATTTCAGACGAAAACTATACTTTTGTACGACGCGCTGAATCTGTTTATATCGATATTCTCCGAGCTGGATTCGAAATTGAACGTTACTTTGAGACCGTTGAGCTGCGAATCGAACCTCACCTCCGAACACGGAAGGCTATTTTCCGATCTCCTGATACTGGTGAGCGATACACTCCAAACTCCCTCACGTAAATACAAGTTAAATTATACAGAAACGGAACCACCACTTGCTCCTGCAACCCCTAACGGGCCCCATTACCCGATTCGATACGATCGGTTACCGCCGAGCCTACAGATTGCAAATCGTCGAATTGGAAGAGGCGAAATTCCGCGTAACAGGCACTTGGGACTCCTCTGCACCCGACAAACTCAACCTCACCCTCACCCAAGAGGAGAGAGTCACGGAGTTGAAGAAGAAGATCCAAAAGAGGAACTTCAGGGTGGTTTCCAGGCGGGTGTACTTCTTCTCCGCTATGTTCTAGTACTAATCCTGCGGTTTGTAGATTGGGCGATCCGTATTTGATGAGGCTGCCGGATCCGCCGGGCAAGCCACTTTTGGGCAACGACAGGTTCGAAGGCTACGCCGTGGATTTGGTGTCGGAGATCTGCAAGCCGCAGCACTTGAATTGCAGCTACACGTTCGAACTGGTCCCGGACGGGATGTACGGAAACTTCGATCCGGTCACCAAGAAATGGAACGGGATTATCAAGGAATTGTTGGAATACGTACGTTGTTCGATTTTCGCTCTAATTACTCTACAATTGACGGTTTTCCTTGCTTAAATTTCCAGAGGGCAGATCTCGGAATATGCGATTTGACTATCACTTATGAGAGAAGAAAAGCGGTGGATTTTACGAATCCTTTCATGTATCTAGGTACGTTAAAGCGATCTCTTTAAGGTTATTTTAACGCGAGCGTTTCCAGGAATCAGCATATTATTTTCGAAAGCCGTTAAAGCCCCGCCGGATTTGCTCACCTTCAGCCATCCGTTGTCGTTCGAAGTCTGGATATACATAGCTACATCGTATCTCATCGTCTCTTTGATAATGTTCATCGTAGCCAGGTAAATAAGAGGCCTTTCTTAAATGAGTATCTATAAAAATTAAGCTTTTCCAGATTGAATCCCAACGATTGGGAGAACCCGCACCCTTGCAACCCCTACCCTTCCGAAAGGGAGAACATATGGACGTTCAGGAACTGCTGTTGGTTGACCATGGGTTCGTTTATGACGCAGGGATGCGATTTGTTACCCAAGTAGGTGTTCTGGAACTAATCTGGATCTATCCAAACTCCTTAAGCTTCCCCAACCCTTCTCTATCTCTCCTTAAGCTTCCTTACTTAACCAATTCCTTTCTTACCCAAGTAGAAGCTTTGGAACTATCCTAACTTTCCCTACCCTTCCCTTTCCGTCCCTACCTTTCCTTAAGCTTCTTACTCTTTCCTACTATTCTCTATCCAATCCAAATCCTCTCATCCACGAGTAGATGCTCAGGATTCCTGGAATTCCGGAGTTACAGTCGAACTTTGTAGGGGTATCTCGACGCGACTGGTGGTAGCGATGTGGTGGTTCTTCGCTCTGATAATGACCGCTTGTTATACGGCGAATATGACGGCATTTCTGACCAGTTCCCGCATGGGTTCGACCATCGAAAGCGCCGAAGACTTGGCCGCTCAGACCAAAATCAAATACGGCTGCGTTGATGGTACATAAAACGAGCGTTTATTTATAAAATAAGTAGTTTTAGAAGCGATTGGTTTTAGGCGGGGCGACTTCGTCCTTCTTCAAGGACACCAATTTCTCGACGTACCATCGGATGTGGGTGCAAATGGAGTCGGCTGATCCGAGCGTGTTCGAGAAATCGAACAAAGACGGCGTGAAGCGGGTGGTTTCCAGTAAGAGAAAGTACGCTTTCGTCATGGAAAGCTCCAACATCGAATACGAAATGGAGAGGAATTGCGATCTGGTGCAAGTCGGGAACCTGTTGGATTCCAAAGGATACGGAATCGCCGTACCTTTCAGTACGTATTAGCTTCATTTGGGCTCTATTTTCATGAATCCTGCAGGTATTTAAGGATAAACGGTGACTCCATTTTTTTAGACGCGCCTTACAGGAAGGCCATCAACGAGGTCCTGTTGAAGATGCAGGAAATGGGGCTCCTTCAAACGCTGAAGGATAGATGGTGGAAGGAGAAACACGGGGGTGGTAAATGCACGGTAAAATACATCAAATATTTATTGATTGCTAATATTAATAGTATTTTGATTGTTGTTTTTAGAAAGACAAGCAATCAGACGATGCGGCTGCTACTGAGATGGGTTTCGATAATGTCGGCGGGGTGTTTGTTGTTCTCGCCATAGGGGTGGTTTTCTCCCTTATGATGGCCGTTTGTGAGTTCCTGTGGAACGTTAGAAAGGTTGCCGTGAGGCAAAAGGTGATTTAATTAGCTTATTTTTGCTACCCTTTCCTTATACTTTCGCCCTTTTGTCGATTTTTTATGATGATTGGGGGGTGGCAGGAGGGTTGTTTAACCCCATAAACGAGTATAATTAATTTTTGGTTGTTTTAGATCACTCCTAAGGCAGCGTTGATTCAAGAATTGAAATTCGCAGTGAACATTTGGGCGAGGCAGAAGACGGTGAACGCGGCGATTTCGATGGAAAAATTCGATTAGTTTTCTAAAAGATTTCCTTTATTGTAACAGCAAAGTAACAATACTAAATTGTGCTTTACGAAATGACGGTTTGCAGGAATACACTCGCTAAAATTTAATAGGTAAATTTCGTGCTCGTACGGAATGAGTATTAATGTATAAACGCAATGGTATATCGCGTAAATTACTTCTCGGATTGCTCCTTTTTTATAGTGAAAGCCAACCAACAGGCCAGGACGATTCCGATTATCTGAAAATATAATGTTTTATATTATTTTTCGTTATATTCCATAGACAAACCCACCTCTATGAAAGCTATCCCGATCCCGACGCCTACCAGGACTTTGGCATTTTGTTCCACTTGCTCCGTTAAATAGGCGAAACAACCCTTCTGGTACATGTAATTCCCCACGCCGTAGTCGGTACAATACTGCACCGTCTCCTGCTGTTGTTCCTCCGTGCAGCAGGACAACGGGATGTTCTGGCCTTGCCAATCGGCCGGACCGTTCACTCCGCAGCATTTTAACTAAGTTATTCAGAAATTAGGTATGATAGGGGTAGATAATCAATTCTTCTAGATCCTAGTTAATTGAATCAATGGAAGTAGATAATTGACTCAATGGTGGTAGATAATTGGCTCAACGGGGGTAGATAATCAATTCTTCTAGATCCTAGATAATTGAATCAATGGGAGTAGATAAATGGCTCAATGGAGGGAAGATAATCAATTCTACTAGATCCTAGTTAATTGAATCAATGGGAGTAGATAATTGGCTCAATGGGGGTAGATAATTGATTCTTCCAGATCCTAGATAGATAATCGATCTCCTAGATTGTTAATTGACTTAATAGAGGTAAATAATTGACTACATGATGGGAGGTAATTGACTCAATTGTGTAGATAATTGTTTCTTCTAGATCGTAGATAGATAATCGAGTCTCCTAGACAGATAATTGAGCTTTCTAGATAGATAATTGACTCAATAGGTGAAAATAATTGACATAGTGGATGTAGACAATGGACTCTGGTGGTAGACTTTAAATTGACTCAATTGGGATTAGATAAACGATTCTTCTAGATACCAGAGAGATATAATCGATTTTCTTTAATCGATTTTATTCGACTTATATTATTTTCCTTACCTTTTGTTGTACGTTGTGCCATGGCATCTTCTCGCTATCCACATCTCCGTTGGTGTATCTTTTGATCGAATCCAGAAGGCTCTGTTTGAGATTTTCCTGGAAATCCTTGCGATAGACGGCCGCTGTCACGCCTACCGCTATCTCCATTATGAAAATTATGATCAGGAGTCCACCGAACTGGAATGAACGAAGGAAATTCCATCACTTTGCACGATTTAAAGGTAAATAAATTGAACTTTCGAGGCTCATTTTAAAGTTTTTTTTTAATTTGTTTTACAGGGTGTGTGTGAAAAATGGTGTACTTACGGCCATTAGCATGTTGTAGGACTCCTTGATGGCCCCGAAGCATCCTAAAAAGGCGATTACGAACACTATTACTCCTGCTACAATGAGGACAACCGGGGGCCCCAGCAGGTCGCTGCTCAGGAAGTGATTGAAATCGGATACGTTTGATAAAACTACTGCTCCTGTTATTATCACGCCCAGGCCTGATAACTGGAAGAGGAAGAAATGCTTGGTGAGTAATTGGTTTTTTTTTGCGAATTTTTGGGGGAATTTTTTGGGGAAAAATTATATTTAAGTTATTAAAAAAGACGTTAAATTTAAGAAAAAATCTGACTAAAACAAATAAAAAAACATTTAAAGTTTTCATAAAAAAAAATCACAAAAAACCCGCTAAAAATTTCACAAAAACCCGTTTAAATATTTTACAAAAAAAATCCAATTACACTTACTGCAAAGAGGAAATTAAAGATGAACAGCAGGTATTTAATGAGGCTCATTCCGCAATTTTCCATGTTGAAAAACTTGCTTTCCCGGACGTTTTTCCGCTCGAAAAAAACTCCCTAAACATACAGACAATTAACGGAACTGGGGCGTCGCGACGCCGACCAACCCCCCTACACATATGTGTGTAAGGAATTCCGGACGATAATCAATTGCTCACGGGGGTTTTCACGTTAAGGGATGAGCGTGATATTATCGCACCCTAAATTAGGTCATCCCTTAATTTTTACTATTCCGTTTTTCGGCGCATTAGTGGGATATTCGCGATGGATTTTGGGTGTTTTTTTACCGGAAAATTCGCGATATTTTTTCAGCATATTTCAGCATATTTTTGAACAGTTTTGGGTGGATTTTTATGGAAAATTTGCGATACTTCCGGCTCTTTTTGGACATTATTGGGGGTTTCAAAGTAGACAAAATAATATATTTTTCCAATCTAAATTTGTTACAATGAATTTTCATTATGAACTGGGCGAAAAAAAGGGCGCGCAATGTGTTAATAAAAATTTAATTATCCAGAGTATCTTAAGGGTAATGAATGTAGAAATAAAAGCTGTTCGTGGGAAGTTTTATGCTTCTCCGTCACGGAAATCTTTGATTCTCCAGGTGAAATCAGGCGGAAAACCGGCCTAAATATAGCCAAACAGTTCGACGACTTTTCCTTGGCAAATATTGATTCTTTTTGCTTTTATATATGGTAATTTACTGTTATTATTCAAATAGCTGTTTTTCGAAAAGTCTTTATTGTCCGTTTTCCCCGCGTTTGAAATCAGGAAAATCGATTATTTTGTGATGCCTGGACAGGCGAAGTTGCATGATGGATAAATGGATAAATGCGATATCTTCATTGTTTGTGCAAGAAACTGAACTCTCTGAATAATTACTTTACAAGCTTGATTTTCTACCTAAGAAAATCGTTAAAATTCCTTAGGTAGATAGCAATTAATAAACCAGGAAAATTCTTTTACATCCCCTGTATTTCCTAAATGATACAAAAACAATTTTGTTTCACGGTACTATCAGTAATAAGTGTACAGGGTGGGCGAGAAAAAAATGTACGTTTTAAAAGACGCACCAAAATTAAGTGGTGGAAATTTCCACGAAAATCGCCGGTTTTTACGGCTTGTTTGCGTTAACAATAGTTTCAAAATTTCCCGCTGCTATAGCAACATTTTGTGTGTAATGAAAGAAGGACGTGAGTAAATTGCCCCAAATTTAATACGTAAAATCCTGCGGAAGTTATTCCAATTTGTCTCATTCAATCGAGTATCAAAAAGCGTGAAAAATTGAAATTAATTTTCGCTTTTCTAAGGACTTTCCAAGGCGCCTTTCCTGGTGTGGATTCGTACTTGACCCGGTTTCTTTTCATAAAATTATTTAACTGTACAATAAAAATTATCGATTAGCCTGTTTAATTACGTTTTTACAGCGTAATTTTCTCTCTCATTCGTGCTATTTTAGATCAGTTTATTTAAGTTTCCATTCTATGGGAGTAAATTAAAATAAATCACGATTAAAATTTGTTATATTTCTGGCCAAAAGAAGTACAAATTTCTAATTTTCTATTCACTTTGCATTTCTACATATCTAAATTTTCTAATGTACGTAAAATTACTGGTAGAAATTCAATTTTATCGACAAAAATCATCTTATTTTACCCGAAATTATTACTATTTTTGCATTCATATACTAATTCTTATCTTTTACCGCCGAAGCCATCCAGAGTGCCAGTATTATCCCAATAATCTGCAAATACAATTTACAATTAAAACAAATCAAACAAATAAAATCTCCCATCAAATCACCTCAACAAAGGCTATTCCTATTCCAACTCCTATGAGGACCTTAGCAGAGCTCTCGGCTCTCGACTGGAGTTCCTGGAAACACCCGTACGAATAAAGGTTGCTATCCAGGAGCACCAGGTCCTGGCAGTGCCTGGGCGAGGAAGCGCAGCAGGAATCAGGTCTTCTCTTCCAATCTGTGGGGCCGTCGACTCCGCAGCATTCCAGCTAACAATACACAAGGTGTTACCTCTACTCTTACTATATCTATTTTAATTACCTTCGACTGGAGGGTATCCCAAGCGACCTTATCCGCCTTGTTAGCCTCGTAATTCCCCAAGGACCTCGCCATGGACTCCTTCAGGACGCCCTGGAATTGGCTCTTGTATGTAGCCGCCGCGATTCCCACGGCGAATTCCACGATAAAAATCACCAGAAGACACACTGCGAACTAATTTATACACGTATAGAAATCATTCGTGCGAATTTCCTGCTAACTCACCCCTATCAGCATGTAATAGGACTCCCGCAGGGCGCCGTAGCAGCCCAAAAAGGCCACGAAGAAGACTATGCATCCGGCTACGATGAGAACAACGGCCGGGGCGGAGATTTTCCCTTCGAAAAAGTGGCCGAATTCGTCGATGTCCGAGAGGATGAGGGCACCGGCTATTATCAAACCGATGCCGGAGACCTGTTGAAAATTTTCTATTTGATTTTCTGCGGTTATTTTTAGACGAAATAAGTCGATTCGAATACTGTTTTCTCTCTAATTTTAATTGCAGTTTAATTAAATGGAAGTACGTTATAATTTTTGTACTTACGGCGAAGAATAAGTTGAAAATGAAGAGCGCATATTTGATTACGCTGGTTTCGCAGGATTTCATATTGGAAAAGCGGGCGCGAATTGACTGTTGTTGTTCTTGGCTTTGTTTGCGAATTTTCTCGCTTTGAAACGGTGAGGTTTGGGAGGGAAATCGGGGCGACCTTTGAGGGCCTTTATTGGCCCTTCGCGTGTTTAAGGCGACCGGTCGCCATAGGGACGGGAAAATGCCTTGGAATTTCTTTTTCAAAGGGTGTGATTTCGCGAAGGAGTGGGATCAGCCGATTTAATTGGATTCGTAAAGATTGTGAAATATCTCGAAAGTTAGGCGATTTTCGGAAATTTTTGATTCTTCGATAATTGTAGAGAAACGTTTTTTTTACAAAATTACATAAACCGGGTGGTTCTAATTCGATTGGTTTTTGAGATTGCTTATAAAAAAGTACTATCATTCTACATTCTATAGAAATTACTTAATTCTGGTTCATTCTGTATATTGATATATATCTTTCAACACCCCGTATATTCGTGTTTGGTGGAAATTCCGTTGTATAGGCGAGTATTTCCATTTTAATGGAAAGATTTTTATCGGTTTTTTCGTGCGGCCAGCTCACGAAATGTAGCGGGAAAATGATTTTTTACAGGGAAAATAATTGCAGTGGGCTTTTCTCCGGACGAAAGATATTTATTCGTTGAGTTTTAGGGACAATAAACTTTTAGCACGAATTTTCTAAAAATAGGAATGATCTAAGCTCGGGGTTGGGGAATGTCGAATGATTATCTGAAATCAGATAAAAATTGCGTAAAACAATGAATCATATCACGAGAAACATTATGTAGAATTGTTAAAAATTCCTATAATTTAGCCTATATTGATTATTCAACAAAAATTCCATTAGCACAGCAGACGAGTATTCTTAATAATGCATAAAACTCGTTTAATTCATATAATTTATTTATTAAAAAATATAAAATTCTCTTAATAAATATTACTAATTACAATAAAACCTCAACATTAATCTATGTTTTTCACAAAACATGATTTAGATTTCGCATCACAATTATCATATTTCTTAACATTCCCCAAAGAATCCAATTCCGTTTCCTTGATGCATGCGCATCTGTAACTTTTTGAATTCACCTCGTAAAATTGCATAGGAGTGCCTACCCAATCCCTATCGATTCCACCACTACAAAACACAATAAAATGTATTTATACTGCCTTTATAAATACATGCAATAGAATTAAATACCTTCCTGTCGAGCACCAAAATCTGCTACCTTTATCCGGATCCCATTCCACGTTACAACCCGGATATTTCTGCTGCAATTTTTTCTCTTCTTCTTTATCCTTTTCAGCTGATTTTATTAATTTCTTCACCTCTTTCCCGTAGGGCGTTATTTCCCCGTTTTCATCGTAATACCTACCAAGCAATACACCTGCATACATACAAATATTCTCGTTAAGATTAATCGTACGAGAATTAAAAGCACTTACCAACGTGAGTGTACTGTTTCTTATAAAACCTAACCCAGTGATTTAACGACCGTAAATCTTCTTTACTTAAATCCGCAACCTCATCGCTGATGTCTTCGATACTGAATTTACCCGTTACGAAGCTCCTGGACGCATCGCAACCTAAATTTCATTCATTATATTATTGCAAAACGTAATACAGATACATAATGGCATACATTACATATACAAAGTAATAAGTGTTATATACCTACAAATATGTTGTATTGCTGGTTCGGGCCGTAATGTTTCGCGCCTTTCGTTACATCGAAAACTTCGCCTAGGATTGATAAATACAACTCTGGTTTGTCTATGCCATTGTAGAGTTTTAATTGTTCTTTGGTTAGAACGTTTTGGGATGGTTTTGTGAATCTCTTGCTGGGATACAGGGAGTTTTTTATTATGCTGCCCAGTATGTTTATCGTATATTGCGGCACGAGGAAACTAGTTACTAGAACGGTAACTGAAAGTGCGGCGAATTTTCGGTACATTTTTTCATTTAAATATTTGTTTCTTGGTCTTTTAAAAGGTAAACAATATTTGAAGTAGTAAATATAACCTCAAAAGACAATGTCAATAAAAATCAATAAAACGTCAAAGTCAAAAGTTTGACGATCTGGCTCTATTGGCGTTATCGCTAAATTAACTACACAAATAAGTATAATTAAAAGTATAGACTGGAGAAATGTTTAAAGTTCAATAATAGAATCACAGTAGATTATTTTTTTATTACCGAATTGCAATTATTAAGTTTTTAATTAGTGTTCGAATAAATATCACTAAAATGGGACTATAGTCACTGCGTTGAAACACGTGTAGATGACATTTGAATGTGAAAGTGTCATTTTCGCTCGTTCAAGGTTCAAATACTTGGCAATGAATTATATGCAGTTTTACATCCAATTTAGCCAAATTCAATACAAAAGATGATCAGATCATAACTCACCATAGAAATGACCGTATTTTCGCGATTAGTGGCCTTTTCCAACAGGCACCCCGTCGTAAGAGGAATGTTAAGTTATGGTGAGAATAGCATATTTAAACATTTACGAATTAACCAGTGTTTTCGTTTTTATTCCAGGCACTATCTGGCCTACTTCCTGTATTATCCAACAGACTATTGCAGGCAAAACCTGGGAGAATTACGATTGGGGTCAGGCTCTGCGATTCAGCATATACGGGGGCTTGTTCACGGCTCCTACGTTATACGCATGGATAAGAATATCTAGCAAAATTTGGCCGCAAAGTACACTAAAGAGTTCTGTAAAAAAGGTAATAAATTTAGCCTATTTGCGAGAATTGTAAGTAACTTTAATTGTACACAGGCTTTAGTGGAACAACTTACATATGGGCCCCTCGCGTTGATATGTTTCTTCTTTGGTATGAGTCTTTTAGAAGGGAAGAGCGTAGAACAGGCCAAACAACAAGTATCGGAGAAGTTCTTACCTACGTGGAAGGTACACTATACATTTTGGGATTGTAAGGGATTAATTTACGGAAGAATTTCAGGTGGGTTTCTGCGTGTGGCCGGTGCTTCAAACAGTTAATTTTTGCTATATATCCGAGAAGAATAGGGTTCCATTTGTGAGCGCCTGCAGTCTGGTATGGTGTTGTTTTCTGGCTTACATGCACGAATTGGAGATGAAGAAGAAATTACAAATGCAACCTTTGGAATTGACTAGTTGATGGTTGCTTTATCCCGACGATTAGGTAATTAGATAATTAGTTATCGTGATTTAGGTAAGTTTATTTATTTGTAAAAAGTACAAACCATAGATAATGTAAATAGACCAACGGTTGATATTTTGTAATCTCTAGTCTGTGAATTGAATGGCCTCGTCCATTTCGATAACTCAGTCATTGTTATAAATATAAAAAATATTTTAATTTTTAAATAGACGTTATGTTTTCAAGTGTTGGTAGAAGATATAGATAGTAGAAATTATTTGTATTTTTATTTATTCATAAAATGTTATAAACGTTTACATCAGTATGTCGCAAACAAATAAAATCAATAACAACTGAATAAAATTTATACAATTACATATAATACAAACTAAAAGGAATATATTAATATATAAACAATAAAACATACGAATGGTAAATGTATATATAAATATCACAAATATAAATGCTGATATTAGAAGAAAATTACTAAAGAATTTACGAAACATAAGTAGCAGGTAACCGTCACAATTCTGATCAGTCAATTTCTTTTTTTTCATTATTTTATCGCCTAATTTAATAATAAAAACGGGTCCCGACAATTTCTTTAAATGCTTATTAAAATTGTGCGTCCATTTTCGCGGAAAATCCGCGGCAATTAAATCTACAACTTAATTCCCACTATAACTCTCTCCAATTTAAAACCATCATCGATTTAAAGTGAATAAATGCAACAAAATCAAATAAAATAAAACCTCCCATTTTTAACATCCAGATATGCCCGCGAATTTGTACTAAATTTCACCTTTCAAAAAACTAAAACGATTCCACAGACAAACCAATCGATCAAGTAGAACCTTTGCGCACTTTCAACAGCGTCCTTGTACTATCCAAACTCTGCCTGTGCCGGCTCAATCTCGCCGTTCGCGGGACTCCTTCGGGTTGCAGCGCCCTGCACAGGCCCCTGCACAGCGACGTCGACAGCCTGGCCAACGAACCGTCCTGTCAAGGCAGCACCTCCACGTAGTTCTCCGGTATCAGGCCCGTTTTGCCGTTCAACGTGCCCTCCAACCAGCCCGGCTCGGGCGAAGATTTCACTACAAAAAAGACGAGATGTTTATTGCAAGTAGTTGGTGGCCTCGTGCTCGTAGTCGTTCAGCCAAAGATATGTCAATTTTGTATAAGTACCGTTCGTGATGATCTGGTTGGGTTCGAACGAAAGCTCTCCGTCGTGTTCTCCCATGCAAGCGTATAGAGTTCGTACTCGCCTGGAATAATTACAAATAATCAATTATTAATAATTATAGGAAATTGTTGTTGTGGAAAGTGTTATATGTATAAAGCTTATCACTACATGTGGTTAAATTTACTCTATTTTAGTAAACGCTAGGATTACTAAGCAATTAATGTTACACGAAACAATTTTTGTCGCATTTACTCTCTCAATTTTACCTTATTTTATCAAAAGTCGGACTACCCCGTCTAGATGTACTGTTAGTAACTAAAGAAGAATGCAGGTTCCTATGGATTAATTAGATGTTAGTAGAGCTTCGGGTGAGTAAATTAATCAACAACAACAACAAACGTTAATAAACAAGTAACCAAAGAATGTTCGCTTACACGTAACCGGGCGATTTGTAACTCTTCGGGTAACCCATATACACCGAGGACCTTTGGGTTTTCTTCGGCAGGATGCCGATTAGGTGGTTTCCCTCTCGCGACGTCGACGACAGGGACTCGTTCGAGCTGCTGGTGCTGTTGGTTTCTGAACGAACAATACCCGATCGGGTTACTTGGAAGCTTTCGCGTTCGACGTACTCACCCAACCGGGTAGCGTAAGGCCTGAAATTGGGCGGACTGTAATTGTGCAAGGCCGGCAAATTGGTCTCCGATTGCGATACGACGTTCTGCTGCAACAGTTGCTTCAACCTCTGCGGATTCGGCGCCTGCCTCGGCGACAATTCGTACAGGCCGTTGCTGGATTCGTGCACGCTGTACATGCTGGACGTCTTCCGCGGATCCACGTACGCGGAAACCGTCTAAAAAAGACCCACAATTTAACAAATCATTCGCGATATCGCGGTGTAACCTACGCAAGTGTAAGGCTGCGCCACTTGTTCTCTGTAATTCACGTAGCTAGGAGCGTTGTTGGACGGGTTAAACGCGTTAACCGTCTGGTTATTGGTCGCCGATTGAAGGTACTTGGGCGACAACGCGCCCGGCTCGTCGAAGAACAATCTTTGGTAGTTTTCGATCAGTATCTCCACCACGATGTTGTAGAATTTCAGGTCCAATATGGAGGCGACCGTTTCCTCTTCGGGCCTGAGCAACGTCGGGCCGAAGCACACGCCTAAATTGCTCACGTTCATCAGGTTTTTGTCGCTCTTCGAAACAACACTGAAACCGAATAAATACTCTTTTAATAAGGGTATCAATCAATCATCCACAACCCCGCTCGATTCTTCCCTTTTCGGAAGATATCCAAGACATTACGCTAGCGATTTTAGTCTAGTGAAAAACTCGGCGCTTACTTGGTCAGATGCTTCATCAGTATCTTCAAAACCTCGAAATTCGTCTTGGGCAGCCTGTAGAGCAACGCGTGGACGTCTCTTATCCTATTTTGCTTCGACTCGTTCTCTACAACACACCGAAAATCAGCACGAAATTCGACAACATTCCGACGATTCCAACTTACTAACAGCCGCTATGAACCCGTTATGGAACCGGAACGTCATCAACGGTTCCGGCAAATTCCTCAAATACATCTTCAAAGCGCTAGTGATGGTTTTCGTTTCCCATTCGACCGGATCGTCGAGAGAGAACCGATCGTTTTTTCTTCGATCCAATCCCAGGTTCAGCAACTTGGTGACCTTCGAACTCACGCCGACCACCCTGTACAAACCTTGCTCCTCCAAGCCCCTGCTCTCCAGCACCTCGATGCATTTCTTGACGAACTGGATGCCGTGCTCGTCGAGCTGCCTCTCCTCCACGTTGCTGATTTTATTCACGTTACTGGGAGTCGTGTAAGTCTGTAATATATACGAAATAAATCGGTAAATAAATTCGCTGGTGTAGGGTTTCGATGGATTACCGGCTCCTTTCCGTCCATAATGTCCATCCAGCATTTCCTGTCCTGATCGGAAAGCGCCTGGAACGTGAATATAACTCCGGGTTTCTCGTCGGATTGTATGTCGAAGCAGAAACGCTTCTCGATCGAATCGGACATTCGTCGGACGCACGAAGAAATCGCCATTTTGTCGGGATGAGGGAGCTGGAATAAACGTCGATATAATTCCCGATCCAAAAAAAAATTCTTAATTGTACTTACAGTTTTCGTGGTGAGTTGATTATAAGGGAGCATAGCGAACGTCTTCGTTTCCTTGTCATAACTACAATAGTGTTTGGTCCAAGTGTTACCGAACGCTTCTGCGAATAAAACATCGAATATTAGAAGTCGTCGAGGAGCGATTTAAGAAATAATTACTTTTTTCTAACAAAAACAAATATCCCTCCCTGCATCCCTTGGCGTTTCTCACGGGCTCGTCCTGCTTCTGCACCTCGGACATGCGCTTCCTCAATATCTGGCTGAAATCATCGAAGTTGTTCCGGGTTTTCTGGATCTTCGTCTGCAAGTCCTTCCAGTACGGGTCGCAGTCTCTCTTCAATTCGTAACCCTAATACAAAAAATAAACTCATTGTGGGAATCACAGAGGGTGTTTTTTTGCATGTTACAAGTAATGATTAGGTAAGTGTTAGGTAATGATTTGTACGGTTGTAAAAGTAAAAGCTTTACTGACCTGGTGATAGAAGGTGAACCAGGAATATATGAATGTTAGAAGTGTTTCGACGAATTCGAATTTCTTCCGTTCGTGCACTTCTTGAATTAAATACACGTAGTCCATGCTGGCCGTGTAAAAATGGCGTTCAGCCATGTCCACTGAAGCGTCGGCCTGTAAAGATATTAACAAACCAACGGTAAATTATAATTGTTACTTTTCTTGGGACATCCTGTACATAATGAGTAAATGATGTATGTATAGTGATCGTACCGCCCTTCTCGGATTTCAATTAATGCGTGTAATATCGAATAAACTAAGTGTTTAACATGTGTATGTAGAGTTATTAAAAAGATAAATGTGTACTGTTCGATAATGGCAATAATAGTATAAAAAAAAGCAATAATAAAAAGATTATAGAACAATCTAAATCCGAATGCATTTAGAGTGTTAATTTTATCACTTTGTGTTGTATGTTTCCGTTTTAGGATTATCTGGAATTTTTTTTCAGTAATTTTAACAAAAAATTAATAAGCCTTGTGATCTTCAAGAAAAACTCATCGATGGTATTTTGTTGTTGAAATTATTTCTGTGCGATTTTACGAAAAATCAACGGATTATTTTTAGTTGCCATTGCCGATTGCAATAGTCGATTAATTTCAGAAATTTACGATTTTATCCGATATTTACGACAAACATAAATCCTATGAAAACCGATAAACTACAAATCGAACGTTAGTGAAAATAAATTCGAGCACACTTAATTCCAAACCATATTCATATAGTTAATAATAAATTTATGCGAGACCATAAAGTATGCAAATATTCTATTATTCTCCCAACTATTTTCGAAACACTGTGTACGCGTATATTCGCTCCTAAATGCAGTAGAAAGGCCCGTTTTCTATTCGACAATCCAATTTAGCCAGTTATGCAGCCATGTATAGTAAATAAATCAATTCGAAAACGACCATTTAACCCCTTTAAACAACAATGAAATTAATTATTAAACACAGAACGCGATCGTGCGCGCCATATTAAAGCGCCTTTTAATTAGAATACGGACGAATCCTGTTGAAAATGTCACGAAGAAATTATAAAGTGAAAATTTTTTGCATCGATATGTCAACTCAAAATGGGTGTCTATTAATTACTAGAGAAATTTGTCATTTTTATTGACGAATTTTTAGCGGTTCAACTGAACTATTCGAGGACATTCCGTATAGCTTAAACCAACGGAAAAATCTCCCATTATGTTTGAAAAAAATAAAGTTTAAAGTGAAGGTCGCATCAAAGGAGACGGAAATGCCCAACCTGAATTAATCTACATGACAAAAGATTAGAATTTGACTGATTATTTTGCACCTTACCCAGTTTTACAAAATTATTTAGTATCTTTTTAAATTTTTTTAATAAATCAAATGAGTAACAATCGAATCGCCAGTTTTAATGGTTTTGTTTTTTTGCATTTGTCAATTGATTACTTATTAATTAGTTGCAAAATTATTAGATAAATGGGAAAAAAATGTTATTTTCGCATGATAAATTCCCTACAGGGTGTCCCGTTATAAATTTACTGGTAAACTTTCATCATAACTCGAGCAAAACCAAACTGGCAACAAAAACTGTTGTATTGTTCTTTAAAATTTCCGCATCATTAGGACAACTTTCAATTCAACCAATGATCTATTAATTAACTTTTTTCCAGCAAATTTCCTCCACTACGCACTTAACAATTTATCAAAAAAAAACAACCTCATTATTTCTTAAATTTTTAAGGCTACAAGAAACCGATCAAGACAAATAAATCCATGCACTTTCAACAGGAAACTATACCTTAACATTATCACGAATTCCCTCCAAAATCCCCAATCACATGTTCGACAAAACACCACCGGACAATACCAACACTTCACAATCAAATTACACCGAAATACAAGCAATTCCGCACTCGAATCTCCACCAGACAGGAATCACCCTTTACAAAATACTCCAAAATAGTTCAAACAAGGAAAATCCCTCCGCGAAAATGGCAGTGATTCATAACAATTTAGGGTGAGAGGGGACGATAAAAGCCGAGCATAGCGCACCCTCCGCATCCCCGTGACGCAACCGGTCGATATCCATTTCTATAACGTCACTAAATGACGTCACCGCATCGATTCGAAGCGAGAGAGAACAGCTGGGGAATCGATTTTTCTTCTTCAATAAGAACCAAATCGCAATCGATTCATACATTGAGTTATTACATACATACATTTTGAAAGTTATTGAGTAATATTTGAGTGCCTGGATACTCACCTCTTGCAGGGAATTTGTCTTCTTGGTGGTCAAATTCAGGTACCTCTCCTGGTTCTGGCAGAACTTGGCCGTTTGCTTCTCGAATTTCTTCTTCTCCAGCTTGGCGCCGCCGATGTACTTCTTGCGAAACTCCTCGAGGGGCCTCACCACCGAAGAATGGGCGTTCTCCAGCTGTGGAAAGGCGAAAAAAAAAATAGAAAATGCGTCGTTTGGATCGAATTTGTCTTTTACCATTCGATCGCGTTCGTCCTCTATTTGGTTGATTAGATCGGCGAAGTTGCTGAGCGAGGCGCAAATGACCTGCTCGTCGTCGGTTTGGGTGCCCCCGATGCACTCGAACGTGAATCCTTTGAGGCATTGGGCCAGAGAGCGCTGAGACTTGCCCAGTTCTGGAAGAAAACGGTCGTTAAAACTAAGATAAACGGCCTGATTCTGTTAGGAAAGCTAGCCAATTGGCTTCGAATCGGTTCATTCGATTGATGTCGAGATGTTTTTTATCGGGTTTCTGAAGAATTTGATATTAGATTTGCCCAGTTCTGTAACAAAAGCTCGTTAAAACTGAGATAAACGGCCTGATTCCGTTAGGTAAACTAGCCAATTTGTTTTATCAGTTTGCTTGATTGATTTTGATACGTTTCTGAGGAATTTGGGATCAGATTTTCCCAGTTTGGTGGAAGGAGGAGCTCATTAAAACTGAGATAAACGGCCTGATTCTGTTAGGAAAACTAACCAACTTGTTTATGAATCATTTCATACTTTTTTATTGTGTTTCTGAGGAGTGTGTGATTCTGTTAACAGAACCTAATTAGGTAAACTTGCCAATTCGATTGATTTCAATACGTTTTTTATTGGGTTTCTGAAGAATTTCGGATGATTATTGTATTAACTTGACTTTAGAAAGTTTTTTTGGGTGTTTTTTTTTCTTTTCATGAATATTTAAAGTTAGTTGAGTAAGATTTTGGAGCTTATGTACTTATCAAGTAAAAGTCACTTTGTTAATTTTATTCCTAAGCATTAATTACTTATGTAACCTTCGATAAATGCGAGCAATGCATCGCGTAATTACAAAATATTTACATCTAAAAATAAAAACTAGAACACACACATACGCGTATAAACAAAAACAAATAATACTCTAAGCGAATTTACGGTTGATAATTCGAATAATTCGAGTCGCAAAGGGAACTTTCCTTTTAAACCGAACCCAATTATCTACGCAAGTAACCGATTTTTACAGAAAACCAGCTTTATCTAAGTACTTGAGATAGTTAGGCTTACGTTTCGCAGCTGTAATGAGATCCCTGACTTCCTTTATGATCCTTTTGATGTGCTGATTGGTCTTCTCCAGCTCGCGCTCGTGCTTGTGCAGGTTCTCCCGAAAATAGGGGCTGTCTGTCAGGCATTCCGTAAATTCCAAAGGAGGCAGAACGACCCCCATATTGCCTTTTAAATCCACTGGAATCCGCGAACACTATCAATTCACATTGACGCCAATTTCGCGCTAGAACGGTGACAGCGATTTTACAAGCTGCATTCGTACGTAATTCGGGCAACACCTTAATAAACGCGCATCTGTAATTGTTGTGTGTTTGGTTTGGAGACGAACGAACACAAAAACAACCTGTAGGAGTGATGAAAAAATTGACGTTTATTACTGCGCTTGCGCAACGATCTTTTATCAGAGAGGCTGAGCCGGGAGTTTCAAACGAACAAATCTCTTCTTCGGTGCACTCTAAACTACACTGAAAGTTGACAACCAATACAACCCTCACTGTCATAACGCGAGGAAAGAAAAAGACGCAATGAGAAATCCGTAGACACGCCTTCTACAAGTTGACTTGACACTATTGACAGACGATTGCAAATGGCGGTTTGTTTACATTTTCTATATCTTGACAGTTTTTATGCGCAATATAAATAAATAGTGAATTAATTAGCAATTTATAATAACCACAAATGGAAGGAAAGAAAATCTGCACGAGAGGACCAAATTTCTCGGAAGACGAACGAGCCATACTCCTCCAGTTGATAACCGAGTAAGTACCTAATAAAAACCTCTCGACGCGTTTTGATTTCCATAAAACTTCTATTTCAGTTATCCTATTTGCACGTACGCATTTGCTAAGTTATCCTCACTGTTTCAGTAGGAAAAACACGATCGAAAACAAAGCTACGAACAAAGTCAGCAACATATGCAAACAGAAAGCCTGGGAAGAGGTGACAGACATCTTTAACGCCAGCGTATCCATACCAAGGACTGTAAAGCAGCTAAAAATCGTATACGAGAATATGAAAAGGCGTATGAAGATATATGTGGATGAACAGAACTAGTAAGTTTCCCCCATTTCCTGCACAAACTGCACATAAACAGTCAAATGTTTTAGTCTGAAGAAAACGGGGTACACTTATTAGCAAATAGGGAAGCGGATAACGAAGTAAAAGTGGAACAAAACGAGCTATACGGGAATGTAGTAAAACCCGAGCCAGTCACTCCCGAACATTCAGTTTACCAAGATTTCTCAGATTTCTACACCACGACTCAACCGAGGCGGAGACACTACGCTGGCCGTAGAGAAAAGACCCTCTTCGAATTGAGGAAGATCAATTTGTTGTTAAAAAAGAAGCACTACATGCAGAAATTAAAAAACGCTCGACTCGAGGAGCAAATTTTGAAGTACGAACTAGAAATAAAGCAAAAACAGCTCCTCAAGTTAAGTTAATAGAAATCGACCTTGGGTTTATTTATAAAAAAAAACAGAAAAAATAATCTAATTATTCTTTCCGCAATGCTTCCAGTCGCACCGGTACTGGCCGAGGTTCAACGAATGCGAGCCCAAACTCCAACCTACAACCAATCGAGTTAACGATAATTAAATAAACCGAAGCGGAAACCTCACCGTTTATCTGCATAGCCGTGTGAAACATGGAATATTCCTGTTTCACGAAATCCTGGAAATCCACCAAATAATGGTGAGGGATGTTCATTAAATTCGTAGCCGGCTGGTAGGCTTTCATGAACGAATGCAGCCTATCCAAAGGCGTCCGATGGTTCCTCTGCCTTTTATCGTATATATCCTTAAAAAACGAATACCAATTAATACTAAATAAAGAGACGATTGAAAGAGAATTCACCAACTGAATCCCGTTGTACAAGCAAGTGGCTATCGCCAGGCAAACGGCGTGAAAATGCGCCGCGATCACTTTCTCAGTCGATTCGCCTTTACTCAAAACTATATAAATCGTCCTTCGTTGTAAATCCACCAACAGCAAATAGTCTTGGTTCTCGTACACGTTCAGAATCTCTTTAAAATCCGCCGCTGTAAATTTCTCTGCGGCAGATTTCAACGACACGCCGGCCAGTATTTCGAAACCGCAAAACTGACACACTGCAGACGAGTAATTGTTAATTATTACGCGGGATTTCATGAAATCTTTAAGGGTACCGTCGCTTCCGAATCCCAAGAGAACGCTCTCGTTCTCGTTGATTTTCTGCGGGCTCAGCACCGTGCTTAAATTGAAGTAGCTCCTCAAAACTAAAGCCAGCCTTTGCTTGTTGAAAGTCTTGAATATAAGGGCTTTCACGGCCCAGTAGTTCGTCAGAAGGTGGAAGAACATCAATAGGAACATCAGCAACCAATCTGAACTAAAATTAACGATATTTTTAGCTTTATTTTAGCTGGAGAACACGCAAATAGCACTTACTTTGATTCATTAAAAACATTCAACAAATATATACTAAGTATGCTCCCGAATAAATTCACCAGACATTCTTGAGTACCGTCTTTTGCTGATACTTCCGCTGTATTATCTCTAATAGCTTGGTGATTCGTTATGGAAGCCCTAGTTGCCCCGCCAGCAATACCAACCTGGAAGTTTAATGTTAATTTAAACAATTTTCAATAAGAACAAGTTCTATGCGAACTTACTAATGATTTCATTGTCGAGGTGAGGCATAACAAATGCATGGAAAATTGCGAAAAATAGGGCAAAACCAGCTCCACCGTCATGGCCATGTCGTTTATAACATCGGCGAAAAACCTCCATTTCTTGCAGTCCGAATCCAAATCATTCCTGAAATTCAACAATTCAAAATCCATATGACAAGCCTACGATAACGTCAAAATTGATTGTTCTCGCGATAATGAGCTGTTCACGTTGGTAAGTGCTCCTTACCCTTTCCACCAGGCGAACACGATCCTCCCGATCATTCCCGAGCCGTCTTTCAGGATCCACGTAACGGCCGCCGAGAGGGCGTTGATTTCCTGGTTGCCCACGCCGACTCCTTTCAGGATGGCCCTGGTGCTGAAGGCGCCTATGATGGTGCTGCAGAAGCACTGCGCGGTGTCCCATATTTGGTACTCCGTGTAGTCGTCGCTGACGCTGCTCGGGTAGCCGTAGGGCAGGAGGATGTCTTTGAAAAACTGGCCGAGGGAACGCAGGGAGGCCGACACGGCCCCGCGCACTTTGATCTGCTTGATTTCATTCTGTCCTGAAACGTATCGAGCCTACAATTTGTTAACTAAGGGGCGTAGGTTCGTTTTTACCGGATTTGTTTATGTAGGTGAAGATGTCTCCTTCGGAGCCGAATTGCTCCTTTACTAAAATTTCGGTCATTTTATCTGCGGGGAGATTTTACATAGCAAATACTGCGGTAATTTGACTGTTGGACAATTTCACTTGACACGCACGAGAATTTAAAAATTTTGTTTATGTCGGTGGCAAATGACAGATGACGTGACAGTTTCAAATCGATTTAAATGATCGATTGATAATTGGTATAATTTTAGTGGAAATTACGCATAGAAAACAGTAATTAGGGATGTTTTAATTAAAATAACACTTTTATAATACTAGTATTGTTATATTTTAATATCGTTTATGGCTAAATTTAATTACGATTATACGGTTAGTACTAATCGATTTTTATGTTTATTTTAGATTATTCGGGCGCATTTTTCAAAAAATGGATTATTTCGAAATTAATTTGGTTCAGTTTTGGTTGCAATTACGAAACAATAATGGAAAAAAATAATGTCCTCACGGTAATCCTTGAGTTACCAAATCACCATATTTGAAAAACAATAAACAATTGGTTAGTTATCTAATTTATCACTCTTATCAAACCCGTATGAAACCGATAATGTTTAGTTGTTTTTCTCTAGTTATCTTCCAAAAATAAATTTCTTACAATTAGATAATTATTTATTATTTACAAAAAAAATAAATTACATATGCCCTGAAAAATGTATCGTACTAACTTCAGCACGTCAATTGACAGATTTGCCCATGATTTGCCTAAGTAGAAAAAGAACAAATTTCGTTTTCTTTGTCACTTTAGAACTTATTTAGATGAATCGAATTTGAACACACGTGGCAACGTCGCATACCATTGACGTTTTGCCTGACGTCGACTGACAGTGACAACCAGAGACTATTTATATTTACCGAACTCGAATTATAACATTACACGTATTCAGCTTTCTCCGAGTTCGAATCGGCTCTTTCCAATTATTTTCTTTCAGCAGCTGTATCACCAACGAAACAGTCGAAACCATAATGGCAGGAAAAATCAAAGCCGGCCCCGTTGTGGACATTTTGGGCGACGAGATGACCAGGATCATCTGGGACGCCATCAAAGAGAAACTGATCCTGCCCCATTTGGACATTGACCTGAAAGTGTACGATTTAGGCATAGAAAACCGGGACAAAACCAACGACCAGGTCACCTTGGACTGCGCCGAAGCCATCAAGAAATACAGCGTAGGCATTAAATGCGCCACGATCACCCCGGACGAGAAGCGGGTGGAGGAATTCAAGCTGAAGAAGATGTGGAAGAGCCCTAACGGTACCATTAGGAACATCCTGGGCGGGACTGTGTTCAGAGAGCCTATTATTTGCCAGAATATTCCCAGGTATTCGATTGAATTGTACGATTAATTACGAGTAGTTAATAATTTATTATTCTAGATTAGTGTCCGGTTGGCAAAAACCCATTGTTATCGGAAGACATGCCCACGCAGATCAATACAAATGCACCGACTTGGTGATTCCCGGAGAAGGGAAATTGGAATTAATATTCACAGCAGCCGGTGGAGATGTTAAAAAGTACACTGTATACGATTTCGAAGGGCCTGGTGTAGCCTTAGGTCAGTATTATCCTATTTAAATTTCTATTATCACCCTGTTGTGGTGTAAATTGCATGGAAAACAATGTAGTTTTATTCCGTTTAATAACTTTTATATTTACATTTAATTACCTCAATGAAGCAAGTTCAAACAATGAATGATATACTAGTTTAGGTAATTTTCCATATTGAATTATAACTGGAATAATACATTCTTATCAAAATGATTTGAGCGTAATTAGATGTAACTATTATGTAATTCTTGTAAATATTTATTATCTCAAATGCTTTTATTTTTAGAAGGGTATATCATTTTTATTTGGTATTTGTTTGTATTTCAAATTTCATAATAATATGATGCTATTAGTTTAATTAAAAAACTCGATTGAATATTTAGTAAACTAGAACACTTGTTAAAGTTACAAATAATAATAATACCTCCATAAAGAGCATTAAAATTTTCACTATAAAAGGTTCAATAATCGTAGTAATCGATTACGTAGACTACAATAGGTTCGTTTCCTATAAACCATTTTGAATAATGCATTCAATTACAATGTATCCTTAACATTCGTAATATATAATTTTTATAACAATTTCATTTCCAGGCATGTACAACACCGATCAATCGATCATCGATTTCGCCCACACCTGCTTCAAATACGCCATCGACCGACAATATCCCCTCTATTTGAGCACCAAAAACACCATCCTGAAGAAGTACGATGGCCGCTTCAAGGACATCTTCCAGGACATCTACGACAGGGAGTACAAACTGGCCTTCGAGCAGAAGAACATCTGGTACGAGCACCGATTGATCGACGACATGGTCGCGTACGCCATGAAATCCGAGGGCGGATTCATTTGGGCCTGCAAAAACTACGACGGGGACGTCCAGTCGGACTCCGTCGCCCAAGTAAGTACAAGTAAAAGGCCAGCAATTGACTTAACCTATTAGATTAGATTATTTAACTGTCTTCTCCGCGACTGTAAAACCGGATTACTCTAACGGTGCTTGTATTCGTAGGGCTACGGTTCGTTGGGTCTGATGACATCGGTGCTGGTGGCTCCCGATGGTATAACGTTGGAGGCCGAGGCGGCGCACGGCACGGTGACGAGGCACTACAGGATGCACCAGCAGGGCAAGGAGACGTCGACGAACCCCATCGCTTCGATATTCGCCTGGACGAAGGGGCTGGAGCACAGGGCCAAGTTGGACGGTAACAAGCAGCTGGAGAACTTCGCCCGGAGCTTGGAGGAGGTCTGCGTGGAGACCATCGAGTCCGGGTTCATGACGAAGGATCTGGCCATTTGCATCAAGGGCATGAGCAAGGTGCAGAGGTCGGATTACATGGAAACGTTCGAGTTTATCAACAAGCTGGCGGAGAATTTAAAAAAAAAGTTGGGCAAGTAAGGGCGAGGCGTTTGTGTAAGATGTGATGCGTGAGGTGGAATTGCGGAATGTGCGATAAGTAAGAGGTTTTCAGGTGGAATAATGGTGTTGCGTAAATTACTCGAACTTCTGTTCTTTCATTGGTTATTTTAAGCTTCTGGTCTTCTGCTATTCGGTTATGTAGGAATATTGAGACACTAATAATCGGTGCTGGATAATGTCAAGATTCAAATTTGTATTTATATGTAACTTTAATTTGTGCTGTACTGGAGAAACGACGCGTTTTAGGCGAAATTTTTGTACCAGTTGAATTTGTATTTTAATAAATGTTGATTACCTGTTTTCGTTGTTTTATAGCGCGAATTTGCTACAATTCGAACACTCTTGCATGATTTTTATAGCGAAATTTATTAAATTAATCCATTATATCTTACAATGTCAAACCGATTAAGGTTATAAATGCGAGTAGTCCAAAATGCAATGAAAATCTCGCGGCAGATGACCTAAAAATAAACGTATGTTCTTACAAACTCATTATTTTAATATACAAGTAAGTGCAAAATTGTATGCATATGGGTGCAACAAAGACAGCTTCAATTAGTCTGTTATGAAGGAAGAAGAAAGTGATATTGTTGGATTGCAACTTTATGCACTTACCCATATGCAAATAAGTGCAAATTCATACGCAATATGGATTATGGGTGCAACAAAGACAACTTCCATTAGTCTCTTATAAGAGCAAAGGAAAGTGGGAGATTGCAACTTTCTCACTCTAACCACTGGTATTTTAATAGTCTTTCTTTTTTCAACTCATACTATTGACCATATTGCAAGCAAATTCGCACTTATCTGTAATATACTGTACAAAACTGTGATTAGCACGTTGCGTTAGATTAGTAACTATTTAAGCGTTCATTACAGTTTAATCTTTATTACGGTAAGGACATTTCGTTAGAAGACAACAAAGGAAACCAAAAAACATGCAATACAAGCAACGTTTATTTTATATACACAAAAGCTGCACTAAAAACAAGTAGGACTTGACTGTAAAACTCCAATCACGCCGCAGGCGACTCTTCCTCCCGCGTTTCCGGTGATCAAAGAATCCTTATTTCCTCCTTTACCCAGATCATCGGCCTTCTCGTGCACCACCACACCCCTGCCTATGATGCCATTCTGGCCATTCAGAGCTATTACGTTATCTACAATGTCTATCTTGGCAACGCCGCTTTGATCTGCCACTATGTTTCCCAGGTCCCCCACGTGACGAATGGAATCCTCCGGGGCACCGTGGGTTTTCTAAAAAATTCGATAAATCACCCGTCATTAATTAAAACTAGTTTCGGTAGAAACGAGTTCTAGAACATGGACTCGTAATACAGTTAAAAGCACATTATTTATGGCTCCTGAAATTGGTTTTGATGGTGCTCTAACTTGTTAATGAAGAAATAATCTTGCACCAAGCCTAAGAAATTTTATTTATTTGTTAATAAACGAGCTAAATTTAACCGCGGGTTTTTCCACGGTTTTTGGTTTGACTTTCAATTTCCATAATAATCGCGTTCCTAATTGGTATTTACCAGGTCTCATTGTAATTAATTCAAACGAACCAATCAAAAAATATTTAAACGTAGATAAATAACGAATCGCTGCGCACTTGAAGAACCTTCGCAATAATTATAACGTTCTCTACACAAGTCTTGTAAACGAATTCTTATCTAATTTCCACACTGCGTTTATTACCTTCGATTAATCCTCACATCCTGCGCTATATCAGCTATTATGACATTATTGTAAACAATAAATACCTCACCTTATGGGGATTGAAATGACCGGAAGTGGCTGTACAACCACCGACGATATTTCCGAGATCGTGCACGTGGAAGCCGTGCAAACCGGGCGCAAGTCCCTGTACTACCCCTTCAACGTGGATACCATTCGGGGTTTTGGTGAACGTCACGTTTCCTGTTACTTGGCTCTTTCCCGTGGGATCGAACAGGTACACTATCCCGCTCTGAAACTGATACAGAAAGGGTATAAACAGAGCGTCCTTTAGAGGGGTTAGATTCAAGATAGGGACATAGATTATTGTGGGATCGAACTGGCCCATATAACAATTTAAGCTTGTAGCAAGCTTGCGTTAACCTTGTCACGACACGGTTTGTACCCTTGTTGCAACCCAGGGTGTAAGGTTATAAAAAGGTTTTGACAACCTTCCTAGTCAACATGTTAGAGGCTTGCTTTAAGGTTGTCATGACAAGGTTACTACGAAAAGGTTATGGCAAGCTTTTGAAAACGTTGCGTAAAGCTTATGAAAACCTTGCCACAGCCCTATTAAAAGGTAGCGACAAGCTTATGAAAAGGTTGCATAAATATTATTACTAAAAGCTTATTAAGGCAAGATTATGAAAAGGTTATGACAAGCTTGTGTAAAGGTTATAACAATGTTATAGAAACGCTACGAAAAGCTTTTTTCAAGGTTTTTGAAAAATGTTTATGGCAAGCTTCTGAAAACATTACGACACGCTTATGGAAAGGCATAAAATGTATGAAAAAAATGCAAATATTATATAATTGACATTTATTTTAATAAAATATGTATACAAATATAATCACTGTGTCCCGGATATGGATGAACAGCCGATGGATGAACAGCCATACCTAACATATTTTTTGACGGGCCTCCCTGTAAAAGAAAAAAAATTAATGTGCCTATAATAATTGAAAAAATTAATATACTCACTATTATAGTCCATTTGTTTAAAAATGAAATTGAAAAAATACTAAAATGTCCTTTCATAATCCCAACAAACATCTGTCAATTTGTGAATTGTCAGGCAAACCCGGACGAACCCATCAAGTGTGGCCATGTGTTTTCAGTATTTCTTGGTACTCCGCTATTCTTTAGAATTTATGAGGGCATTGTGAAATTTTTAAAGTGTTCGAAAAATGCTGTAATAAATAGTTGAGTAAAATAATTGTTAAAAAACTTAACAGTTTATTTGTAAATTGCAAGTCTAAAAAACCGACGAGTCGAGCGAAGTTGTTTGGCTAAACATTCATCTAATTTGATTCTTCATCATGAATTTGATCGAATGAATTAATGATAACTTTTCGTCTGGAATTATTCTGTTCATCATTCAATATTTTCATTTATATCCTTATGGAATCCTGTCTAATGCATCGGTCTTTTGGGACATTTTATTGAACGGTCTTCAAGTGATACCTATGAATAAACATTCTATTAATAATTACATAAGGCATAGATGATATCGAAATACCAAGAAATAATAAATATTTGACTTACCTTTGAAAAATTAAGGTAGGTAAAAAAAAACACGTTGGAAAATAACAGCAGCAAATTTTAAGAGCGAACATTTACAAAAGGCAATAGCGTCAGCAATGCTAGTAGAGAAAGTCGAGTACCGAAGGGACAAAAATTAGAAACCCAACCCAACCAACCCCCTACCCTTTACATCGAGTAGCGAGTAGACAAAATAAAACTTCATAGGAAATTATCGGATTGAATACAAAATGTCTTAAAATAATTTAAAAAAATATCTTTCACTTTTTGTAGTATGTAGGTACTCCAAATGTATGCCTTTTCATAGATGTATGTTGTGTAGTGTAATCTTTCCACAAGCTTATTAGTTTAACTTTTTCCCATGATTTTTGCATATTGCAAAATTAGCTATAAACCTTTTAGTATAATTTATAAGTAAACTTTAAAATAATCTTACATATAAACCTTATAAAAACGTGGTAACCGCAAGCCTATATTAAGCAATAACCTTGCAATAACATTATTAAAAGCTTCTCATGTAAAGCTTGTCACGATGAGAAAATGACAATTTTATAAAGTTGTCAGAACAACCTTGCAATAATATTATTAAAAGCTTGTCACGAAAACCTTATTCCGACAATGCTATGACAATTGTATAAGGTTGTCAAAACAACCTTACTCTAACCTTTTTATAAGCTTGTCTTGCAAAGCTTGTCATGACAAGGACATGACAAGTACATGACAACCTTGTCACAAGCTTACGTGTTATCTGGGGGTATACTATTCCCCTTTGAAACTGTTACTAAAAGGGTATAAACTGAGCGTCCTTTAGAGTGATTAGGTTGAAGTTAGGGACATAGATTACTGTGGGATCGAACTGGTACACTATCCTGCTCTGAAACTGACACAAAAGGCTTTAAATAGAGCGTACTTTAAAGGGAATAGAATAAAGATAGTTGCATAGATTACTGTGGGATCGAACAGATACTCTATCCTGCTCTGAAACTGAGACAAAAAGGCGTATACAGAGCGTCCTTTAAAGGGATTAGATTCAAGATCGGGACATTGATTACTGTGGGATTGAACAGGTACACTATCCTGCTCTGAAACAGACAAAAAGGGCATATACAGAGCATCCTTTACAGGTATAGATTAAAGATTGGGACAAAGATTACTGTGGGATCGAACTGGTATACTATTCCCCTTTGAAACTGATACAAAAAGGGTATATACAGAGCGTCCTTTAGAGGGATTAGATTAAAGATAGTTGCATAGATTACTGTGGGATCGAACAGATACACTATCCTGCTCTGAAACTGATATAAAAAGGGCATATACAGAGCGTCTTTTATGGAGATTAGATTAGTGAATAAACGACCCACCCTGTATAAATCAACAGAGCCTTAAACGGGCTAATTAGAAGCGATTTAGATGACACCAAGGTCGTTTATAACAACTATTCTACAAACTAATCTGATACAAGGTATATGTATAGAATATACTCACTTGGGCGTGAACCAACCCAAAAAGCGCGACTGCGATTAAATATTTCAACATGATCCGGCACACGAAAACTCGAAATAAAACCGTTCACTTCGCTCAAGATCGACTGCGATGTTGCGAAACTGGTGCTGTTTTATGTACCTTATGGTGGATTTTCCACTACCTAGAGCGATATGTAATGCAAACCGCGACGGAGCGAGCGATAATGATGGAATGGATTCGAATTTTCGAATGCCGGTCTCTTTTATAGCACGTTTGTAACGAGATTCGTTTGGTTTGGGAAGGTGAAATTGTAGAAATTTGCAAGTTTTCGCGGACGAAAACAAACTTGATACACGCTAATTGGGAAAATTCGTTATCAATGATATTACCCGTGACAAATTAATAGGTTTGTTCCTACAACAGTCAGAAATAGCCGGTGGACGTCAGGAGTCTGCGCAGTAATAATTTAGGCATTCCAACAAACTCCACAGACATCTCTGATTCTGATTTGGTTAACAATTTATTGTTCCAACAGTTCAAGGGACTGGTTTTGTGATAGTCAGAAAAATTTGCTGATAGTACAGTGATTTAGAATCCGGCGCAAGCGCATTTTTAATTCGGGTTTAATTTGTATTTCTGAATATAGGTTAATTATTAGGTTATGTTGTTTGTTGTTTTTGTTTGATACTTGGTGAATATGTAATAAATGTAAAGACTGTTCCATCAAGAAATCGGAAATTTGATTACACCATTCAATCATAAACCGCGCATGCGAAATAGAAGAGTCAGAAACTTATTGGTAACAAATCAGTGACTTTTTGTAGGAACAAACCTAATGTAAATAGAAATGTTCATAAATAATATACCTAAATACGAATGTTTGCTGTTGTTGCTAGGTAAAACTCGCATTTAAAAGTACGCCATAATTAATAACATGTTTGACGTATGACATCTGACGTATAATTTTATCACAAATTCACAAAACACTTAAATTCATTAAATTAAATTAAATTCATCCGATTGGGTGCGCCGCTGGCCTCGTTCGAGGACTCGCTCCGCCACTGCGTTGCGTCGCTGGGCATCGCGACGCCGTCGCTCCAGACCGCCTCCCCCCGCGTGCAAATGGCGATCGAGCGATCCTCCTGAGCGCCAAAAATTCGCCATTATTCTCAGCTCTACCAGCGATTTCTTCAATCGTTTGAAAGTGTTCCATGAAGGCCGCAAAATAGCGCACATAAATTACGTTCACACAAAATCAGGTGAGCCATGTTTACTGCCCCTTCGAAATTTCACCCCTTTTTTTTGTTAATTCGATAATTTGCTTGGGATTAGTGCAGGTGAATGTTGAATTTGTGCAGGTTTTGAAGCTGGTGATGCTGGGGTGGTTGTAGTTTAGGGTTTTGTTGTTGTTGGGATTTGAGGGGGTGAATTTCGCCCCTAAGGGGTGAAAAGGGGACAGATGTGATCGATATGTTTGTGGGTCAATGGCGGGATTTTGTTCAGTGTTGGCTCGGAAGCGGTGCGAATAAGGTGGGAGGGATGTTAACGGTTATTATGTGGTATTAAGGGGATTTAAAGAAAAAGAAGGTAGAATTTAAAGAAAATTAGATTTTTTTAATAAGGTTTTTTGGTAGATTTGTTTGGGTTTTTTTAGGGATGTAATGTTGCGAAATAAGGGGGCGGTCTTGTAGTGAAATGTGTGGAGCATTTTTGACCGAATTTAGATTTCTTTTGTATTAATTTTTAAGGGTTGTTAGTGGTTTGTTGAATCGTGTTTTTATTAATTTTTTTAATTTTTAATAACGAATATTTTAGAGTACACTTTTTGGGTCACATTTTAATCCATCATTTATGTAAATGAGGCTATCAAAAATGCGTTAATTGTGATAAAAATACCATTTTTATCACTTTATTTTTTTTTGTGTTTATCTTTACCTAGGTTAATTTTATGGTGCAATTTTAATCCATTTTAATGCATATGTGAATAAATAATCGTGTATACATTATGACAATAAGACACATGTCCAGTTTTCCTAAACAGCACAATTACAAACAGTATCAAGGTAAACAATAATTTTTGTATTATACAGGTAGACGCAAAATTGTTTGCAATTAGCAGCTATGGGTACAACAAAGACAACTTCCATTAGTCTCGTATAAAGGAAAAAGAAAGAGTGATATTGTGTGATTGCAATTTTCTCACTCTAACCAGTGTCATTTTAATAATCTTTCTTTGTTCAACTTCATAGATTTGATTATATTGCAAACAATAAAATTTTGCACTTACGTGTATTCAATTCTTTATTTTTTTTAACATTTTTTAAAAGAACATTCCAGACTTATTTCCTACAAGCGCGTTGTATTTTTTATTCTTCTTAAATTATCACTTATTACCTAAACTAATTAGCAATTTAATCAACCCTAATTGGTATGTGATTAAATTTGTTTTTTTAGGTCACTTATTTGCGCGCTTAACAAGCCATTTATGTGGAAATTTTCCGGAATGAAAACCGGGAATTTTCCAGTCTATCCAGGTTCTCCGGCGTCGCGACGGCTCGGCGCCGGATTTTCCAGTCTCTCCTGTCTCCAATTCGCCCTAAATATTTTCACTCAATTTCGAATAAAAACTAGTTTCAACTCGTCTTCTGTTAAAACAATATCCATAAATAAATAAAAAATAGTACCTTCTGAATATTGTATGGTAATTTTTAGTTCTTTCGCTACGTAACTGATACAAAATTTTTCAATGTTTCTCCTGCGTTTTCCAGCCAACTGTCTTCCAATATTCCTGGCGAACGACGAACTGAAGTTCCGCAGGATAAAGTGCAATGCGACTGTACTATGCTATTGCACCGGCAACAACACCAATCTTCCCGAACCTATGACTACGGTAAATTTTTAATTTATATTATATTTATTCTATTACAAAATTATTATACATACCTACATAAGATAGGACAAGAGGAAATAAGATAGGATAAGATTATAGGATGGAATTCCCTACTAAGATATAGATACTAGGATACCTATAGGTATTATAATTAGCTATTTTAACAAAAAATACTAAAAGTACTCCTTTCCACACCACCAAGAGATAGAACACATTTACCTAGTAAGCATGTTTAAAGCATCTTTAAACAATCCCAATGTTCTTAGAAGATTTATTTGCAATTTGATTAGGAGAGCTAGATTATGTATTTTGAACAATTGTTAAAATAACTTTTTGTTTGGTGTTTTTTGTTGTTAGTTTGTTTGTTATTATTTTTTTGTTATTTATAATTAGCATTAAATTAGTAGATAATAATTATTTGGTTAAAAACCAAATTTTTTGTTCGTTTGTTTTTAGAGTTGTTTTTTGTTAATTTTTTTGTTTAATTTTTCATATTTTTTATTCATTGTTCCATTTTTCCATTTCCTGTGGATTAGGCCTATTGGGGATACCACATTAAAAACGCGTAAATTACTTAGTTAAGTTTTGAATTTTCTCATGTAGAAATGTAAAAATTGATTAATCATTGATTAATTATTAAATGAATTGAAATCATTTTAATTTTATTAAGTGCGGATCTGTAATTGTAATTTTTATTGGTTTATGTAAATGTTAATTAAAGTTCAATTGGTTCATTTCTGGAATTTCAATGAAAGTGTTAAGTAAACCTGGTTTTATTAAAGAAAAAATAATTAAAATCCCTTCAATTACATTTTACATGGACCAAAAATCTCATAATGTACATTTTAACGTTTAAATTTTGGTAGAAAAACGGCATGCGGGAAAATAAAAAATTGATGAATACATTCAGTTTTTTATGCTCTTTCTGAATTTGAAATTCAATTTTTAAAAATATGATGTATAGGGTGTTGTTTTAGGGTCGGTCAAATTTTAATATTTTTTCTAAATCCGGACCTGGATTTTGTAATTTTTTAATGTGGCAATAAATTGTCCTAAAGGTATTGAATATCTATGCCAAATTTCAAAAAAATATACCAAGTGATTCAAAAGTTATAGGTGTCGAAAGAAATGGCCCAAATTCAAAAAACACCCTGTAACTCGGTTATAAAGGGCGCACCCATAGTATATGGGTTTTTTGTAATCTCCTGGGTGACCTCTATATAGGGTTAAAATATTGCCCTTTACCAATGAAACACCCTGTATATGATAATTTTCCAGCAATTAGTAGAGAACAAATGCGACGGCGGAGAATGGACCTGTTCACCACCTAAGGAGTGCTGCAAGCAGGGCTGCTGCTTCCTTTTCTCGCAGCCCTTCTCCAAAGGCACGACATCTTCATCGTTGAACCACGGCACCATTTTCAATCCTTTGTTCCTCGGTCATTGGTAAAGGATTCTCGCGCTTCGCTGTTTACGCGAATAATTCCAACGATATTTCCAGGTACTTCTGGCTGGCCGTGACGGCCACGATAGCGGGCATCCTCTGCGCCTGCTCCCTTTGGAGGAAACACAGCCAAGGCAGGTTCTGCTGCAAGGAATACGCGCGAAATGAAGGGGCCTCCGAGCAGGATTCCATCACTTCCTGCTGCCCGCCGCCTCAGTACAGCCGGTGCAACAGCTTCCACCAGGCGCCGCCGCCTTATTCAGAGGTAATTATACACTGTTGGAAAATTATTCGCGCATAATAGGGAAATCAATGTTAAATTCTTAGCCGGCTGAAATCCAGTCTACCAGTGTACATTTAAATAGAACGTCGCGATAAATTCTAATAAATTTAATTGTTCTACTGGACTTCACACCGCGCTTTGGCTTGATTAGATTAAAAATTAAATAATTTCGACGGTTTCGACACTTCAACAGTATCAAAACGGGTTCGGATGGGTGAACGTCGAGTCGATTAAAAAGAAATGATAATTTTTAAACGATAATTTTTTGAAAAAATATCACTAATATTAAAATAGAATTATGTAGATATGTCTTTTTGCCACAATGGCTTGAAAAAGAAAGTAAATTCTAAGAAAATAATAAAAAGGAAACTTCAAAAATAAACTTTAAAAGATTATTTTAAAACAGAAAATAAAAGAACTCTAAAAAATAGTCCACCGCTTTCTGCTAAACTATAGCCAAACCTGTCATACAGATGTCATCTCATATTACTGAGCTGAGGTGTAGTTTTAGCAGAAAATTGAATTATTTTTTCCTTATTTTTCCTTATTTTAACAAGATTTGTTGCTCTTTCAAAACTGTACCTACCGATACACACATTTTTTTGAAATATCCCCAAAAAACCTATTAATTGTAGTTTCTAAATAATTTTGTACTCATTTTGTACTATTTTGAATTCATCGCGACGTTCTATTGAAATGTATACTGATAGACTGGATTTTAGCCGGCTAAGAATTTAACATTGATTTCCCTATTATGCGAAATTAAATTTCCAACAGTGTATACCGAAATATGGAACACCACGATGTGAGATATGCGGATTTCAGCAGAAGATACGATTAGAAATGATTCATTAGAGCTCAAAACAGTTTTCGGTTGCTCAAAATATGGAATAATTAAAAAGATATAGCCCTTCTAGAAAATTAAAAATTTTCGAGTAAAACGAACAAAACCATATAAGAGCTGCAGGTGTGCATCAAGAGCACCTCTAAACTCCTGCTGGTTTCTGTTGCAGGTGACCTCAAAGCCGGACCTGTATCCTCTAGTTATCAATTACAATACTGAACCAGTATCAAAAGGGAATAACGGTTCTACGGGGTACTTGATGGTGCAGTACTTCAAGAACTTCATCGTCAGGCCTGTAGGAAGTTTATCCGCTACGAGCACACTAGATTCATTAAGTTCCAGTTTCCTATGCAACGCTGTAAATGAGGCAAGTGAATTTATTACACCAAATTAATCGAGGAACTTAGTACAAAATTGGTATTTTCAGGCGAATTCGATTATCCCGCCTCCCTACTCCCACATGGGCAGTCTGGAAGAGATCCTGAGCGAAGGGCACGCCCAAAATCTGGATCATTCGGCCAGAAGCTTGCCCAGATCGACATCAACGAACTCCGGCAGGGATTACCATCAGGTAAGCTGGTAGATTGATCCAGGAATAGTCATGGATAACAGGATTTTAACGGGTACTTATCCTCAGTTGCAGCAGAGCTCTTCTAGTCCTGCACCAAGCGTGCACTCTCAAGTTAGCACCGGTTGCTTGGGGACCAGCCAATTGTCCAGAAATCCTTCTCCAAGCAAACAGTCCAATCCAGTCGTGTCCATACGAGATAATCCTTGCTACGTCGGTAGCGCAACGAATCATCCTGAAGATAGTACCGGTTCTGTCGTGCCAAATGAAAGAGAACAAGCTAAAACAGGTACAAAATAACACCATCTACGTATTGGAGTGTCCAATGATCGTACTTCCAGGTAGAATAGTGTCCAAAAGCCAACCAGTCTGTGATGTCCAGCCCGTAGACCTGCTGACGAAGTCCAGCAAGTTCCAGCTGCGGAAGTTCATGAAAGAGGATTCGGGGAGTATGGAGGACGATCAGAATTTCTCGGATCTCCTGAATTTGTCCGTTTGCTTGCCCAGCAGCGTTCCGAACTTGGAGCAACCAGTACAAACGGCGCCCGGGGACCTGCAGTACAGCGTTACCAATAGCATAGGTAGGATTTTACTTAGTTGATTAGCAATAATTAAAGAGTGAAGAGTCCAATGGACTAACCGATTAATTTTCCAGGTTCTGATATAAGCAGCCTGGCTAATATGGGTTCGCCGGGTTCCCCTCCTCGGGCCACCAGCCCGACGGTGGAGATGCGCGAGCTGCTGGACAAGATCCAGCAGCTCCCGCAGCAGAAGAGCCCGATATCGCCTCCGCAGCAACTGCAGCTGCAGCAGCACTGCGAGCAGAAACCAATTTCCAGGACCTATTTCCACAAGATCAAATCGAAAACGCTCTACATGCCGCTTTGCGACGAAACGCCCACCAAGCAAAAGTCCATCTCCAACGGTACGTTACTCGTCCTGGTTCCTACTGGTTCTTCCTGATTCCTCCTGCTATTCCTCTTGTTTCTTGGTTCCTCTTTGGTCATTCTACTTCTATTCTGAATTATCCAGAGAGTTCTTCTTTTAACCAAGACCTTCCTGGTGAAGGTAGAACAGCTAGTGAACCTCCCTGGAGCAGCTGGTGAACATTCCTTGTGAAGCTCGAGCAGTTTTAGAGAAGCTAGATCAGCTCCACCAAGAAGGTTCCCTTCCAGCTGCACCACGACCTGTTCAATCGACTTTTTACTGCACCAATTGCATTTTGTTTTCAGTTTTGTCCAAGGGCTGGCTCTCCAGGTCGGCCCCTTGTACTCCCTGTGGAAATTTCGTGCCGAATTTCCCGATTAATCATCACAAGGGAAGCCAGCGCAACAGCAAATCGAAGATAACCGACGGCAGCCCCTTGCTTAAGGAGGAAGAATCCGAAGAAGAAACCAACAATCGAGCCAGGAGATCCTAATTTAATGCTTTCTGAGGCCTAGGTGGATTAACGAAGTTCAGTTTATGTGGTATAAAGAATTCGAAGTAAATATATTTAGAGAGAAACGTCCCAGCATCATAAGGTCCACAATCGCTTGATTATGTTCTGAAACGAGAAGGATGGATATAATTTATTTCGTTTCCTTTTTCAACTAATATGCAAATTTAAGTTGTAAAGTGAGAAGGACGGAGATAGTTAATTTCGTTTCTTTCTTCAATTAATATGCCAATTTAAGTTTTAATGTGAGAAGGACAGCGAGATAGTGTGTTTTTTCTTTGTCAGACTCACGCCAATCTGTCAATTTGACAAATATATTTACCCCGAGTCCTGTGATGTTCGATGTAGTTTTTTTGGTATTATTGAGTAAGAAGGGAATTTAAAAGCTTCCTTTTGATTAAATTTATAATAAAAGCAGGGAGAAAAATGTTTAAAAAACTCAGAATTAAGATTTTTAGTGACCCTTGTAATGGCATTTCTAAGCTGTTTGTTGAATTACAATATTTTAATACACAAACTGGTCTATTACACGAATAATTTGCTCAACGAAATCGCCTAAAAACCCGGTAGATTTAAGTGAAACTCGCCTAAAAAGAGCCTTAGAGGCCTTACAAGGGTCGCACGCGAATACAAATTGACCTTTTTCAAAGTACTCCTTTCGCTTTCTTCTCTACTAAAAATTTTCGAAATCGTTCACTTTTCGCACTTCCCTCGTATTCGCAATTTCGACAATACGAAAAAATAGGCTCATTCCGCTAGGTTTTCGTAGGTTCCGAACGAACGGCCTTGTACTAATCGAGCCATCAACCACGTCAATTTCTCCATATACAGGGCGCACGCGCAAAACTTACACCCTGTATAATATACAATTTCGTTCGAATCGTAAATTTTGGAAATAAGATTTCAAAAATAAAAACAGGCCTGGTATAGTATGTTTTTAGATAACTTTGAATTTCATTACGCCAATATACAGGGTGTTTCGCGTTTATTCGTACGATTGATTTATCGAACACCCCTCGTATATATTCGTAGTATTTACGAGTGTCAACTGGAATTTATAAATATAGATATTGCTATTTTTATAAAACCATTATATTTGTTGTGAGAGTAAATTATGTATTATCGTGTAATCATCACAAATGATGAGATTCACGTACCTTCTTCAGTCTAAAATGATGAATATTCATGAAGCAATTGATATCGTTCGAATTATTGATTATTTAATGAATGAAGGTAGGTGAGTTTCTCGAAAATTAGATTGTTAATTGGGCATGTATAAAAATTTAATTAAACTAAATTAAAAGCGATTTTAAAGTTATTTAAATTGTGTTTTGTGACAGATTTGTGAGCAATGTATTCGTAATTTTTGGAAATGTTAGATTGACAATCGCTTTGCAGGAATAACCAGCGGGGTTTGTAATAAATCCTGCTCGAAATTTTTTTCTAAATCGTCCCTAATTTCACGAAAAAATTAACTAAAATAAAGCGCTTTAATTTAGGAAAAAGCGACAAAAAAAACACAAAAATTTACCACAAAAAAAATTCCAACGATTTTTATAGACTTTTGCTTGTATTTTTTACGATTTGTATTAGTTTTCCTCGATTACTTACTAACTTTAGTATTTTTTGTACATACAAATATTTGTTGTTGAAACTTTGAAATAAAACGAACAATAATTAGCGAATGTTTTTTTTTTCATTTTATCAAATCATCCTTGCCTGTCAAGATTGATTATGCCAAATATAGGTATCTATTATAGATGGAAAAACCTAATAACATTCGATTGAAATTAAAAGTATAGGTATTTTATCAAATCACCCTTGTTTGTCAAAGTCAAAAATATTCCCAAAGGTACCTAGATTGATTCGAAAAATAATCGATGGTTTTACAAAGTATTATTTTATCAAATTACTCTTGCCTGTCAATGTCAAAAATATTCCCCAAATATTCCCCAATTATATCTAGATTGAATCTAAAAATAATCGATCGCTTTAAAAAGCGTTAATTTATCAAAGCACCCTTACCTGTCAAAATCAAAAACATTCACTAAAAATATCTAGATTGAATAAAAAATAATCAAGAATTATTTTATCAAATTACCCTTGCCTGCAGTCAAACTATCCACCAACGATATCTAGATTAAAACTAACAATATATCGTTTCATTCATCGGCATTTGAATTTAACGAACTGCATATTCCTGCGTAATTTGACACATTTTCAACTCGAATATCACGGAGCTCTGCGATAAGACGCACCGAGAAATATTCAATTACAATTCCAGCGCAGTGCGAATCGAAAAAATCCCACACCAGCCTCCTGCTAGTCTCTCTTTGCTGCTTCACTTGAAGCCCAGTTGTTGCTGTGATAGCGGTGGATTCCTGCTGACTCGAAGAGCTATGGTGTCCAATTCGAGGCTCTGTTAATTTTCGAAAATGACGCGATAGCGAGAAAAATGAAAGAACTAGCTCTCCTGCTGGTTTTGGGAAGTAAGTAGAATTTTTTTAGTGTATTTTTTTAGGGGTGATTTAAGGGAATTTATTGGAGTTGTTTTTAGTTAGAGATTTGAATTTTTGAGGGTATTTTTGGATCATTTAAATTTGGTATTAAATCTTAAATAAAGAATAGAGTATAATATTAACAAATAAATATTTAATCGACTGATTTGCTAATTAATTAGATTTTAATTTTCGAAAAATTTTGATTATAGAATCTATACTGTATCAATTCTCCCTAGTTTTTTGAAAATTCCCAAATACTATCGTTCAAAAATAATTCAATTTAACAATAAAAATTTTGTTTATTTATTTATTTACTATTTACAAGGAAATAGCCATAAAATCCATTAAAATTACGACCCAATACTGTGTCAATGCCGATATATTGGTAAATGTATTTAAAACAAATAAACCTGCGCGTAATAAATAGACCCAGAAATACGAATAAAATAATGCTAATTCGTCAAATAAATATTTAATTTAACGTTTTTATAAATACAGAGTTACAATACTAATTACGCTAATACTAATTAATTCGTAGGCCATGGGTTATCAATTTTATTACAAACAAACATTATTTTGTCACTACCTAAATTAAAAATCAATGTTAAACCAATAAAAACATATTTGTTACAACTTTGACTTATTATCTCATCGACAATACCTCTTTGTGCCTCTAATTTTGGCACACCCTGTATAATAATAACAACAAGACGAGTTGAAAATTACAGTGTTGAATAGACCGAGCCCTTTTTGCTATTTCCTGAAGACTTTCACGCTCCAGCGGGCCCGGGAATCCCCGGAATTTCACGAAGCGAAAGCCCGTTTTATTCCGATTTGCCGTAGAAATAATTTTAGATGGACATTTTACGGGCTAGTTAATTTTTAACGACGCGTTTCTAAAATAGAAAATGACCGAAAATTTTTAACAAATTCCGCTTGCGATCTTCTCTGATTGAAATCCTGCCCGGCCTTGCTTGTTAAATCGACGATTAAATCACTCGATTTTCGATTATTATTCGTGATTGAAAAAATTCCGAAAAAAGCGATAAATAGAATGGTATTTATACACCCATTTTCGCTGGAAAGAATCACATTTTTCTCGTAATATTATATAATTATCGTAGTTTATGAATTAAAATTAAATGCACGTGCATTTTATTAATTCGAATGTATTAATAACTAACTAGCACTAATGGAAAATACACATTTTTTTCGATTAACAGAATTTATTGTTTACTAAAAGTTACGCATTATTTAATTTATGGGTTATTTTCAAAGTAAAATTTACTAAAAACATATACCTTTAACCTTCATTAAACACCGTAAATACACTGATAATTACATAATAAACCAATAATTATCACGTGCTAATTTTTTCTCCATAAAACTTTTATTTTTCTGTTGTAATCGGAAAAATTTGAAAATTTCGAAATTTTCACATGAACATAGTAAAAATTATATCACGAAAATTTGTTCTAAAAATTCTATAAGTTAAACAAAGAAATATTATTATAATAACAATAGTTAGAGTGAGAAAGTTGCAATTCCACCAAATCACTCTTTCTTCTTCCTTTATTCGAGACTAATGAATGGAAGTTGTCTTTGTTGCACCCATATAGATCCATACAAATTGGCACTTACCTGTATAGGCCTTATAATTAGTTAATTTTTGAATCAAGTTCAAGTTCAAACGTGTTTGAAGCAAATCTGGGGCTTTGCATTGAATTGTTACTCGAATATTTTCAAAATAGACATCATTAACCTGCAGGTCACGTTCTGTCACGTCCTGGTTAATCGTGAGAACGCTTAGAAAAACGCGCGGTTAAACCTAAAAAAAAAATCTAACCATCTTTGAAAGTTTTTATCTCCCTTTTGCAACCGCTTATCGAACATCAGAATTGTTCAATTGATAAGCTAATTGGTCTAATTAAAAATTCTTTAACAAGATAATTAGCTGAAATGGACTATTTTTCATGCAGAAAGTTAATAACACAGGTGTGTTTAAATACATAGTGATTCATCGACAATCTATTTAATATCATACAGGAAGATTTATTGGTATTCCAAGTGACTCGAAATTGTTATTTTCAATCGTAATTATCGACATTTTTATGCTATATTTACTCCCCTATAGTATAAAACAAACGCACTCTATTATTTCTAGACATTTATTGCGGTAATATTTGCTTTATGATATAATATTCCTGCTACATACCGGGTACTTGTAATGTGGAATAAAAATGATGTAACCGACCTTCCAGCTATTATTAAAAATAATATTTCTGCCGAGAAATTAATCAAATGATTCTTTGTATAATACAAGTGCACTGGTTTTAATTGGTTACATCAATCGAAAGATATTCCTGCAAATTATCAGGAATTGTAGACAAATTAGAGTGGCTGGAAGCAGTAAAGATAAAAGGCCAATGTTAAATCGTGTAAATAAAATTAGGAAAAGTTGTTTGGTATATTCGAAATTTCCAGCAATTTGGCAGGAATTGGAGTAAAATTGGGGTACCTTACTGGAGGTAGTAGAGATAAAATGAAAAAGTTTAACTTTATATGATAGCAGGTCAAAATTCAACTTTGAAAAAATATTTGAAATTATCGAAACTTCCTGCAATTTGTCAGGACTTGGAGTAAATTTGGGATAACTGGGACTATTAGAAAAAAAGATAAAAATTTGGTGATATTAAACTAAGATTTTTTTTTAAATATACCTAGAAATTTCCTTCAATTTCGCAGGAATTTGAGTAAAATTGGGGCAACTGGAGCTAGTAGAGATAAAAGGAGAAAATTTAGCTTTATAATAGCAGGATTTTTTTGAAATTCGAAAGTCCTGGAATTTCTCAAAAATTTCAGTAAAATTGAGATATTTGGAGTAGAGATACAAAGCCAAAATTTAGCGATATAAAACCATTAAATATTTGTGAGAAATTTTCAAAAAGGTCAAAATTTAATTCACGAAAAATTCTCAACACTTCCAAAACCTTTATTCAAAAACTCATCTAACAACTCATAAAAAACCCGTCACAATCGCACTGATAATTGCAGGTAATTATTAGAATAATTATCGCAAATAAAATTTAACGAATATCCATAAAAGAGCGATAAAAAAATCGCAATTTTAAAAGCCCGCAAGGAGATTTTAATTCGGATTCACTCCGAATAATAATTAGCACTGATAAAAATGCTACAAGTAAAAATCCGCAAATCAAAACCTTGAATTTCGAAAAAATAAACCTTGAATTCGGATTAAAAAACGGCGCCGCGCTCGAATTTTAATTCGATAATTTAACTTTTCTCGAATTGACATAACGCAGATTTGCGGTAATAAACAAACAATTTCGTTTCGCCTAATTTTTTTATTTATTCTACGAGATCAAATTTAAATGTGTCGATTGATAATCAAATATTTTTGTTATAAACTGCGCTTATTTAATGTTGAATTAATGCCCTAGATTATACAAATTTTATCAAAAAAATGGTGTTGTTGCAATTGAGATAAATGGAATTGTTTTATTTTTATTATACAATTCCTATTTTGTTGAGATAATTTTTATAGAAGAATTTACATTATAATTAATGTTTTTCAATAGAACATTCCTTCAAATTATTGAATAATTATTGCCATATTCAGGTAAACATGTATCAAGATTGCATGTCGAGATAAAATAATAAAAATCGAATAAATACCAATTTTAAGCATAAAATAACTGAGTAAACGATATATTCATTAGAAGAAATTATTCATTCAATAAATCAATCAAATCCGAATCGATTGAATTGGAAATAAATTAAAACAACCGATAGTATCGCAAGATAAAAGAGAGGATGAGAAAATAAATCTCGATTTCGTATTTTACATTTGTGTTACAAGGTTGACAGTACAACATGGAATAGAACACAAATTCGCCATATTTATACCATTATTATTTATTTTTTTACACTATTTATGATTTCTTCACCTTTTTCCAGCCTCTTTGACGGTTCCTCAAACGATCAAAACCACTTTTATATGCCCGGAAGGCTTCAAATCCATCGGGAAAAAATGCTATCACTTCAGCAAACAACCGGCTTTATGGACTGATTCGCATTTTCACTGCCAAATCCTCAACAGCACTTTGTTAGTCTTCAATTCACTCAAGGAGCAAAATTTACTCAAAGGATTCATCACGCAGGATAATTATTCCACCGTAGGTTAGTATTCCTAGACGGATGCTTGGATTCTTAGGATTTAGATAATATCCAGGATTTGAAGGGTTTTCAGAATACCATTAGAGGAAGAGAATATCTTGAGAATATTTAGGAATTGCATGATTTAGATAACTTTCAGGATTTAGAGGATTTTAGGGTATCCAAGATTTTCATCATTTAGATGATTTCTGGGTTTTAGATTTCTAGGATGTCCAAGATTACCATGATTTATAGAAATATCAGAATCTTTGAGAATTCCAACACTTACAAGATTTCCAAGAAGTCTGTAAGTAGTTTGTAAGATTTCTAAGACTTCCTGCGGATGTCAAAGATTTAGATTTTTACACAATTTCCATGATATAAATAATTTTCATCATTTTCATAATTATTAGTTGCCATAGATTGCCAATATTTCCAAGATTTTAAAGGACGCGAAAGGATAATTATATTAAACTTACACGTCCGTTTCAGATTCTGGAGAACGCTGGATAGACGGCCTGTACGACTGGAAGCAGCACAAATGGAAGTGGGGATCCAGCGGGAAACCGATCCAGGAAAACAGCTTCACCAGGAAGCATACCGGAGAAGCCTTCAGGTGGAATTGCATCGCCATAAACCAAGCGAACAATAACAGGTACCTACATAAATCATCCAAATCGTTCAAATAAATAACCCGATAATTCCAGATGGGTAGCCAGAAAATGCAGCGATCAGAAACCCTTCATCTGCGAGACCTCCACCAACGCCTACGTAGAGTTCAAGCTGTACAGCAGGAAAAAGAGGAAGTTCAATTTAACCAAATGCTCCAGCGGTTTACCATTACTGGACTATGAAAAGAGGAAGTGCCTGAAGCTGTTGGGCAGGACCGAAGTCCAGGAAAATGAGCCGGCTCCTCGTAAGTACCCGCTCTAAAACTGGCACTGTTACATACGAACCTGTTCGCAGTGACAGTACCAGAAGACAATCCAGGGAAATCTCACCACGCCAACTGGATTTGTCCGGCGCATATGATCAATCTGGATAATCGCTGCTACACCTTCAGCGACCATTCCAGCACCTGGCAGGACGCGCATTTCGAGTGCCGCAGGAACGACAGCCGGCTGGCTTCGATCAAATCCAAGAAGCAGGATTACAACTTGAGAATGTTCCTGAACAATTTTATCGGTAAGCCGATTGTAATAGTTCCTACAATAGTGCTGACGAAGCGTCGTTTTCCAGAGAAGCAGGACAGGTGGATAGGCGGAATGTATGACTGGAAATCGGGAAAATGGAGGTGGGCCATGACCGGCCAGCCTCTTTCCTATCGAGGATTCAGCAAGGCAGCTATGAAATCCAGGAGTTCGCAGGATTTGGCGTGGAACAGTATTTTTATGGATCCCGCTCTGGATAATCAGTAAGATTTATTAGACATTATTTTGAACGCTTCTGGATATAGTAATGTGGATTTTTTTTAGGTGGAATGCGGGTGTCCAGACGGAAAAGAAGAGGTTCATTTGCCAGGTTAATGCCAAATCGGTGAAAAGTTTGGGCCGCAGGAAACGAAGGCCTGCACAGGCGACTATTACTATTTTGAAGAGGAGAAAACATGCTCGTGGGGTTTAGGAAAGATCTGAAAAAAATCTGGAAAATCTGGAAAATACAGTTTTTACGTGTCGAGTGTTCATTGTAAAGCTTTAACATTGATGTTAGTGTTGTGATGTTTATTTAGGGGTTAGGAATGTACATAATGTAACTTTTTTTCTGGAAAAGGGGGAATTTTTGTTAAACCCCCGTAGTGTTCAAACTAAGTGAGTAAATTATTTTCTGATATTTATAAATTTAGCGTAATAAATAAAAATTGTTCATTTCATTAAATAAATATTTAAAAAAAAACTTGTAAACTGCCAAAATGTATATGTAAATATAATACTAATTTAATTTAGGCTAATTAAAAGTAATTAGATCTTGTGTTACCGAAATACATATTTAAAAAAAATAGTAATGAACTAATTATTACAATGAAACCCAATTTATTTAATAGCGTTTAATGATTAATCAATCGGTAATAACTTAGCAAAAGGAACAAAATAAATAATATTTACAATTAAATACAAAACTTGTACAAAATTAATTATTGTTCAAAATATCAAAAATTAGTCACCAAAAAAAGCAACATGTTTCAATAGTTCTTTCCCTCTTTCCTATCTGACGATATACGAAATAATTTTCATCGTATTCTCGTTAACAATTTCCCGAAGCTTTTTCCAAACTTTCCGAACTTGTCAAAGCTTCTCCAAGCTTTCCGAAAAAGGAAGAAAGAACTTATTGAAATTTATACTCCTCAACAATCGCCTGAGGATACAAAGAATTCCCGATTTTCTTCTTTTCCTTGTAAGTTTTCCATCTAATGTCCTTCATCGACATCTTCCTCGGCTCTCCATATTTCTTGGTTTTCCTCTTTCCGTTAACCCGCCGGTTATTCACCCGGGTTATCGTCCCATTTCCAAACCTACAAAAAATTATCATAAATCATTTTCTACAATCTTTTTATTCTTATGTGAACATCTAGTTACCTCTCAGGATTCCTCTTCCTATTCCTGTGCACATTCCTGCTGTGTTTCGTCATCTCAGGAGACTTGTAGGCGAACATGGCCTTATCCCTAAGGTTCTCGTTGACTTCGAAACGGTAAGAGATTGGTACGTTGAGTTTAAGGTTTTCAGCAGGATTTGCAGGAGCGGCAGGAACGGGAATTTCGTTCAGTTTGTTCTCATTGTAGCGGCGTTTCAGCTTTTTTCTGTTCTTCAATCTAGTCTGGCAGATGAAGTGTTTCTGCAGATAGCAATTCCTGCTGCTCCACCTGCAGGATAAACCGATTAAACGGTAGAAGAATGAGTATAAATGGGGATTTACATGTATTGTTTAGCAGGATCCATAATGATGCAGTTCCATTGTAAATCCTTCGGATCGGCGGCAGGAGTTTCCTTCGGGAAGCCATTGAAGGTCAACGATTTTCCTGATGAAGCCCATTTCCACGTGGATTTCTTCCAATCGTAAACTCCTCCCAACCACCGCTCCGCAGGCTCTGAAAGACAACGAGAAAATTTAAATTTCCCGCCACAAAACCTCGAAAGATTTCGCGCAAACCTAATGTGTTATTCCTGCTGAGGAAACTCCTGAGGAGTTTGTTCTGATTCCTGCGTTGGATGACGGCCAAATTGCTGCGCAAATCGCGGCATTTAAACATCGCTTCGCTCCAGGATAAAGCTTGAGGGCTGTAATAGTAGCATTTGTGGCCTTGTTTGATGAAGTTCTTCGGACAGTCGTGAATTTTCTTCAATGAATGAGCTTTGGAGGAGACCGGGGAGGAATCTTCGCTCGAAGACACTAAAAATAAGTCGATAAATTAAATATATTTTATAAGAATTTACTGCGTTTGGTTACAAATTATTAATTATCCACGCCTGCATTGTCTAATTGAGTTATACAAAATGGCGCCATTCGTCGTATAAAAATGATGTCATTTTAAGGCTAGACGGGCAATAAAAATAAATAGAATACGTGCAAATATTCGACTATAAATCTAATAACAATGAAAATGGGGCTGCGTGATATTTATGGCCTTGAACTTAATTGGTTTTTAGTCATTTTTGCTAATAAAATAGGGACTTACTTGGGGAGTTAATGCCTAATTTATTTACTATTATTTCGCTAATTTTAATTGATCAATAATTTATTGTAAAGCTTTTACATTGAAGTTTCGTGGTGTTTATTTAGAGATCAGCAGGTTATTTGTTTTCTGGAAAAGTGGGTTATTTTTTATATAAATATTAATACTAAAATATATTTTAAAGCTTGAACAGAATTAATTAATGCTCAAAATAATAAAAACTAATTCAACAAAAACGCAACAGGTTTAGGTATCTATTATACATCAATTTTCCAAAATTTTACCAATTTATTTTTAACTCTAATTTAATTACTATCTAGAGTTTATAATTAATTAATTATTAATTACTTACGTGATAGAAGCGCAAAAAGTACGAGCAGTTTCATGATTAATTGGGATGTAAAATTCTCAGCAGGAATCGCAATTCATGGTGAATTTCCGTACTTCCTTCAAAGGCCTCTCAGCAACACCTGCGAATTAAATTCGCTAAAATTGTAAACTATTTAAATTATTCTTCCATCGGTTGACATTTCGATCGGTTACATCAAGATTTTTATTTAGAAAATTCGCGTAAGTTTTCGTGGGAATAGGTGAGAATTGGCCTCGAAATTTCCCAAATTTTATTGCAAATATCAAGGAGAACGCTCCATTATCAAATTTATTTCTGGATACAATTTAGTCTAGCGCTTTATGGATGATAAAAATAACTTTTTCCCACTTTTATCTTCATAAATTTAAGTGAATTTAATAATTTTACTACCAATTAATTATCTGCTAATCGACCAATTTACCTCACGCCTGGAACGGTCCAGAAAAATTAGTACAAAAGTCCCATCGGGTCAGGGTTGTCCGTCAATTGCGCTAGCAGTCTAGCAATTTAAAATTTAAATTAGCAAATACGAAGGAATGATGGAATAGAAATGTGTCGCGAATATTTTTATGGCTTTGTTATTGGGAATATAATTGTTAATTCGATCGTTCTGGTTAAAAATAGATGCTGTGTAAATTGATATAGTCTGTACATAAAGGATGTAATTATTACAAATGATTGCTTATTGATTAAATTTGATAATATGGTAGAATCGTGAATTTTGAGGTGAGTCATGAAAACTCGAAATATCTCGAAAATTGGGGGGTTTTTGAGAATTTTCGATTTTTTAAAAGTTGTAGATAAACCGTTTTTCTACAAAATGAAATAACCATATAGTTTCTATCTCGATTAGTTTTTAAGATAATTGGGTTTTTAATAAAGTAGTACTAAAATTTGTTTTACGATACAACCCATATAAAAACTCAAAATATCTCAAAAACTACTCAATTTTCAACACTTTTTCATTCTTCAAAAATTACAGCGAAACCTTTTTACTACAAAATCAAATAAGCAAAATATTTTTATCTCAATTAGTAATCGAGATAATTGCAATTTTATATCCATTTACTAAAAAATTACTAATATTACTATAGTATAATTTCAACCGACTACATAGTAGTAAAAATTGTAAAAAATACAACAATTCCAGTTCAACTTCATCACAACTGTTAACAATGTTTCGCATATTCGCAAAACATTTCGTATTTTATTTGAAGCCATTCACACAACAAATATACAAACAGGCATCATCTTTCAGAAACTTAAAATATACCATTCATAAATTCTCGTGTTTTACACGTTTTTTTTCTAGCCACTTGGCAGTTTTAACGCAACATAAAAAATGTGTAACATATTATTTAACACGCAATTGGCAATGCATAAGAAAGTTATTTATTAAAATGAGCGGCTCGTGTGTTTGATGTAATCCGTAAAGATTCGAAATATCTCGAAAACTACTCGATTTTCGAAAAATTTTTATTCTTCGAAAATTGTAGAGGAACGTTTTTTCTACAAAACGAACCTATTAGCACAATTCTATCTCGACTAGTTTTCGAGATATTCGCGAGATATTTATCCGAAACGAAAATATTCAATTAATAAAATTAATTCAATTCTACGCCACTGGTTTTAATAAAAATAAATCACACCGGTCTGCGACTGAGCAAGTATGGTCTCGCACTGAAGAGAAATCCGTGCCCTAAAAACTCAGAATACTCGACAACTCTCATACAAAGTATCGTCCAAAGAAGAAGAAATAAGAAAGAAATTCAACGAGAAAACAAACACTGTCGAAAAAATTCCTGCAATCACAGCAGGAAATAAATATTCCTCATTCTAATGACCCGAATTTTCATATGCCACACGCATGCAGGATGGACTTTTTCAAACTGGCATAATCAAAACACAATCGCCAGTCGGGCTAATTAATATTAATTAAAACTGTAGAGTCGAATCAGCGCATAGATTCGGCTATTATTAATTAACTGTTCCGATCAATCGAGTGATTGTTACTAAAATAAAAACGATATCCGAGCAATTGGGAGTCGATGAACTCGACAAAAATGCAGGAATTATTGTTTGTTATTATTATTATTATCTGATAATAAATTTGTTAATTAAGGTGTTTTTTTCGGTGGACATTTTGTTTTGTTTATAATTGGTGTATTCGCAGGTTTTTAAAAGTTGATTGTGGGATTAATCTATTCGAATGTATGGCGGAAATTTAGGTAGGCGTTGGAATTTTTTTTAAATTATAGCGAAAGTTTGCTAGATACTATACCTAATAGTTTTATTCGTGAGTGAAAAATAAATAAATTGTATATGATGTATCAAATTGAATTGAAATCACTTAAGTTGATAGGTTTTTTGGCGAGTTTTCAATTTGTTTTTTTCGAAATTTACAGCCCATAAATTACTCGAAAGGGGGATATTTTTGGTAGCAACTCAGCGATTAAAAATTGCGTAATTTCGCAAAAAAATCGGAGGAATGATCAAAATTTTTTTTTGTTTTTTCTACAAAATAAAATAAACAAAGTGTTTTTATCTCGATTAGTTTTCGAGATATTCAGGATTTTTTATTGAATTGAGTTGAAATTAGAAATTTTTTGATACAATCCATAAAAATTGGAAGTATTTCGAAAATTAAGCGACTTTCGAAAATTTTCGGTTTCAACAATATTGTAGAGCAACCTTTTCTTTACAAAATGAAACAAACCTGGTGTTTCTATCTCGATTAGTTTTCGAGATAATTGCATTTTTTACGTAACAACACAAACATTATTTTTTCCATGCAATCCTCAAAAACACCAAATATCATTAAAACTACTAGATATTCGAAAAATTTTGATTCTTCAAAAATTATAGAAAAATATTCACTCTACAAAATAAAATAAACGAAATATTTCCATCTCGATTAGTCTTCGAGATAATTCATCGCATACACGTAAAAATTGCCAAAATTCGTTTAATTTTCGAGATATATTCAAACGTTTACGATTCTTATGTAAATTCTGAATTTCTAGAGCAAGAAACATACGACCATTTATAGTTACTAGGTCAGAAGAAAATTATTTACAGTACCTAGATATTATGTGCAAATTTATCTTTGACTCCCGGCAATTTTACGACTTTTTTACTACAATATGTCGTCATGATAGCCTGCGTTTCGATAAAATCTTTCCTTCGTAAATCGATTTCGAGACAGACACAACACCCACGCACCTGCACAAAGGAAATATAAAAGAAAAACCGACATTTTATACGACATTTTTTCCTTATTATTTCTCTAACAGTGTCTGTTGTAATTGTTTATTTTACTCCGATATAATCTATTTATATGTCATAAATGTCGTTATCTGATATTGCTTTAGTGAGTTTTAAGTTGATACACAATTGGGGTAATTTACGAGGGAGTTTCAAATATAATGTATTATCTATCAAATAAAAATAAAAAATAAATTTTTTGAGCATTTTTAAATTCATTAATACCTATATTTTTTCTTATTCCTACTACTTTGTATTGAGCTTATCTTGGGAACAGATTTTTTGAGAATATTCAACAGATGATGAGACAATAATTGAGAATTATAAAATAAACAATAATTAATATTTAAGCTCAGTTAAAACTCGTTTTCATGCACGTGCAGAGGCATTAACATCCTTCAAAATACCTTTTATGGATCATAAACATATTTATAACCGAGCAACAGATTCATCTAATAACATCTCGGGAATCCTCTAACTATCTTCAACTATCTTCAACCGTCTTTAGCCATTTTTCAAATTCTCGGTTCTTTCTCCCGTCCTTTATTATCCCATTTTTTAACCCATAAATCTCATTCGCGAGATAAACACACCTTGTTATTTCGGTTTATTAACCCCTTTACTTTGTGTATTATCCCGGCGGAAATTTATGGCATTTTCTTTGAAAATCGCATAGAAAAACGCGTAAATATTAAGACTGGAAAATTCCTTGTGCCTGTACTGATTATTTAATCGCGTAAATTTATTGGAGCCAATAAATTCAATTGCAAATTGATGAAGATAAACGAGTAATGGGTAATTTATGAAATTGGCTCGAATTTCTTTCCCGGTTCGTTTTTTATGAACCCTCTGTATGTGAAGTGTTATTAGATCAATTAGTAATATTGGTATAATTGACAAGACGAAATATATAGCTTTATAAATTGGTTTAAATATTCCAATTTCTCTATACAGGGTGTTTCCTGGAAAACTGCTTCATTTGAAAGATTATACAAATAAAGTTTTGCATTTCTTTCTGTTGACAAAGCGAAATTTTATCGAGAAAATAATGCAATAACAACAAGAGTACTTGGAATTTTATAACTGCATAATCAATAATTTGTTATGCATGAATATCAAATTACTGGTTCGTACGTTACAGAAAAATAGCAAATTTTTTCGACCAATATTTAAAAAAATCAGAAGTGGGATTCTGTGAGTAAATAATAAATTGCAAATATATCGTAGAGTAGTT